CAGCACGTGATGAAGTCAATTTTCAATGCTTTACTTATAGTCTGGCGTTTGGTGTCGATTGTCGCGGTTCGGTGTGACAGGATGGCCAAGCATCCCGTGTCGCATCTCAGCTTGTATGACACAGGCATTTCTCAGACAACTTCATTCGCTCCTCAGTCAAGGGCGTTGGGTGAAGGTGCACCAAACAAGACACGGAAGCCCGTTTCCCGTCCAAGAGAAAGCCAACACTCCTCGCTGGTGGCATTCAATCCATCAACTGCCCTCCCTGTTTGCCCACCCTTCCGTTCGCTGGCACTCCCGAACCTACCGGCTTCAATAACAGCTTCAACGGAGGTCCAAAACACCCTCCCACCCGTCCCGATCACGTCGGCAGTTCAGCCTCCAACCCCGGAACCGCGCGGCCACCGACCGCTATCGGTAGCCCAATGGACGAGGCCCCGTGCCGGCCGCCCTGCATTTCTGGGTTCTTGGGCACATTAGCAGCGTTGCAGGCTGCTGGAGCTGCCACCAGCTCGACGACTTCTCAGCTGTCCCAACGAGCCCCACTGATCAACAAACCAACCCCAGCCAAGGGGCCATGTCACGTCCGGCTAGCCCTTTGCTGGCCGGTCCGCGCGAACAAGTCCCTATCAAAAACGCCTCTGACGGACCGCTCCCGCACGTTGGGGAGTTACCCGCCAACGAAACGGACGAGTGGAAGCAATCGCAACCGAACAGCTACGTGCGAAAACCTGCCTCTGGAGAAGAGCGTCGGGCGTTGTGGATGTCGCCTGGTCGATCCAGCTCGGCGTTGTGCACATATCGGACAGGTGTGACCAGCAGATCCCGGACGGGAGCGCATCCTAATTTTGCGGGCAAAAACTGCGACGCAACGCCTTGAACAGTACCGACGAACCAGGAACGGTTCCCTCAGCCTACTTGTCTACTTGTTTGGTACCTTGTGTTCACCGTGGCCCGAAGAAAACGGGACGACTGCGATCCCCGAGGCCATGCACGGCACAAGAATCGGTCTGCAAAGTGTCGATGACCCAATGGGAGGCCCTGGAAACAGGCTGCTCCAGTCGGATTACTTGCAGCTGGAGTGAAATCTGTGGTTAGTCAACACAGCCTCGGCCGCTGCGATGAGGCGGGCCAGTATCCACCGCGAACGACAGGTCCACTCCCCTGGGTGCGTGCCCAGGATGTCTGGCGATGATGTTGACACTGGAGACGAAGAAAGGGGGATTCATTCTACCGACTGGGTTCCAATGCTGTCTGAGTGGGCAAATCGGACCGGGGTTTTGGTCTCGTATGTCGAAGGATGCCGAAAGGGTCCTGCGTGGGAAGCAATCAGAAACCAAGGTGTTGCGACGGATCACATCAGTGCTCCCATAACGCCGAGGAAAGCTCCATCAGTTCGACGTGTCACTAAGGATACCTTTGGCAGCTTGAGGACCTGGGTGACAAGCCAAGCCAGAGTACCCAGCTGATATACCACGTTCGGAATCCCGCGGTGCTGCGTTAGGTAATCTTTGCCCGGGTATTGAGCAGGTCTCAACTAACAAGCCCAAGTGGCCATCCCTGCGGCGGGCACATATTTACGCTGACCCGCGTATGTCAGACATGGCCGAAAAAGCTGGGGTTTTCTGCTCTCAAAAGGCCCTCTGAAGCAAATGAAGCGCCAGATTGGACCAGCAAGCGGTCGGGACAAATGTCAGCGGACAGTGAGGGCAACGGGAGGGCGGGCAGATGCAGACAACAATGTCTGAGGTGCTGCGGTGGAGGACGGCACAGCATAGCCACGGCTGGCGCTGTTAGTCGCACAGACGGAGGCACAGCACAGATGGTGTGGGTGGCCGCTGCACGGAGGGACAGAGGGCCGGAGACAGGCGCCCACAGAAAGGGACTGGACGGTTCTGCTGCTGATCCGCTTACCCTGCAGTCCCCTACCCGTCGTGCTGTGGCTTTTTTTCTGAGCTTGTCCACCCACACACAATCTCACACACCATGGGGAAGGGACGCGATGGTGCAGGAGCTGTAGAGGGCCCTTAATAACTCCAAGGCTGTTGATGAACGCCCGCCGAGTCACGATGCCCAGGATGAGGCTCGATGATGACAGGAGTTGAGAGAGAATTTTGGGGGCCGGCAGTGTTCGGTGCCGCTGCGGCATCTGAAGTCTGATGGGTTTCTCAAACGTACAGGTACGTAAGTGATGATGTCGATGTTGGCGCGGTCGTCTCTTGTCAGGCAAGGTAAGGTTAAGTTCAATTGGCAGCAATGAGTGATGTTGAGGTAAGAAAAGGAGGGACAGGGTGCGGTTGACATATCGGGGGTGATCCATACAGGGTGAGAATACCGAGAGCAACCCAAGCCAGCATAAACAAGGCAAATTCGATCATGTCTGTCCATGAAGGACTCAAGAAAGAATTAACATGGAAACAACAGGGACGCTAAATCGCAGGCTCGGCGATCGGCCCCGAGAGCTCTAGTTGGCTAGGGGAGTTAGGTTAGGTCAACCGTAAAGGTACAGACGGTTTCAACGATTTGTATTTGAATTTTCGGTTTTTCGGGGACCAGGAGAGAGGGACATCCTTATTTTAGAAGCAGCGGGTTGGACGGTTACAAGTTAGCGCAGCCATCAAGGGCAAAACGTCCGACCTTTGTTCATGGGTGCCGGTTATTGCTCCGTGGCTTGCGGGTTAGAAGGCTCGGATGTTTACATCATTGCCAGGGACGATGATGATGATGATGAGGAGGAGGAGGAGGAGGAGGAGGAGGAGAAAGAGGCCTCGTTCGTTTTGGCTTTTCGGGGTGACTGAGAAGAGCAGCGGGAGCTCTTGTCATGCGTTTTGTTTTGGGTTGTGATGGTAATACGCACGAGTACCTTACGTGGGCGGTGCTCAGCCTCCAGGTGTCTGGACCGCCAAACCGCGGGTGACACTGACACTGCGCAGACCAGACCGTAGGACTGAGGACTGGCCCGGGGGAAGCCAGGGCCTGGGAGTCCTGGGACTGATGACTGTCAGGCTCCACGGCGTCGGATCCCCGGCTGGTTCGTGCGCAGCTTTGGGGGGCATCCAATGATTCCAGCCCACATGCACCTGCGATGCACAATACCTTACCTTGGGTTCCTTAGCTTACCTGACCTTACTTGCAGCTCTTGCACGTAAGGTAATGTAGCCTCTGGTGTTGAGTTGTTATTGTTGCTGCTGTTGTGCAGTGAGCAGCTATGGGTGATGCACTTGGTGGGAAGATTCAGAAGAATAAAGTCCCTTGGTCCGCTTGTCTGTGCCACAACACGCACCAGCCGGCGGTCTTCCTGGAGAGAGACTGGACCTGAATGGACTGACTGTTGGACTGAGGTCTAGCTCACCACGTTTCCCCTACCACAATGGCAACTTAGTTGTTGAAGTCAAGGGGCCACGCCGCGGAGTCGCCTCGGCCAAGGTTCCTCCCATCTTCAGCGTAATTCGTCACTTTCGTCACACTGGGAGCTGGGCTGTAGGACGGCGACTCTATCTTTTGGTACACATCTTGGCCTTCTCTTACCTGCATTACGCCTGCATCTGCACACACACACACACACACACACACCAGGTACTAACACTATCTTTCCACACTACTACAGTACTACTAACTAGTACTGCCGGTACGTCGAGGTGGTGGTGGTGCCTTGCCTTGTCTCGCCTTGCCTAACGTTTTTTTATCCCCCTTCGGGGTCCAGTCCAGCCCAGCTCAGGCAAAGCAAAGCAAAGCAAAGCCTTATTACCAGACGGTCGTCCAGCATTTTGTTTTCACGTTGACACTACTACCACACACATTTGCCCACTTACGTTTGGGCAACTGCAACATTCATCCATCCCCAATCCACTACACAGCAAGACCAACAAATAAACAAGACGGACAAGCCCCCCGTCCACCAAACCCAGCAACTCCAACCCAGGTCAATTGGCAATCGCGCGTGCAAGGGTCCCAACCGTACCCCCGGCTCTGCCCCTTCCCACTCGCTGCCTGCAACCTGCTCCAGCCCAGCTCCGTCTCCAGCTTCCAGCTCCAGTTCATCCTCCACTGTTCCGCTCCATTGCGTCGCTGCTCCAGCTGCGGTACCTGACGCCGCGCCTCGCCTCAGTCACCGTCAATCGATCCAGTCCACAGTCCAGTCTTGTCCTGTCTGGTCCAGTCCACCCGCGCCTGCTGCTGCCAGTTCTTTCTTCAACGCGCCATTACCCCCCCCCCGAGGAATTTCTTCAGCTCGTATTCCCTCCCGTCGTCCTTCTGCTCACTGCTCAACACCGACGGTCACTCTGGTCGAAACTACCTTACCTTGCCTTACCTACCACGGCCACCTCCTCCGCGCCTCTCTCCTCTCACCCTCCCGTCCTCCGAGAAAGACGGGGAAGGAGACCAAAAAAAAAATAAAAAATAACAACACAAGGGCGCCCTCTTCCGTCTCTCTCTTCTCCTTCTTTCCTCCGCCTTCGCCTGACCTCAATCTCTCGCCGTCACTGCCGCGGTACTTCTTCCAATCGCCCTCATCATCCATCAGCTCTTTCTCGCTGCCCCGATAGCTCCGTTATCCGGCTGCTCGTCGCCTTTGCTTTTTCGCCCATCCCACCCCCGAAGAAGAAAAACACTCCCACACCCACCCACCTCAAATCCAAACATTTGCCTACATATCCGCCGCAGCTCCTGTCGCCTCCACCACCAAACCCGCCGCTCCTGCCGCTGCCCCCGATACGACTCTGCCCGCCTGCCGACCGACCTCGACCTACCGCATACGAACCCACCGATCCCAGCTGCCACTTGCGAACCGTCGACCGACATCCAGACCTTTTTTTTCCTTCACTCTAATCTTTTTCTTGGTTTTCAACTTTTGATCGTCTCGCCATTCCGTTTCTTCTCTTTACATCCGGACATTAATACGCCCTCGTCGCGATCACATCAATCCCCACGCCCTCAATTGACTTCGAGTCGAGCCGCCGACGCCAAAACCCCCCTCTGCCCAGTTCACCTCCGAAACCATGGCGGCGGCAAACCCCCCAAACGTCATCCGAAGGTACCTTGATTCGAGTCCCGTCGATCCCCCTCCCATCCACCTTCCCCGACCGAAACCCCAGATTCTTCGTGCCTTGCTCCCAGCAGGCAACCGCGCTCAAATTTGACTGCTTCTGCATGGTGTCTCGATTTTCTGACGGTATTTCCTAGGAAACTTGTCATTATTGGTGACGGTGCTTGTGGCAAGACTAGTTTGCTAAGCGTGTTCACCCTCGGCTACTTTCCCACAGTAAGTTTTCCTCGCCCGTGGCATGATCCTCCAGGTTGAATTCCGCTCACAAGTCTTGCGCAGCATTACGTTAGTCCCGAACGCCCCCGTGCTCTCCCGAGAAGCACCCCCTAACGAGCTCCCAGATCCCCACAGTTTTCGAGAACTACGTGACAGATTGCAGAGTAGACGGCAAGTCGGTGCAGCTGGCACTATGGGATACCGCAGGACAGGAGGACTACGAGAGGCTTCGACCGTTGGCATACAGCAAGGCGCATGTCATCCTGATAGGCTTCTCAGTTGATACTCCCGACTCCCTCGACAACGTCAGGCATAAGGTTCGTACTAGAGAGGCGCAGCAATCGTTGGACGTTTCTAACAGACCGTGTGACAGTGGGTAGAAGAAGTGACGCGACTCTGCCCGGGTGTCCCCATCATTCTCGTCGGGTTAAAGAAAGATCTGCGCGAAGACCCCGTGGCCATCGAGGAGATGCGGAAGAAGTCCCTGCGCTTCGTTACTTCGCAGGAGGGTGACACAGCCGCCAAGGAGATTGGTGCCAGGAAGTACCTCGAGTGCTCCAGTCTGAGCGGCGAGGGTGTCGACGACGTGTTCGAGGCTGCTACACGCGCGGCCCTGCTCACGTTCGAGAAGGGCGAGGGTGGCGGCTGCTGTGTGATCCTCTGAGCGGCGAGGCAGTCTCTAATGCGGTTCCCGACGTCGAGTGCGGAAATGGTCGAACGAATACAGGCCCTTGAGAAGCACCTCCGGCGGAATTATCTTGTCTCTCGAAAACTCCACGCAGCCGCGCAAACAGCCCGAATGTGAAGACGTCGAACCGACTTCAGGGGTACCGGCTACCATCAACGACCTCGCGAATTTCACGGGGGTCAGCCAGCAACGAGATGACATTCGATGTGACCCCAGGACTTGCTCGGCCACATTTACAGCTTTTGATACGAGTCAACTTTTAATGCTCTCTTTATTCTTTCCTCAGCGGTCTCGAAACAAGCGGAAACAGCGCGACGTTCCGGCGGAGAAGTCCTTGCAATTGAAGGGGACGTGCTATATTTTTGTGTATTAATAGGACAGCACAGCATAGAACAAAAGTTCACAGCTTGGACACGGGTGTAGGCGTTTGGAGGATCATGTTTCTTCCCCAGAGGAAGGATGGCAGTCGCTTCACGCAAAATGAAAATGAGATTTCCAGCATGTTTTCGATCTAACGTTTGTGGTATTTTTGAATGTACACGGCCATGCTGCCGCATCCTAACGGCAAAATGACACAGAAAGCGTCGTGGTGGTACACAGAGACGAGCGCATCCATAAGCTCCGGTCCTTCCCTCATCTCACATTGCTATGCCCCTTGTTTTATCTTCACATAATCCTCAAGTCCCAATCTCTAACCGACTATCGTCCTTCGTCTACCTCTTCCAATCATGGTTCCACGCAACCCTAGCCGGAGTCTCGGTCTGGTACCTTGCATACTCAATCGGCACGGCGCCGGCCCCGTAGACGCCCTTCTTCTCCTGGGAGATGCGGTACAGCCACCCCTCGTCCCTCGTTCCCGGGCCGGCGGTGTGGCGCAGCTCCTCGGCGGCGTTGTACATGCCCTGGTGCATGCGGTAGAGCTCGCGCTCGCGGGCCTCGCGCTGCTGGCGCTGGAGGAGGAGCCAGGCGCGGTGGATGGTCCAGTGGCGGAGGTGACGGTTGCGGGCCATGCGCAGGGGAGGGGGAGCACGGGCGAAGAGGTGCTGTTTGAGGTTGAGGATCTTTTTGGCGTATTCGGGCGTCGCGGCGGAGACGCTGGCCCCGCGGCGGGCGGGGGCCGGGGTTGTTGTGAAGGCGCGGGTTGCTGTGGTTGTGAGGGGGTTTGTGAGGGTGGTGGCTGGGCGGAAGAGGCCCCGGAGGGAGAGGGGGGCCGACATTATTGCCGGCGGGAGCGGAGGACGCGGGTGGTGGTTGAGGGGGGTTGTTTGCGGGCCCGTGGACGTCGGGGAGCAGGAGGGATGTATGGGGATGTGTCGTGTGAGGGCTTTGTTGGCGAGGTTGGTGGGCTGTCGTCGTCGGTTTTGACCGTGATGGAGAGTCCTTGGTGGTCGTCGTCGTCGTCTTCGTCGTCCGACTCCGGCTTGGGGGGGTCGGCGGGCCGGAGGAGCTGCGCGCGGAGGCGGTCGACGACGGCGCGGAGGGCGGGGGTGAGCGCGACGGGGGCGATGTCGACGCGGTTGTGCAGGATGTCTGGGACGAAGAGGGCGCGGTCGTCGACGTAAGCGCCGGTGTAGTTTTGGGCGTAGTATTCGTGGATGGTCTGTGGAGGTGGTGGTGGTTAGCTGAGGTGCTTGGGAAATTTTGAGATGGACGGCGGGGGAAGTGTTGTTCCGAAGGTGCATGACGGGTTGGGGTAAGTGGAGCTTTGGGGAGGGCAGGGGTCCAGCTTGAGCTTTGACTACATCACATCGCCGCGTGTAAGTGAGAGTAGGAGGGAAAGGGTTGCTTACTTTTCCTAGGAGGATATCTGCATGGTACACCAACACACCATCGATGAAACCGCCTTCGAATATGTTGGAGAACACCTCTTTCGCCTCGTCGGCGTGGTAAGTCTTCGCGATCACGTTCAGCCAAACCACGGGGTGCTCTCCCGTCGGCCGGTCCCACGTCACGACGTCCGCCAGCGCGGCTAGCACCGCCCACTCCTCGTCTTCCAACTCTTCACGCTTCGTCAACAGTATGAGCGACGCGAGCTCCTTGACGGCGGGCGAGGCGCGCAAAGCGTGGGAGTACGCCGTCCGCTGGCCCATTTCGAACCGCGCGATCCAGCGGGCGTGGACATCCCTAACAGAAACGCCGTCGTCCAAATCCGCAGTGAGCAGCGTTGCGTACTCTGGTTTCAAGTCATACGGTGCGTCCGGGACGAAGGCGAGCAGCGAGATGACCTGCGAAGCGGCCTGTCCAGCAAGATGCTGCATGCGTGCGATGCGCACGGCGGGCGGGTACGGCACGCGGCCCTTGTACTCAAAGTTGCGCGCATCATGAGGCTCGCGGTGTTTGTGCCTCTTGTACGCGAGGATGGGGCTGCCGGGTGGGAGGCCGAGGAAGTAGCGCGTGTTGGCGAGGGCGCCGACGACGGGGAGCGTGCGGCCGTCGGCGGCGGGGATGGGGATGCGCTTGCAGGGGACGCTCCAGTTCTGCGCGGCGAGGGTGTCGATGTAATCCTCGCGTTGGGGGACGGTGCACTCGCGGTGGACGGAGATGGCGAAGGCTGCTTTCCGGATGAGGAGCTCGTCGGGGGTGTACTTGGGGACTATCTCGCGGATGTGGGCGGAGAGGATGGCGAGCCAGAGGGCGGTGATGTTGGCTTCCTCGGCGAGGCGGGCTTCGGCGAGGTGGGTGGAGGTGTGGGTGTAGAAAGTGGCCGGGCGGAGGGGACGGGACCAGATTGGGGTGAGGTTGTGGTGGGAGAGGAAGTGGGAGAATGCGCGGTTGAGGGAGGGGTTGGCGGGGGGGAAGTTGTTGGGTCCTGGGAGGCCGAGGGAGCACATCGTGACGGTTGGTTGCTTGGATGGCGAATATCAGGGGTATGGTGGAATGTGATATCTATCAGAGTGGTTTTACCTACTCACGACGATGACTAGAAAGGAGAAAGGATTCTTGAGGGGATTTTCTTCTTGGCTGGAAAGATATAACATGAAACCTGTCTGGCCTTTCTGCGAGACAGAGACATAGATGGGTCAGAGCCCATTGCTGTGTTGGTAGTTATTTCGGTGACGACATTTTGAGTTTCGAAAAGCGATGGCCCAGCAGGTTTTCCATCATTTGCACGATGCATGATATGGCACCCTTGCGGAGTGGATGGGTAGGCAGTGAATCCCTTCATCTTTCATGTCAGACTGGCTATCTGCGCAGTGAAGTGCACTCTTAATGGGACGACCAAAGGTTGAAGACGTGGATGAATTCGGGATACCTGGATAATAGATGTTGACCGCACATGTGCTCTCTTCGAAGTATCTCCCATCGTATCCACCTTCACAAAGTTGCATGATATCGCTCCAGTTGGCACGTGTGATACACCCAGAGAGCTTAACGACACACAAATCCACTCGCCGAGGTTCGTACTCTCGACGTGACGCTGGAGACCAAGTTACAGGTGTAGTCGAAGCATTCTCGAAACAGTGGTTCAATATCTCAGGAAGTACATGAGAAATTGTTGGCTTACCAAACATTGAATGCGTCGAGAATTACGGTCGAATGTTTTTGAATGCTAGCCATTCTGACCTACTCTCCGTCTTTTGAAAAGCTGGAAAGACCGAAATTTGAGTTCAAAAGAGCTCAGGTTCAGTCTGCGCACTCTTGGGTTATCCATTCGTCTGTGTCTAATTCGTTTTGACCATCTACGCCCATGGCCAATCTGGCGTGTTTTGCAATTTACTGAGTTTGACAGCCATCAGGATCCAAGTTTCTGAAGAAGTATATACAAGGCAAGGCAGTAGAAGGACGATTGAAATAGCGTAAAGAGCAGAAGCGGCAAGCGGCTCTCGCACGTCTTCCACTCGGATCCTAAGTTCGCCGAGCATTCGTCGTCTAGTCGAACAGAACAACCACATTCATATGTCTTGGAACATATGCGGTGCAGAGCAATCCTGAACTGGCCATATGCATGTATCCTGACGGTCTGAAATTGACTCGGGAAAAAGATTTTCATCTCTTTCGATTTACCCTGGCTGGCAACTATACGACAGCTGGCATCGACAGGCTGCAGGCCAGACTTAGCGGCTACTTGTATCCCATTGGACTGATGGTGACCTGGAATGCCTCAAATCCGCAGGATGCCCTAATTTAATCCTGTTTTCTCTGATCAGAAACCATTTTCGCTGGGTGAAAGCGTTTATATGTGGTGTGGTGTTTGGACAGGCATCACCCAATACATGATGGATTGCAAGCCATACAAAGTCGATAGGATCTTTCGGCAAGAATCCAAGCCTTTCATGCCGATTGTACATACAAACTTGAACCATGGTCAATTTGTGCGAGAAGTTTCTTCGGTATGTTCGTTACCCACGCAATTGTAATGCTGCCTGATTTCTGAAGTTGAGAGATGGCTTCACTGCGCATATGCAGTGCTCAGTAGACGCAGCTGACACACATATCAGTTTACCCAATAAGCAGGAGATTCCAGTGTGCCAAGAACCTCGCACTAACAGATCATTCCACAGCATCACGTAGAAGTCCAGAAACCCGCCGTGACAAGGGTGCCCCATTCGCCGATCTCTGCTTACATCGCTTCACCACCACCCTTGCTTTTTTTTTTCTCTCGCTTCTGGCCTTGCTAAATAAATCTTACGTCCAATTAAACTACCAAGCCGCCAAAAAAGCTGCGGGGTTGGTCGGGGTGGTACTGGGTCAGGATCTGGGTGAGACGCTGCAGCCTGATTTGACGATCCCCACAGCAGATGTGTATATAGTTGTGTAGCTCACCTCTTTATGGGCCTGATTCGACCGCCTTGGACGGTTGTGGCGCAAAAATGGACGCCCGACAAGATGCGACGTATCACCTTATCTCCTACCCGGACCCGTCCAGGAGGGTGTCTTCCAGGAACGAAGCGGGAGATCCTGGCGTACCGAGAGAGTTCAGGCGTAAGCCCTTGGATCGCAGCTCGACGGTCCATGATTCAAGCTCGGACTACCTCCTCTTTTCCATACCTGATCCGCCAGCCGATCCAAATGCGGCAGTTTACAAAGGCTCTGGTAATAACAAATCGGCCGCCAGCGGAAACGTCAGGGAGACCACGGATCTCCCGGAAACGAGGCATGTCCAGGACTCGTCGCTGATCAACTGGAACGGGCTGCCGTGGTATCGGTTTCTCGGAGATTTCCTGAGCATGCTTCTTGCAATATGCTTTATCGGTTGGTTCTCTCTCTTGAGTCTACGTGATACGGGGAACCTGACAGGATGTATGTGATATCAGCCCTCGGGATTTGCGTTGTCCGTCTTCGAGGAGAAGAAGAATCGGGATGGTCGAGACAAGTGGTCGCAGCAACGGAGCTGGCACCGTCGCTATGGCCCGTCATCTTCTCCGGCGTCATAGGCAACGCTCTCAAAGCCTACGCAAACTGGCGCGTTGAGAAAGGCACATCCTTACTGGTATGTCATCCCCCCCTCTTCATCCTCTTTAACTTGAAATCTCACACTCAAACAACAAACTAGTCCCTGGAGCAAATCCTCGGCTCCCTAACAATGGCAAACACAATCCTCTCCGTCTACACCCTCTCCATCTTCAACCTCTGGACCGTCTCCCTCGTCCTCATCTGGGCCTTCAACCCCCTCGGCTCCCAGGCCTCCTTCCGCAGCCTGCACCTGCAGCCGCAGTCGGCCACCGCGACCGCAACCCTCGGCTACCGCAACTACTCCGTCGAGACCCTCGGCGTCGGCGCGCTCATGGGCGCCTCGGGCTGGTCGTGGATCAGCCCGGCGTCCAAGATCGCGTACTCGAGCGTGCTGGCGTCGACCACGTCGCAGACGCAGTACTGCAACGGCACGTGCGGCGCCAACTTTACGGACCTCATCGCCCGGATGGGCGGGACGCGGGCGGCGGCGGAGCAGGTTGCGATGGACCCGTGGGGCAACCCCCGGATCCCGAGTTTGAAGCACGCGCCCGGGTACGACGCGGCGCGGCCAGAGGAGTGGCTTGCGGTGCCGTGGAGGGAGAGCGTGCAGGAGTACAGCAGCCTGATTGGGAATCGGTACCATGGGCTGAGGCCGGAGTTTGTGGGGAACGTGACGTTTACAATCGAGGCTAGTTATATGGAGGTTTACGACGTAAGAACTCTGGAAGTGGCAGTCCATTCGTTTTGATGTACTGATGGATGTGGAATGTAGTGCGCAGAGTGGTTGTGTCAGGATGATCTGCACAACAATACCGAGGTCAGTTCAAGCGGTCGAACGTCTTCCAGCCAGACCCTTCTCATGTTTTGGTCTTCAGACGGAACTGACATTTCGTCTCAGGCCATGGTTGCGTGGTTCGCAGCCAACTACAAGTCCTTCGCCACCAGGTACAACGTCAGCCTAGACGAACCGCCGTACAATAACGCCTCGTTCGACTTCTTCGACAGCAACCGGCGGGAGGGAAGCTACAAAACGTCCTACGACTACTCCTTCTCCATGGACTACAACACGACCTACGGCGCCTCCGGCCCCGACTCCGCCAACTCGACAATCTTCCTCGGGACCCTGGGCGGCCTCGAGTGCGGGCAGTGCATGACATCCTGCCCCGTCCGGACCGGCTACATCGAAGCCGAAATCGCGTGCGAGTCGCGCGGCATCGCGGGCAAATCCCAATGCGCAGCCACACGCATCCGTCAGATGCCGCGCCCGCCGCGCCCGCCCGGCGTCACCGCCTTCACGAACCGGCTGATCGGGACGACAGTCCCCCACTACGCGGCCCAGAAGTTCCCCAAGATGGGCAAGGACACCGACACGCGCTTCACGACCTTCTCCGAGGAGTTCGTCGAGAACCCCACGCGCGCCTTCAACCACGAGCTGAGCAAGAAGTACGTCGAGTGGTGCAAGCTGCCGATGCCCGTGTTCGCAGACCGGCTGGGGCTGCTCTTCAACACGTTCCTCGACGCGACGGTCGACCCGATGGCCGTGCTGGGCGCCGCCTCCGTCGTGGACGAGTCCGTCCTGCTCAACACCACGGCCGCCATGACCTCGCCGCTGCCGGCCGTGTACGTCATCGACGAGGCGTGGGTCGCAATCTACTTTGTGTCCACGCTTATCATGCTGCTGGCGGCAATAGGGGGCGTTGTGATACGGTACTACACCATTGCGCCGCAGGTTCTGGGGTATGTCGGAAGCTTGGTCAGGGACTCACCCTACTTTGCCGATATGGCGCCGCGTTGGAAGAGCACCGAGAGCGGCGAGGAGATTTCGAGACGTCTTGGAGACGTGAGGGTGGGCGTATTTGATGTAGAGCCCGACAAAGATGTTGGGAGAATTGCGTTTGCACCTGTCGAGATGGGGCACCGTGTGCGTCGGAAAAGATGGTACGAGTAACAATCGAATTGAATAAGTAATTTTCCTGCATCAATACTCGCGAAACCATTCCGGTGATGAGCTCCTGTACTCCGCCCATCCGCCGTTCTGGGGCCGCCTAGGGCATGCGGTCCCCTGATCTTTCAAACGGATGAAAATGGTGTCAACATTCGTCAAAATACGTACGCTCCAAACCTTTTAGTATTCAGCTCATAACCGTGAACATGTACAATCCCTTGAGCAGGCTAGGCTCATACCTGTGGCCCTTGAAATGCTCGACAAGTCATGACAGCCAACCCGCCATATCGTATGTCCCCAGGTACCCTCCAACATGCCATAACATTGATGCCGCGAAATGCACTTTTCATATAACATTTGATGATTCAAGATGAAATTTTTGAAATGTTTTCATTTGTTGGACGAACTTGCTGCACTTTTTCCAGAAAACCCGTCTTTTTTCATTTTCGTCGCCCCATTTTGAAGAAACCCTGGTCCCGATGGATTTTGGAAATAAAAGGTTGGCCCTCCATGATTTTCTGGTGTGGAAAAAAAAAGAGACCCAACAAAGCTGGTGGTATAAGATGAGAGAGAGCAATATGCATGGACGCCTCCGATGGTGCTTGTAAAAAATTAAATGAACAAGAAAGGTGTTTTCGTTGACGCGGATTTAGCCGTGCAGACCACACGTTCTCTCGCGCATCAGCTCGCGACGCTTCTTGTCCTTGGCTGTGAGTGGGTTAGCTGCTGTTTCTCAAAGTACGAGCGATAGGGATACTGACCTCCGTCCCATGTCAGGAACTCGTGGAGACCTGAGCCGGCAGGGACCATGGGCAGGACGGGCACCTTCTTGTCGGTGACGACCTCAAGGAGAGCAGGGCCGTCGGTGTTGATGAGCCACTTGAGGGCATCGACGACCTCATCGGGCTTGATGACTCTGCGGTGCTGGACGCCCATAGCGTCGGCCAGCTTCATGAAGTCGGGGTTCTTCTGGTGAGTGTGGGCGTAGCGGTCCTCGTAGAAGAGGTTCTGCCATTGGGTGACCATGCCCTGCTCCTCGTTGTTCAGGACAATGACCTTGACGCCAATGTTGAACTGAGCAGCGGTGGAGAGCTCGGTGAGGGTCATGTTGAAGGAGGCATCGCCGTCAATGTCGACAACGAGGGCATCAGGGCGCGCAACCTTGGCGCCGATGGCGGCGGGCAGACCGTAACCCATGGTACCCAGGCCACCGGAGGTGACCATGGTTCTGGGGTGCCTCCAGCGGAAGTGCTGGGCAGTCCACATCTGGTGCTGACCGACACCGGTGGCAATGATGGTGGTCTCCTTGCGGTCGGCGGTGAGGTTGCTGAGCTCCTCAATGAGGGTCTGGGGCTTGATCATGCCGGAACGCTCAGCCCTCTCGTAGTCGGACAGGGGCCACTTCTTCTTCCACGCGCGGATCTTGTCGAACCACTCCTTGCGGTCCTCCATTGATCTTGTCTCGAGGAGAGGAATGAGAGTCTTGAGGTTGGAGGCGACATCGCCCTCGACAGCCTCAGTAGCCTGGACGACCTTGTTGATGTTCTTGGGCATAATCTCGAAGTGAACAATACCGCCACGGCCCTCAGCGTGAGCAGCCTTAGCGCCAGGAGCGAACTTGGCAATGTTGAGAGTAACACGGTCGTCGAAACGGGCACCAAGAGCGAGGATAAGGTCGGCCTCCTGCATGGCGGAGTTGGCGTACGCAGAGCCGTGCATACCCAGCATGTGCAGGGACTTCTCGTCGAGCTCGTCGAAAGAGCCGAGACCGTGCAGGGTGGTGGTGACGGGGATGGAAACCTTCTCGGCAAGCTCCTTAAGGATCTGGACACCGCCCTCGGACTGGGAGATACCCTGGCCGGCGTAGATGATGGGCTTCTTGGCAACGTTGACAAGGTCGGCAACGCGCTGGATAGACTGCTTGAGCTGCTTGCTCAGCAGGGCCATGGCGGCTCTGCTGGCCTGGCTGGGCAGAGAGGGAAGGGCGGTCTCGGTGGGGATGGCTTTCCTCAGGACGGAAGCAGTGACGTCCTTGGGAAGGTCGACAAGGACGGGGCCAGGGCGTCCGCTGGTGGCGATCTCGAAAGCCTCGTTAATGCGGCGGGGGAGCTCAGCGACGTTCTTGACCATGACGTTCCACTTGGTGCAGGCGCGAGAGATACCGACGACGTCGGCCTCCTGGAAGGCATCACTGCCAATGGCGGAGGTAACGACCTGGCCGCAGAAGACAACCATGGGGGTACCGTCGGAGAGGGCGTCCTGCATGGGGGTGATGACGTTGGTCGCGCCGGGGCCGGAGGTGACGAGGACGACACCAGGCTTGCCGGAGGCGCGGGCGTAGCCCTCAGCCATGTGGCCGGCGCCCTGCTCGTGCTTGGGGAGGATGAAGTCGAAGTATTTTGAGTTGTAGATGGCGTCGAAGACGGGCAGAATAGCGCCTCCGGGGTATCCAACTGTGACTCACGGTCAGCCATGTGCTTCCTCTTATACGACCATCACGACTTGAGGATAGAGCAATTGGGTTACGAACAGATGTGCTTGACGTCGTGTCTCAACATCATCTCGTGGAAGATCTCTCCACCGGTCTTGCCAATGAACCTGTCCAGCATTGTAAGCTTCCATGTGCGTATAAGTCGGCGGGTGCTGGCGGCGGGATCACATACGACTCGTCCATCTCGGGACCGCGGGGGTTGACGAGGGGCTGGACATGGCTGCGGTCCTTCTCGGCATTGAAGGCGGGTGCTGGTGCTTCGCGAACCTCACTGCGATTGAAATCTTGTGTTAGCGTCAAGTTTTCCCGTGAGTCACTTCGAGCAGTCTACTTCGCCTCCGCGATAGAGGGGCAGCGGCGGGCGACAATGGCACTTACGGAGCGGGGGAGGAAGCAGAAGTAGCCTTATTCCTCAAACCAGAGGGAAGCTTCGCAGCCTGAAGGGCAGCAATGGCGGGAGAGGCAGTGGCAGCGCGGGGAGCGCTTCTGGTGTTGACGGCCCTGAGGGCGCGGGTGGCGTGGCGGCTTCGGAGCATCATGATGGGCAGAGTGGAGAGGAGGAACGGCCGGGACAGGAAAGGAAGGAAGAATTAAACAGAAAAGAGACTCGGCTTGAGGCCTTGTCGATACGAGAAGGGGGAGGAGAGCGCGGCTCGTCGAATTGGACGATCGCAGGGGGAGAGGTTTGTTGGAGGAAGAGAGGTTGCAGTGCAGAGATCGCGGAGCAATGGAAATTTTGGCAGATCTCGAAGTCTAATGGTTCGGGCAGGTTTGTGAGAGAAGAACGAGAGAGGTTCGACTCATGCGGTACCGGGCCGGGGACGCTGGCCAGACACTGCTAGGTGCTAGCCACCTTAGACTGGACTAGACACACGCACACAGCACACAGAGAGAGAACTCGCAGAGACCTTCCCGCTTGGAGGGAATGACCGGACCCTCAAGAGCACTGAGTCCACTGGACGGCTGCTGTTTCGGAGGCAGGGAAAAAAAAACCAAAAAATTTATCGGCCGTCAGTGTGTGGGGTAGACGCCTCCTCACTGGCCAGACGGCAGAGAGAGTGGGGCACTGTGAACGCAAGCGTTGCTCACTGGGGGGAGGCACGGGCCCTTCATCCAATCTGGGGTGGCGATATCGGCCATGATTCCTGCCTTTTCCCTCTCTTTTGCTGACCTTCACATTGGAAGGGCGCTGCAGGGCGCTGCATTGGCTTTACCGTCTGCTTGCCCACCTCACTTCTCCTGCATGCTGCCGCCCACCGCCTTCCCTCTTGCTCTGCTACTGCCCGCGCTCCTGCCCCTCTCTGCCAATTGGATTGGTTTATGACTCACTCTCATTGGTCTCTTCCCCTTTCCCAGAACAACCCCACTCGAAGCTGAACACTGACAGATACTAACAACTGGAGCAAAACTGCCAAAACTCCAAGCGGATTGGAGAAACTACTCCAGCCATCGCCGTTAGCGTCCCTCATTCCTCCTAACAGTCCCGAGGCGTCTTGCGGCTTGCCTCCTCCGCTGCTGCGAGCCTGCTGCCACTGGCACGCTGGAAAGTGGGAGGAGCAAACACACCTGCGACCGTTTATTTTGCTCCAATCCTTGCCTCGTTTCCTTTGGCACTGCGAGAAAACAAGCAAGCCGGGACGGGAGGAGGGTGACACAGGAACCTCCACAAAAACTGCCCTATCTTTCCCTATCGGTTCGTTCTCGCCATCCCGTCTACGACACTTGTCGCGCCACGACTGCCCCATTGTCGTTTCTTCTTCCCTCTCTCCACGTTCGTCCAGTCTGGGCATTTCGGGATGCGGGTTGGGTTGGACTTTGGGCCAAACGGTCCAGCCACCGACATATCGCATGGTGTGGCGTTAGGATGCGACACAGTACCCGCGGTCGATTGAGGGGTTGAACGTCTTCAATTGAGTACGCCTCGACACGTGAATCCTGCGTGGAATTGGTTAGCGCAGTCCACGAGGAGATGTTCAATGTTCTTTGGAAATGCATAGCCGGCCAATTCCCGGTGACCGGACCCCTACTCCGACATGATCCGGCCCCAGGCCACCCCTGATCAGACGGACGGCTGCACAGGGAAACCATCTCAACTCGAGATTACTCAATTGACGACGCATAAAGAGAACGCGTCGGTTGAAGTCATTATAAAAAGCGTTAAATATTGTTTTTAGTCTCTCTACCATTCCATTACCCATGACATATGATGCAGCCCTTGAACACCGGAACCCGAATCGCACAATGAGGTATCTTGGCCATGCTTACACCAATTTCCGCCAATACAATAATTATGTATGACCAAATGCTTTCGTCTTACCATGCCATCACCGTCCCTCAGGCACCGTCTTACATGTGGTTGCGGTTGTCAAAGGGGTTGTGGCCGTTGTTGGCATGGCCATTGTTGTGGTCGTTGCTGTGGTCATCGTTGTACGGCTGCTGGTTGCCGTCGTTGGCCATGAGAGGCTGCTCAACGGCGATCGTGGGCTTCTTGGCCAGCTTTGCCTCCTTCGCAATGGCCGCTGCCTCGGCCTTAGCGAGGATGCGCTTCCTGTTCTTGCGGTCGCGGCAGCAGAGGAAGGTGATGAGCGCGATGGCGCCAGTGCCGGCAATCGCGAAGAAGAGAGCGACAGCGATACCAGCACCGCTGAGGGTGTTATCAATCACCAAGCAAGAAGGGTTGCCGGAAGAATCGTCCTGGCAAAGCATGCCCGCGGCGCATGTCTCGAACGCGACGGTCGTGGAGTAGCAACCACTAGTGATGGTCTTGCCAGAAGCGGTACCGGTGGATTGGACGGGGCAAGCAGTCGTCGACTTGGTCGTCGTGGTAGAGCAGACCTTGGTCGTCGCGGTTGTTCCGGTGCCTGTGGTCCCAGTACCGGTTGAAGCGGCGGTGGTGCCAGTAGCAGTGGTGCCAGTACCGGCAGTAGAGGCCGCCGTGGTAGTGGTTGCAGCACTGGCTGTGGTGGCAGCGGTGGCAGCGGTGGCAGCTGTCGTTGTCGTCTCCGCGGCTGTGGTATCTGTGGTCGCACGAGCCTGGACGATGCCGAAGTGGCGGATTTTCAGCTCTTGGGCAATGTTGCCATACTCATCACATCTGTCCAGGGCCCATTGAGCCTCCACCATTGACTCGGTGAAGTCGCAGCCGGAGTTGATCCAGCAAGTCTCGAGATCGGCCTGTGTAACGTCGTCGGGAATCATAAACAGGCAGGCTGCAACGGAGCCCGCCATACCGCAGCCACTCAGCCGGGAAAGTTCGACATTTCGCGATCGGAGGCAGTGCAACCTCGCGGGAGTGACGGCTGAGGCGGTAGTTGCGAGGAGCGCCAGGAGCGCCGAGGCGGATTGGTAGGAGCGCATTTTACCCGGTTTTGTGGGGAGCTGTCCCAACTGCCGGAACGGAGATCGGTCGGTAGGGTGGGTAAAGGTAGGGTTGTAGCTCGGAGTGTACGCGGAAGTGCCGGCCCAGGAGCTTGGGTGAGGAGCAGCTTCTGCAACGAGTTACTGTTGGGGCGATGACAGCTTCCTGATTGGGAAGCTTAGTTTGGTTCTCCTGAGAGAATTCGAGAAGATGTCGTCGGTGAGCTTTGCTTGGAGGGAGTTGACGAAGGGCTGAAGAAGAGACAGAAGACTGCTTATTAGACGTCCCAGCAGAATCGGTCAGGTGAGGGTCGATGGAGGGGTCGGATTGGGAACACCGCGTCGAGGTTAGTAAACAGAAAGGGGAGAGAAGCAGGAAGGATCGAGCCGGGTGAGATGGGAATGAGGGTCAAATAAAAAAGAAGGCGAGAGGGATGTGAAGGACGCCGGCTGGCGCCTGGGGCTGGGCTGGACCAACTGGATCCTTTTTTTGGCGTGTTGCCATTCTCGCCGGCCTGGCACTGGATTTGTCTCTCCCCAGTCCTCCCCATCTTCCAGAGCAAGGCCCTGCGCCTGCGAGCGAGCGAGTGTGAGCTGAGATGCCAACGCCAGTGCCACGAGCATCTGCACCTCAGCGCGCGGGCCCTCACAACCTCGTTCGGGTAAGGCGTCTGATGGAGCGGGCATGGGAAGGTCTCCGCTTAGGCTCACTTTTGTGGCTTACCTGCAGTAGACCCAGACGATGGACAAGTACTCTCTAATAAGGCTGGAGCCCGTTTTGCAGCGGTACCGTAGGCTATTCCCGTGCCGTCTAGGGGACGGCATTGAGGCGAGGTACTTGAGTATATTGGGGGTACGCAGCATGGGCTCCGGAGTACGTGTCTTGGTGATGGCGCTGCTCTTTTGCTGCTGCTGCGGCACCGCCCTTCCCTACCAGGAAGTCCTCTGCTTGGGAGCCAGCGAATGAGAGGGTGCGGCGTGGTGGCTGACGGCGTCCGCCTCCATATTTAGGCCATGCCCTCATCTCATCTGGAGGGGTTCGCCCCATGCTGCTTACGTTGTTCCTGGACGGGACGGCCATCACCGGCCGGCTGGGTGGGTGAACGGGTTCATCTCTGGAGCCTGCCCACTTGGTGTTGGGTTGTTGACGTTCTGCTGGCGTGATGGCCTTCTGTCATTACCATCTTGACTCGGTCACGAAAGGATGCCTTTGTGTCTCGCCAAGCTCAGTGTTTCCCGTTTCCCGGCTTTGCTGGCTCAGGTTGCCTGTTGCTAAAAGCAGCTTTTACTGTTCCCGTCTCATAGCTTATCCTGAACGGTGTAAGCGCAGAAGGCACTGAGTAAACTCTAACAATGCCCCACGAACAGGGGACCACCCTTCCGCCGACGTTCGGATTTTTGGCCAATGGCAGGCACAGTTCGGACGACGTTTCGCCAGTCTCTGCAGTGTTTTCTGACAGTGTCTTAGAGCTCCGCAGGCTGCAGCATTCCTGTTGGACGGAACGGGGACGGAATGAGGGGGCGGGCATCGGTTGAGAAAAACACAGAAAGAAAAGGGGCCCTTCGCTTGCTCGGATAGGTACGAAGTAGCGTCGTGGGCTGTGGTGATGGGGCTTCTGATATCCCTGTTGCGGCTTGAAAAAGTGCTTGAAGGTGCTGGGCTGCGTTGGTTCGTGGCTGAGACCTGACACCCTGGAATGTGAGCCAGCCTCCCCCAGTCACCAATCCCCATCACGATTCGGCGGACGCCATGCAGGAGCTGAAGTCCCTTTTCTCTCAGCGACAACAGCCGCCGTGGTTGGCTTGGCTTAGGGGAGAAAGACCCTGCATGGCGGGTAATCTGAAAGAGGGCGGTAATATTGACCGCCGATTGCCAGACCTGCGCATTTTGAGGATCAAGTTCTTTGAGAAATTAGGTTGTGGTTTCTCGATCGTTCGCGATATCCCGTGTGTTGCCGTCCCAAGCGGCCAAATGGCAGGGAACGTGGAGGTGCCAGGGAACAGGAGTACGCAGTAGAACGTTGACGCGGTCAGACCGGAAGCCTCTTTGGCGATGGGGGCCACAGGGCATCCACCTGATACGGAGCAGTCTTTCGGATTGCAGCGTGATAGGGTAAGCGGGAGGAGAGTAGCCCGCAGCCAATAAGGTAGGCGATACGATCGAGTCTCGGGTTGAAAGGCCATGGACCTTCATCGTCAACGGCCCTGCCATCTGTATTCTGTACCCATGAGTGAGCAAAAAAGTTTTTCGTACCTTGTTACCTCGTAGCCAGTATTGCGGTAGGCTTCCAGAGTGTTCGGGATGGATGTCAGCGGGGCGGGGCGGCATCTCCATTCCCGCTGAGTCGGTGGGCTTGCACAAAATGGGATGAACAGGTCGAGGTGCTTGAGTAAGTATCCCGGACGCGAATGTTTCGATGCCCATGTCCATGTTCTGCGCCCATCGCGAGGGGGGAATGCGAGCGAGTTTGCGTGTGGTGTTGCGAATCGTGCGCTAACCGCGTAGGCGAGGCGTAGAACGACAGGGACTTTATTGAGCCTCTGGAGACTCAGCCTCCTTTTTCCTAAACCCCCGACGACGTTGCTGCCGATATTCTCGGCTCTTGCCTCTGTTGGTATTTTCGCCGATAAGGCCAGCCCTAGGCAATGGAGGTGAGGTGCCCAGCATCTCAGGGAATCGCGATGAACATCTTACGAATACCTTCCTCGGGAACCAGCAAAGGACATAAGAGGCAGGCAGCACCAATCGAAGGCACCTCAACCTCTGGGCTGAGGAAGGAATAATCATTCTGCCTGGGAAGGAACGCGCCAATCTGAATTGGCGTGCACTGGCCAACTAAAGATCCTCCTGCGCTTACCTACTAAGTAGGTAGGTTACCTGCACTGACTGCAGCTGGGCGCTTTCCCTTCCCGCCAGTCAGCCCAGCCCGGGCTTGACATGGAAGTTAGGGAGAACAGGCTCCCACCTTCCGTTCTAATTCTGTCAGCATTCACGACTGCGTTTCCGTCCACTGCAATTACGGTTGCCCATCCCTACTGCATCTGGAAGAAGCACCCGGCGATGCGTTCCGTCCTTCTCACCGCAACCGACTTGGCACCCGGAGCTCTTTCCGTTGAGCTTAGGTAAGGAAATGAACGGCGCATGAATCTCATTCCCACAGACGTACGGATACCTACAGCAGCCAAGCTGCCAATGTAAGCTTAATAAGAAACAATTTGGCGCATCATTTGGAGACTCATTACATCTTGGCACGAGATCTCACCGTCTTCTGCGATGTGGCTGGTGCTGATCTCTACCCAGCCACGTGCGTCTCGAAACTGGCAGCTGAGGCTGGTGCCAGTGTCTATCATGACATGCTGTGGTATCCGTACAGATGTTAGAAATAGCTAGCTAACCAATGCTGTACACCCCCGTTTTGCGTTGTTTGGTCCATTTGATCCATTTCCCTTCACCACAGAGACAATGACAATTCAACGACTCTTTCAACGCATGTTTCGATCCCAAACGGGTTCTGGTGTCGACTTCCATTGAATGCCAAGACAACGGGCTGCGACTGAATGACGAGCTGCCAATGCTAGATATCTTCATCACATGATATTTGGACCACCTACCTACTTAGTAGGGATTCAGATGATAAACAGGGATCCAATGAGGCTCCCAGGTAGGCAGGTAGGTTAGACGTACCTACTTTCCTCAAATCGTGCCGTCGTCGCTTTCCGTCGGGCAGGAGCCGGCCCAGTCCCTGTGAACCACCACCTTCCAGAAACGACATCCCCCGCCCCCACACAACTACGACGTCATCGCTCAGTCCTCAGAGTCCAGACCTCCAACCTTGCTGAGCTCTTCTTCAACAATGTCATTGCATTAAACCTACAACTTTCCCACTGCTCAACATCATCAACAAAACCCGCATCGTCCCTAAAGACCTGACTCCATACGTTTTACAGATTCCCTAGGTAACCCCTTGAACATTACCCAACATGCCTCTCGTCGTTCCCGGCATCAACAACATCACCGACGAGTCCAAGACTCAGGAGTGGAGCAACAAGCTCGTCGGAAAGAAGCTCCACGAGGAGGAGTCCAACGAGACTGTAAGTCGCTTTCAAGATGCCGCATGACCTTTACCTTATCGTCATCGTACTGACAGCGGCCCTGTTCAGACTTTCTGCAAGAGAGATCTCCCCGAGAAGTCCCGTGTCATCGAGCCCGGCATGATGGTCACCAAGGACTTCGTGCCCGACAGGTTGAACGTGCACGTCAAGGAAGACGGCACCGTTTCCCACGTTGTTCACGGCTAGATCAGCATTCACGACATGTGGCGATCTCCGAGATCCGAGTCCGGGGCCTCGGAGGCGCGCGCAATGATTGGTTACGAATAGCAAAACTTTGCATGATTGTACAGAAATTATTTTGGAATGAATACACCGTTTAACTTGCCTATGAAATTTTGTCTTTGATGTTTGTCGCGACGGAGCTTCAAACCCAAGTGACGTGATGCCCGTCTGCTGCGGTGCCTGCACCCCTCAATTCTCGGTAGCGCTCTGCCCCTCCAAACTGCACGCCAGGTCTACCCCGCCCGCCCGACTGCGGGGCAATTTTCCTGCGATGCTCGCTCTCCAACCAACCCCACCATCAATTCACCTCAACCACGCCGGGCAAAACCACACGACGCGCCGCATCGCCCTCGTCCAGAACTACCGTGATACCCCATTCTAATAATCGCCGTCGTCCGTCAATACCGCCAAAATGTTCAAGAAAGAGTACAGCAGCCACCTCCCCCTAAAATGCCAACTATTCCAACCTAAGCTAACAATAACCCCTCCCTCGCAGTATCACCTCCGCCCCGAAGCAGAAGCTCAAGTCCTCCGTCCAGCGCTCCCTGCGCCAGTCGCTGCTGGGCTCCTACCCGTTGCTGAACCCCTACATCGACGAGTTGATGCCCAAGAAGGCCTCTCTCGAGCAGATGAAGCTGCCCGAGCGCTGCTCCCTCTACGTCTGCGACCAACAGCCCCTCTTCTACCAGCAGGACAACGGCACCCTCATCCCCCACCTCAAACTCGTCCACCGCTTCCCCAGGGGCTTCCCGACCATCCGCATTGACCGCGGCGCTATCCGCTTCGTGCTCTCTGGCGCCACCCTCATGGCCCCCGGCCTGACGAGCCCCGGCGGCCGGCTGCCCAAGCCGAGGGACGGCGACGAGGGCGTCGACGAGGAGGGCCACTGGAGCAGGGAGCTGGAGAAGGGCGAGCCGGTTGTCATCATGGCCGAGGGCAAGACAGAGGCATGCGCTGTCGGGTTCCTGGTCGCGGGGACGAAGGAGGTCAAGGATAAGGGAAAGGGGCCTGTGGTCGAGGAGGCGCATTTCTTGGGTGATGGCCTTTGGAGACTTGGATCGGAATAAGGGGGAGAACGTATATTTGATCGGCATATGAGCGTCACGGCCGTTTTTGGTTGAGCTGGGGGACACGGAAGCATGGCACGTGAGCATCTGGGGTACCGGAAAAACCTCACGAGAAAAGAACATTACAATGGAAAGAATATTAGCGCGCATTATTTACTCTTCGCCACAAGGTTTCTGAGGCTGTTGGTTCTGCGTTAAAGACTGGTCTGGTTCCTCCAGGGACCATGTATGTCGGCGCTTGCCTGCAAGGTTCTCAATATTGAAAGTTTTGTACTTGCTTTGGCGAAGACCGTACATACCTCCCAACGTTCCTTCCGTTATATATTTTCCTTCGTGTCTTGTTTACTTCGGAATCTCTGTTATGTCTCGAAATAATTATTTCGAAACCCGCATCTACTCCCGCAACCCTCTGCGCTACTCGTCATGGAAGCATCCAAACCCTATATCAAGTGGCCCAAGCTATACCTCCCCGATACTTGGTGCCCTCCACACCTCGCGGGCACCGAGCACATTATGATGGCCGAAGGTATCCTCAACATGATAGAAAAAGACACCACAGTCGGTCTCGATCTGACTGTGCCAAAGAGGTTTATCCGCCACTTTCTGCATCCGAAACATGACGACGAGACGCGCGAGAAACGACTCCAGGAGGCCAATGCCTTGCTAGAGAGATTCGAGTACGAGGATGCCGAGAACGAGGCCCGGTGTGAGTGCGAGTTCTATGTGGATGATGAAACTGCGCTCACCTGGCGAAGGCTCGACGACAATTTGGAGCCTCAATCGTGGTTCTGCAACTACGACCCAAATTGGACCGAACGCGATCCGCTCCCTAGCCCGTTCATCGACCAGACCGGCCGACGGCTGCCTTTGTTGGTGGAGATCCAGAGCATCCTGGAAACGCTTTGGATCGACGAGTCTGACATGTCCCTCGACCGTTTCCGAGTCACACCGCACCTCTGGGCTGTCTTCCAACTCGCCCCTATCGACCAGCTCGAGGCGCTGCTCGGGGACTTGCGTAGTGGAAAGATCACCTGGAAGGACATGCACAAGCGTGTCACGATGTTTCTTGACGACTCTCCCGACAGCCTGTTCGCGTGCAAGGTACTGGACTTGCAGGCATACGACATGTCTGCTCTGAAGGAGGTCTCGGAGCATTTAATGTCCCGCGAAGCGATCTGGGGCCTCGAAACCGTGGAGAAGTACAGAGAAATGCTCTACAACATCGGTCCCGAGGGTGCGGGGAACATGGTGCTGAGGCTTTGTCCGCGGCACAGATGGGACAACGCGCAGTATGCGTTTGAGCCTCTTGAGCAAACCGCAGACTCTCTTCGCGTGCGGTTCCGCTTCCTTCCTGACACGAGACAGAAACTGGGCAAGGAGAGGGCGCATACGTTGGTATGGGACGGGAACTTGGCTAGGGATCCCGAGGAGTTCCTGCGGCACTACCCACTCGAGAGGGATTACGACCACAACATCTGTCTTGTCCACGTCGCCAACAACACGACCCATGAACTCAGAGATGGTCAGATTATCGAGATCAAATCCAAGATCCCGGGCCGGCGCCCAGAGTTTCTGTTATGGGAGATGAGATACAAGACCCGGCTGATGGTCACCATGATCTCTGCTGCCCAACCCGAAACCCTCGAGGCCTACGATGTAGCCTATGAGTATGAAGGTAGTGAGACTATGAGCTGCACGCCAGGCTGATGTCATAGGGCATCTGATGCATATATCGACTCGAGGACCTGACTGGACTGCAAGGACGGACGACGACGAAGAAAACGACAGCAGCGACAATGATAGCTACGCAGAGCAGGCCTGAGAGCCCGACGGACACCGGCCCCACTCTCGGAACGACCTCCGAGGAACCAGGCACCGGGTTAGATAGCATATCGTATATTTTCACAAAAGACCTGTGACCTTTATCAACTCCTCATTTCTACCCTGCATCCCTTGTAATTGAAAAACCATCATATCCGTCGGCCCCCAGCATAAGACCCAGGACGGGGCGACAAACAGCGTTGATCACGACTACAGACCCTTGCAAAGTTGTTGGAACTGTTCCTCGCTAATGCACTGTTCCCGGGGGCTGATGAGATGTTTGAGTCTTTTGAGCCATCGTCCCCGTTGGGGTGCAGGGTTGCGACCAATCAAACCCCCAACTGCACCCCTCGGCGGCGCTTAATCTCGATCTAAACAAGCACCAACAACTTCCAACACAAGGTTGGAGTGCAGTTTGCTCATGGAGCCGTTACCATTTAGAGGGACGGAACGCTACCCCGGTCTTAGATGTTGCCGGGGCTGATAGAGTTGAAAAGGCGAAAGCCCGCTCCCATCGAAATGTGACGTTGACTCGAGAATCCTGCATGCCCTCTGCGCGACAGCTTTGTTGAAGATGGCCTCTGCAGGGGGTCTTCGCTCGGCACAGTCGCCCGACAATGTTCGGCCAGAACACAGAATCGCTCGAAAGCCGGTCCCGGACAGGAGCTCTACTCAATACAGCGCCCTGACTCCGGAAACTTCTCCATCGTCGCCGAATACCAGCAAGTGCGCCGGAAGAGTAACCGTCACGGAGCAGACTCATGCAAAATGGCGACCCCAGTGGCTCCGGCCACAGTCCCTCGCATCGTTTGCCGGACTTTTCTTGTGCATTTCGGTTGCCCTCCCAGCAATGCTGTGGTACTCTCAACAACATGACGGCATAGCAAAGACTCGACAGGATTACGGTTACGTGTGGCGGTTCGGCCCAACAGCTGGTAAGTCCTGGATGGTATGGAAAAGAGATCAGAGGACCAACCCATTCTGCAGTTCTCACGATAGTCGCCGCCTTCTGGGCACGGGTCGAGTTACAAGCCATGAGATACATGCCTTGGATCGCCCTCCGACGCGGCCAATCTCCCGACTACGACCTGGATTACACATCTATGCTGATGCCCACTGTCCTCTACGCATCCCTCCGCCGGAAACACTGGCTAGTCCTCCTGGTCTCGGTGGTCTCCCTGCTGATCAGGGCCGAGATCGTGCTCGCCCCTGGTCTGTTCCAGCTCACACCTGTCCAGCGCGCAGAGCCCACCAACATCGCAATGGCAGACTCCTTCAGCCTCAACTGGGACACCGACACGGGGCGCGAAGCAATCATCGCTTACTATGCCGCCCGCGCTGTACACGACTTCAACATGACGTATCCTTTTGGCGTCACCCAGAAGGCTGCCTACCAGACATTCGCACTGGCGGATACGGGCAGAAGAGGTACCACCAGCGCGCCTGTCAAGGCCGAGGTTGACGCCTTCTTCACGGGTATGGAGTGTCTGAAAGCGAAAAGATGGTCAGCTTCGGAGGCAGCAAAAAAGCTCATGAGCAGGTTCTACTCGGTCGATGTTTCTTTCCAATTCGAGGGCTGTCAGCAAAACGTCTCATTCACCCAAGAAACGGTCCAGATGCCAGACACGTCCATAATGCCAGCGAAGATCTATGACTCCTGGCAGCTGAGTAAAGACCTATCACCCAATTCCCGCCCATGCGCCAACCTGCCGCAACAGTATGATCAATTTGTCTATTTCGCGGGACAATATGTGAAGGGCGCATCTGTCAACTCGTCCCGGCCCGTAGAGCTTGTAAAGGCAGATGCCATTCTGTGCTCCCCCACCGCTTGGATATCCAAAGTCGAAGTTACCGATGACGGAATCAGCCCGAACCTCACGGTCTTACCGAACCAGGAAAAGCGCCCAATCGAAGCTGAAATTTGGGGCATTTTGGGAAAGGCTATCCCGTCGACTCCTGGAGGCTGGGATTTCAGCCCTCAGATTGGCACCTCCCAGCTGAACTACGGGCCCGTCAGAGGGGAGCTCTCATTCAGCGAAGAGCGAGCCAATTTTTCGGACACAACCGAACTGCTGTACAATTGTACCATCAACTTGACTAGGAGGCTGGGGCCCCTTGTCGGGCACTACCTGTTTCGACAAAATAACACCGACAAGTCTGAAGCGGTTGCGGATATGTTTGTTGTTATCGATAGACTGGCGCTCAACCCGCAAGTCTGCTGGGCTATATTTGCTCTTTCCTCTCTGATAGCCGCCATCATCGGCCTCTCTCTATTTCGATCCCGGCGGTATACCACGATATGGTACCGAGATCCGGCTACCGTCTTGGGACATCTCCTCTTCCTCAGCGACCATCCCGAGCTTCGAGAAACGGAGCCGAATGAAAGCGATGATAAGAGCTGGGGCCATGGCACCTTCACCCCGATTGTGTTGAGACCCTGGGCACAGATTGCATTCGCGATTTTCGTCTGCGGTCTTCTCATTGGCCTAGGTTCGACGTTGCAGCAGTCGGAGGCGCACCATGGGCTAGCAACAGTCGACGAGAGGGGATACTGGTATCTGTTGTGGACTTCCTTCCCATCGATGATCATGCTAGGCGTCTCGTTGTACATCAGCTCGTGCGACTTTGTTTTGAGGGCCTTGTCTACCCTTCACAATCTGTCTACCCGGCCGTGTGATTCCCGGTTACTGGACTTCTCCATGCTGGACATGCTCGGGCTCCGCGCGCTTTGGAAATCATCGCAGCAAAGGCTTTGGACGATTACCATGTCCCAGCTCACGGTAGTCTTTTGCGGCTTCCTAGCCACACTTGCTACCGTTCTCTTCTCAATCGAAACAGTAATCAGCCCCGTGGAAGTGCAGCTGCAACAGCAAAGTTGGTTCGGTGATACTTTTATCGACAACAACACAGATTCACCCGCACAGAACCGCGAGAATATCCGGAGCCTGTTGGCACGTCGCGGAGAAGCTAACTTCACTTACCCGAGAAACACGTATGCCGACATGGCATTTCCTATGCTTGATATGTCACAGCTGCCCGTCGCAAACAGCACAAGACAGGTGACGATACAGTTCAAAGTGCCCGCCGCGAAGCTGGTCTCAAGCTGCCAGCGGTTGCCCGAGGCCCGGTTCAACGTCACGGTGATGAACTACACGGAACAAATCTCGCAAAACACATCCGAGACGGTGTACCAGGGCCCGATGCTCATAAAGGAGAAATGCCCTACCGGCTACACGGACAACCTGGGCCACCTGTTCATCTTCGGCCGCAACCAAACAGGCGCGCACAGCGGCAAGTCTAGCTTTGCCGACATCCTGGCATCTCCTGGCAATCTTTACGACATGAACCAGCCCTGCCAACTGAACATTACAGATGCCAATGATCTTCTCCGCCCGATAATGCAGCAAACATATGTCTGGGGCCAGTGGAACTACGATAAGTACGACTTTGACCTGCTGCGGTTCTGGAGGTGCGACTATTCTTGGGCGCAGGTCATGACCGACGTAACCATGGTCAAAGGATCAGACGGCGAGTTCGCCATCGACCAGACCAGACCGCCTGTCCCGGACCTATCTACTACGAAGAAATTGGATCACCCATTCGTCGTACCTGTAAGAGACTACCAGGACCTGTTCATGGTTGTGGGGGCTAGCACCGGCCTTGATGGCAACGTGGCGCCTGAGATTATTGTCACCGACCCCTCAGCTGGCGACATCAACCCCTTCTTCCGGCCCTTGATACAGCCGTACGGAAAGCTGCCGCTCGAGGCGTTTGGCGACCCGGAGTGGGAAAACGCGGTTCTGGAGGAGCTGCACACAAATTTGGGATTCGCGAGTGCGCAGCTGGCGAATCTGGAAAACCGGTTGGACGTAGGGCAAGATTCCAGGACCACACCGTTCCCGGCCGAGGGCTTGCCGGCTGTGGAGGCTCTTGTGACTGACGGGGGCCAACGGAGGCTGATGCAGAATGCGACGGTCACGTATGTCATTATCGGGATACTTGGTCTAGTCGCTTTGGGCATCTTGTGGACGCTGTTCTCGAGGGTGATGAGAATGTATGGGGTCAAGAGAGATTGGTTTGCGATGGATGTGAAGGGGCTTGCGCCGGACGGCTTTGGGAGCATTGGTGCGATGACGAGCTTGTTGCGTGAGTCGAATGCAATGGATCATGTGCCATCGCAGTCGGAAAGAGTCTCAACCGCCGATCTCCATGAGATGCTGAAGGGTCTGTGGTTTCGGCTGGGATGGTTCAGTAGGGAAGCGGATCAGAGGAGGCACTTCACTGTCGGGGTGTTGGAGGATAAGAAGTTTTCTTGGATTGAGAGTAAGATAGAGGCGGAGATGGGAGAGAAGCCTATGTATGAGAGGGTGGTCAGTACTTCTGAGGAGACGGCATTTAGAGTAGGCAGTCCTGAAGTCGTAGATGGACCGCGGGATAGAGAGTAGATTTGATGAAAAAGATTTCGCGGTCAAAACACTAAAATAATTCGCCCTGAGAAGAGGACATTGTTATCGGCACAGCAAGTTGATGAACAGGATAGTGAAGGAATGGTCTTAGGAGTCAGACTTCGTCCTCTGCCTACAAGCCAATGAGCTGCTCTTTAGTACCCTTTATTGCATTAGAGAGGTCGTCTCCTAGCTTAATATGCCTTCAAGTCAATAGGTACCTTATGTATGACGACAACAACTCGGCTTCCCCAAAAGAGTCACAATTTGCACCACTGGACTAAAATTCAGACAGCCTGGGCTGTGAAAAGGTCGTCAATACCCAGCCAGTAACGTGCGGTCGAGAGAAACATGTCTCAGACTTGGTTGGGTTACCTTTCTCCGCCTTCTTTCTGACCATGCGGCTTACAATCAGGCCAAATTTCCCATTATCTGGGTCAATCCCAACACGACCAGCGTGCTCACACTCGAGTTCGCGAACCCGGTTTTCTGTTCCGACCATCGACCTGAACCTTCGCTAGCAACTACAATTCGGCGACTCTCGTACGTTTCTAAAGTTGTCCATGCATTCGTTCACTGTCTAAAGTTACGGCCTCAAAATACGAAATGCAATGCGCCTTCTATCTACCGCTGATCTCACGCTACATACATTTCCCGACGACGCGATTCCTCAGTACTCGATCCTTTCCCACACATGGGATGATGAAGAGGTGCTCTTCCATGAGATGCTGAACCCAACCGATGAAATACGAGGTCGAGCTGGGTACAAGGAAATTCAAAAATGCGCCGAGATAAGCAGAAAGATCTGGGATTGTGACTTCACCTGGGTGGACACATGCTGCATCGATAAAACAAGCAGTTCCGAGCTTTCAGAATCAATCAACTCCATGTATGCGTGGTATCGAGACTCCTATATCTGCTTCGCGTACCTGGAAGACTTCCACGACGAAAATATCAGCCAGGTGTCGCAAAAGACACGATGGTTTACCAGAGGCTGGACACTTCAAGAATTACTTGCCCCCGAAGAGGTAATATTCTTTTCCGCGTCTTGAAAAAGGATCGGCAATAAGAAATCGCACCTCCCCAGTTTAGAGTCAATCACTGGGATTGACCAATCTATACTCAAGATGAACAAACTACAAGGTGTATCCGTGGCTAAGAAGATGAAATGGGTAGCAAACCGCACGACGACAAAAAAGGAGGACCTAGCATATTGTATGTTGGGCATATTTGGCGTGATTTTACCCTTGCTCTATGGCGAGGGAGACAAAGCCTTCACAAGGTTGCAAGAGGAGATTATGCGAAACTCGGAAGATGTTACTCTTTTCCTATGGATAAGCCTCAACGAGAACGCAGGCTATTCCAGAGGGGCACTCGCCCACCATCGAAATGAATTCGCTGATTCCACAGCACCTAACACACCGATGAACGTCCTTGACGAGCCATACCAAATGACCAACAAAGGACTGCAAATAACAACGCCGTTGATGGAATTGGACCATGTGGATCCAGTACACGTCTCCTTCCCCAAGGAAGACCCTTTCCGAAGTTCTCTTTTCCTTCTTTCCTTCGACCAGCATGACCCTAAAGAAGGGATCATTACTCACCATGTCGTTCTCCGAAAGGTTAAGGACGCAAAAGACCACTACGTCAGGGCTTACCCTCATTTCCAATTTGTCGCCCCACGAAAAGCTCCAACTACGTGGCCCCATAACCGCCGACCCAGAGAGCAGACTATCATAATAGTTGAACGGCTTTCTCTTTCTAATATCGACTGGGTTTTGCCTTGCGAAGGATTTGAAATCACCGAGGTGATATACAATCCTGCAATCAAGTTCCTGAACCCAGCTGTGTCCGAGTTGAAGCTCACACACGAGCTGGTGCAGACCACTTCCAGTGCAGACAACGGCGTTATTGAAGCCTTGTATTCTTCTCATCACGCCCGAAGAGGGCCTGGAAGTCCAAATCCATCTTTACGACATATCCTCTTGAGGTACGAGCAGCAACACGCTAGGATACATATGTTCATTTTCTACGACTTACGTGCAAAAGTATCCGAGATAGGTGGTACCATTTCTATTGATTCACTTCCGCAAGCAGTGCGGAAACAGCATTACCCATCTGGAATAGGAGGGCTTATATCATCCAGTTCCAAAAGACTATCGTTTTTTACGGGCACTGCGAATCTGAGACAAGAGACGGAAATTAGAGGAGGGATAGGCAATGCGCAAGTCTATGCCGAATTCTCGCGAAAACTTATTGATCAGAGCCTCTTTTTGGATGTGTATATCAAACACTACGAGCTGTAGTGTAGGAAGCCCCCCGCGTTTGGTAACAGACGCAAAGCTAACTTAACCCTTCTTGACATATAGGGACAATACAAACACAGAGCTAAAGGCATGGCGTAATGATGAGAATTTTGGCATGAATGCTAAATAGCTAAATATCGGTCACATGGACGAATTGCCTTTCGTTGACGACGATATGTAGATGAAGTTCGTCCTTGACATACTATATATATATGAGATTTTAGAGACTACTCCAAGCATCATCAAAGTTTTGCCAGTTGAACTTTCTTATCTTGATACACAACCTCGAAACTGTACGCCGGGTCATAGTGCATAGTCCAGTATCCGTCCCAAATGCTCTTCGTCACAGGACCAACCTGCCCACCGCTCACGGGCTTCCCATCCAGGCTGGTTATCGGCATGATACCACCCGCTGTAGTGCACATCAATATCTCGTCAGCCTGATATGCCATCTCGACCGGAACGACCTCAACACGAACGGGAATGTTGTTGGCTCCCGCGACATCGATGACGCTTTTACGCGTGACGCCTTCGAGAACACCGCGGTCGGGGGTGTACAACGTCCCGTCCTTGATCAAGATTATGTTGAAGCCTGATCCCTCGGTCAAGTTGCCATCTCCATCGGTTAGAAATGGGTAAGTGGCACCTCGGTCAGATGCCTCGAGCATGCCCCTAGTGAAATCTCCCCATTGCAAGTTCTTCACACGCGGGTCTATAGCCCCTGGAGGCACCCTCCGGACCGTTCGCGCGATGATGGCATTGCCGCCATGAGGCTGAATCGAGGGCGGCATGACCCAGATGAATGGAAGGACAAGCATGTAGAGCCTGTTGTCCTTGGCAACTTCTTCAGCGCGAGCGAACATGACGCTCTGAAGACCGCGAGTGACGATGAGTTCGACGAAAGCGTCTTTGATACCGGTTTTGACCACCATCTCAATCAAAGTCTTCCTGATCTGGTTACGAGAAAGAGGCAGCTTCAATCTCAGCTTGCTGCAGCTGGCGTCGAGTCGATCAAGGTGGTCCTCGAGACGAAAGAAGCGACCATCCCAAACCGAGGGCACATCGTAAGTAAGATCGCTTCTCAAAAATCCCTGATCCTGCAGAGGGATGCGAGCTTCGGCGACTGGAACAAGATTTCCTTCAACCCAGGCGATGCCTTTGGCGTACGGGCTGGTGCTCTGCGCTAGCACGGCCTGCCGTTGGTGGTAGCCGGCGAACACCTTTCCCATGGAAGTCATTCTGGAATTTTGCCGCGATCTGGGGTAGATAAATATGATGATCTGATGCTTGTGGTTGGCGTTGAGGATGATGAACTAGAAGGCTACTGACGAAATCCCGACTTCTCCGGCCATGTCGTTGGAATTAACGTTGGGTTTCTCATTAGCTAACTATCCCAACAGATTGGAGATTACGACCTTACGTCAAGAGATAAGGAAGTGTAGGGAGGGAAAGTGACTACATTGGATGATCTCGCTGCCATGCAAGCATGTGCTTTGCGGGGACGGAGCCCGAGGTCCGCACTTCCATGAAGCCCATAGTTTAACCTAAATTACGATTTCGAAGTTATCAAATTGCTTCTACAGGCTACACAAAATTTAGAGCAGTGCAGCGGAGGGAAACGATGACCTAGGCAGCGATACCGCTGACAATTATTTCGGGGTGATCCTGTCATTTGCCGCGTCGGGACCGCTGGTCATGGAGCCTGCGGATTTACGGACTATTCATTATTAAGCAGTCCCTCGTTCGAGCCAGGAAAGCAATCCTTCTGGATAGGAAAGATGATTTTATCATTATTCTATGCGTATGCTTACTAGACTAATCTAGTTCGAGTCGATTTTCGACGGCTAGGTATTGAGAAGTGCATGTGGACATAGCGGAGTTAAGAAACAGTCGGGGGGATCGCGGACAATCAACATGACCGGCCGCAAACCGTGCATGACAGCAGCGAAGAAACTTTTCGTGATAGCAAATAGAGTAGGTGTCAAAAATACGAAGTATAAGAAGGACGTAATGGTTGTGAATTGTCAGATATCAGAAGGTGTCACTAACATCGACGATTGCTCATCTCAGTCCTGAGTCGCAATGAGATCGGCAACTTACCTTTCGCTCATATTTACTGCATGCACGGTGGCAGCAGCACCGAAAGCCAGTCAAAGCTCGCTGAAAACTTCTGTAAACACAAGCTCTGGTGTCTTCGCTCCTTACTTCTCTGACTCGCAGCCCGACGTTGCTTCTTTTCTTGATATTCCCTACGCCGAAAGCCCAGTTGGAGATCTCCGATTTGCACCACCTCTCGCGAAGAGATACCCGGGCGACAAGATTATCAGAGCGCCAAATCTTCCAGCTGGTTGTTTTCAGTATGTTGCGCCTTACCTCCGCGGTACTGTTACGGATGGACCAGTTACTGCTGCAGCATTCCAGCGAAACGACTTCTCGAATACCACCGAAGACTGCTTACGGTTGTCAATTTTCGCCCCGGCAAAGACGACCAGGAACAACTCTTCTTCTCAATCTCTAGCCAAAGGCAAGTCTTTGCCGGTGATTGTCTGGGTCCACGGCGGCGGGTACAGCTTCGGCGGCATCAACGTTCCCTTCCAGCTTGCGCCGAATTGGGTTCAGCGAAGTCAGAAGCATATTGTCGTTCAAGTCCAATACCGTCTCAATCTTCTCGGTCTCCCAAATGCGGCAGGACTAGCCGAGACCAATAAGAACTTCGACCTGCCTTTCCTTGACCAGCGCGTTGCAATTGAATGGGTTCGCGCCAACATTGCCAACTTTGGCGGTGACCCTAGTCGCATCACGCTATGGGGTGAGAGCGCGGGAGCGTACTCTGTAGACGGCTACTTGTTCGCTTGGCCCCATGATCCTATCGTCAAAGGAGTCATCGCGGACTCTGGAAATGCGGTGGCTATCCCGAGCGTCTTGTCCGACCCGAACAACCATACTACTTTCTCATTTGTTGCGGACCGGCTTGGGTGTGGCAACTTGTCGGCTGCCCCGGAGCTCAAGTGTATGCGCCAGGTCCCTGCATCCAAGATCAAGACGTACCTTCAGGCAGGTATTGGAGAAGGTGGCGCCGCCGATGATGCTGTCGCATTTGGAGCGTTCGCCGACAACATGACCATCTTCAGCAACTACACCGAAAGAATCAGCAAGGACGGCTTCAACTTTCCAACACAGATACCGCTTCTGATCGGGACAAACACAAATGAAGGAGCCGCAGTGGTCCCTTACAACTTCACAGGCACCAACACTGCAACCGAGTTGCCAAGCGACCTCGCCAGAGTCGCGCAGGGCTTCTCGCTCAATCTGCAATGCACCACTCTGGAGGAAGTACGGCTTAGGTCTGAAGCTGGAGCGACGACGTATCAATACCTTTATGCCGGCAACTTCACCAACATATCGCCATTGCCATGGTTAGGCGCCTACCACACAGCTGAGCTTCCCCTGATTTTCGGCACTCACGAGATTGACGGGCCGTCAACAGACTTTGAACAGAGAGTGAGCGAGCGCATGCAAGACTTGTATCTCCAGTTCGCTATTGATCCAGAGAATGGACTGAAAAGCGCTGGTTGGCCACCAGCGACTGCGCAGCTCAACCAGTCGCGATTGATTGAGTGGGCTGCTGGGCACAAGGTTGAGAAGGTAATTACAACCGAGGCCCTGCGTGAAGAATGTGTACGGAATGGGTTTGCTGTTTGAGTTCAGACGCTAGATTCAAGGGAAGGATTTAATCCTTCACTTATGTGTGATGAGTTTATCAGATTATTAGGAAACGTCGAAAATGAAAAAAAGGCGAATTAAACTTTCCTTAGCCCACCAAGCTACATCATATTCCGTAGGTATCTGATAATCCCCCGCCACAGTCGAAAGCCGTGGTGACATCTCTCGATTGATTAGCATGCGGCTGATAGGAAGAAGAGAACCTGGAAAAATGATGGATCAACCATGATCGCCTCACAGCCGACTGCTGGCTCTGAGACTGCGCTGCTTCCGAAAGACCCGCAACTTTCCAGCCGGCAACTGACGGAACGAGTGAGAGTTGAGAGCTGATAGCCGTGACTGAAAAATGACCCCTCTTGCGCTGATGGTGTCTGAGAGAGTTACCACTTAATGTCACCAGTATCATGTGCGATCCCTACCGTTCGGGAATGGAAATAAATAACTCTGTTGCCTACGATGATCCGCGGCAAAAACTGTCTCCCCATCTGATTATAGATGGCAAATGTGTTGGCATGAACAAAAAAAGGGTATGTGATGAAGATGATGCCGGAAAGACTGCAACAGTTAGGCCGTGGGACTGAGCACACAACCGCCCTTTCTTATCGGGTACCACGGGAACTATTAGCTGAACTACGTCCGGTCTTTTGCATATGCCAGCCCAAACAGCCTCGAATCCAGTTCGCCTCGCAACCTCTCGTCTGTCGTCTTAACTTCCTTGGCATTGATATGCGGGTGTCTGTGGGTATCAAGCACGTTGTCTGGGCTGACCAGTCCGCGTTCAGGACTGGGCGGTTCTTGTGACTAAGCTGCAGAACCTCATTGAAATCCGCAATTGAGTTCCGAGATAGTTGGATTATTAGTATGTTGCTTGAATTCCCTTGGATTCTGCCTGCGTTTGCTGAAGTGACTGCCGAAAGACGCGGAAATGCCGACAGGTGGGATGCCCCGTTGCGGGTTTTGTCCGAGTCAAAGCACGCTGGGGATTCCTCGATGCTTCGCCGTAGTGAGGCTGACATCTGCATGAAGACCTCTATTCTCTTTTTTCGGACAACTGCCGCATTTGGAGAGGTTTCACTGGAAGAAAACTTGGCGGGAAGCCCGACGATTCGGAATGCGGAGAGGGGAAAAGAGGGTAAAAATCTGTAAGGGGGGAGCAGATGCGCAGCATGAAGTAATTCCGGCAGAAGCACCAGAATGCCCCGAAGCGGAAGCTAAGACCCACCGGCAGATTCGGCAGACGCCGAGATGTCGTTAGAAATAGAAATAAACAGTGGCGGACAGGGGGGCAATTAAAATCATGGGGGAGAGAATGTGGATTTGGAGAAGCCGGGGCATCCATGACATCACCCTCGCCCGACCTAACTGGAGGCGAACCGCCCCCATGCCGCCATCTTTCTGGAGAAAAGATGGTGGGCTGATTGTGAATTATCAGATCTGTGACTTGGTCTTACGCCAAAGCACCTTAATCTGACTTCGCTTCCGTCCAAGTGACTGATTTGTCCTCCTGTTCCATGGACTGAGGTCATCGTTCGGCTACGTACGCCTCGAGTCTGCCTTGATTTCGCCCTGGACAAGAGCCTAACCAACTCTTGTCTGCCGTCCCTCCCGTGTTTTCCTACTCCTGTCTCACGCGACCTTGCACTCTTTTTCCGGCAGAATCACTGTGTCCCTAAGCCAGCTCATTGGCGACAACTGCCGCCAGCCCCCAGATTGACTTCACATGGTAATCCAAGAGACGGCATCCCACTTACCGGCTCCAATCCTCAACTGGGAAGTTTGTGGTTCTCCGTAGTTTACGTCCAGAGGCGCGTGATGGCGAAGCAGATGGCATGCTTGAGCATGGGGCACATATCCGCCAAGACCCCCCCTGTCTCAAGGTCTGCCCTGTGAGCGGAACCTCTATCAAGATCACATCCACCCTAGTCATTCTCTAAGCTATGTTATTTCTGCCCATCCAAGTGGGAAACACGCCCGAACGACGTTTCAGCCGCCGGGCAAACATGTGCCTGTAAGCCTGGTGGGTGGGTGGCCAGCCGGCTTCATCGACGGGGATGGCTGGACGACGTGGCATTCCGTCAGCGGTTGACAAGACGCGGTACCGCAGCTTGTTCCCCCTCCACACCCATTTCTTGTAGGTTCGGGTTGTCAAATAGCTAGATCTTTACAAGGGGGAGGAGAGCCGCAGGCTGTTGGCAGCATACGGTTCCCTTGGCGTACGCACTTATTTGAAGAACGAAAACCCACTTTCCTTTTGCCAAGTTTTGTCGATTGATTATCTAGACTGAAGCACTACACAAATGTCACTGAATATGAAGCGCCGAAATTGGAGTCCTCGAGGTACTCGCCGTCGTGGTCTAACTGGCTTCTTGGCACGGTTTGCCTTTCGTTTCATGGCCATCGCGGCCCTTTTCACCACCTATCATTGTCTCGATCTTCATGTTCGCTATCGAGACTCTGTGCGTGCCAAGTACTCAGCCACGCAGTTCACCATCCTATCGGACTACGATGAAGCAACACTCAGTAGGTCAGGATGGGAGGCTGAGTCTCACTTGTCCAATCCTGAGCGCATGGCCCTGCTCGAGAACAGGCCGCAATGGAAGAGGCTAGGGGGTGGCCGGGAGGGAGAAGCTTTCATCTACAACGGTTCTGTCATCAAAGTCTACAATGAGGCGAGCAGTCCTTTCCGCAACTGCATGTCAGACACGGACGATGGATTGAGGAGATGGCCGACAGAGATCCCAGTCAGTCTCATCATGGGAGGCCATGAGGACATCACAACACCACCAAACGACGATATGTATAGGGACTTGTTTGTTCCGGTCAAGGACTACTTTCTCGCCACTACGAACCCTTCACAACCACCCAAATGGCATCTCGTCACACCATTCCTCAAGGCCGGCACCCTCGCCAAGCTGGCAAAGAAACTACGCACCTCGGAGAGGCCGCTCACATATCGTGAGGTCGACATGATGTTCCGTCCATCTTTCGAGTCCCTCCTATCCGCTTTGGATTACCTCCACCAAGCTCATAACCTCTGTCACGATGACATCAAGATGGACAACATCTTCGTGGCATCCGAGGTTGACCCTAGACGATGGAAGATCGGGGATCTTGGCAATGCTCGTGAGCCTGAGCACCCGTATCACTTTACACCACTGTGGGTTGCCGACACCCCGCAGCTGCGCGACTGTCGTGCCAACGACGCACTGCGCTTGACGAAGTCGTACATTGAGTTCGTGCGCATCGCCAGCGGGAATTCGGAGGAGTTTGACGTGGCCTTCTTCCAAGGAGTTGAGCCGGCAAGCAGGTTCTACTGGACCGTCGCTGGTGCGGCATCTCCTGCTTCGGCTGCAGACGTACGAGAGCTGTCAAGAGGCTTCCCTCCTTTGATGGACGAGGATGAGATGGTGTGGACGTCAATGGAGCGTGTCAAAGCCAAGAGCGGTTTCAATGCTGTCACCACAGCTCTGCTTGGCTGGAATGTCTCTCTCGGGAGGGCGGTCATGAGTGAATTGAGAGTTGGAGCGAAGGAGTTGATGGGTCAGATCTTTGGACTCACTGGCATATTGGGCGTTCCTGTCACAGGATGTCACACTGAATAAGAGGCTGCTGGGGTGGTTTGCTTTTTAAAGTCTTCTGGCGTTGGGAACTTGAAGGGCAAGCAAGGTCGGCGTTGGCGTACTGGCACGGCAAATGCTTTGACAGCTGTTACATGATATATACCCCGGGTAGGGCAAAATTTGGGATGGCTGGGAGACAACATGGAAGCGAAAAGGCCTTCACGAGTTTCAGAATATACGGCGTCTGCTTGATTACAGTCAATAAATGGTATTTAAGACATCGTGCCATGGTTGCAGAGGACATAGGCTTGGATGTATTGCTTCCTTGAGTCGTCTAGAGCGGGATATCTACAAGACCATCAAGCTTGTCCAAAGGTCGCAGATTTTGTAGATTGGTGAACCGTCCCATGACGCAAAATAAAATAAGTCGTGCAGAGATAGCTGCAGTATCGCCGTAGTTTCCAAGTCATTGGCGATTTGCTGTCTCAGCTGAAGACCTTGATTTTGAGGGATACGGGAACTCAGCCATGATGCGCCGACCCATTCTAAATTCGTACTCGAAATTAGGCATCTTCTTTTGCTGTCATTCTCGGTTAAGCCCCCAAGAGGGGGGGCTTGCACTGCGCCGAAGGAGCTCCGCCTTCAGCGCTTGTCTTAAGCGACCTTGGCAACTTTTTCAGCCCAAGAAACAGCGCTTAATGTGTCATCATCTCTTCCAGCCTCAATGATTATCGTGACATGAGAGTTGCGTATCTTTCGTTGTTGAGATTCATGACCAGAGCCGAAATTATTTACCTGTCCCTGAGCCGTAGCTGATGTTCCCCTTTCACTTAGACGCTCAGTAGGGAATACTTGACCCTCAAGTCTTTCATGAACAATCATCATAGATTCAGTGAAGGTATCCTGTGTTCCTCTGAAACCACGATAGAAATGGCATCTCCAAATAATGCGTGTACTAATGTGAGTTTACTATCTGCCGATGAGACATCGCAACTTTTTTTAAACGGTCTAGACGCGGTCTGCGAAAGTGGTGCTGATTCGGATATTTTGCCGGCCTGAATCTTGGCAGCCAATGGTCTAGGCAGCCTTTATTCTCTACAATCTAGGCCTTCATTGACCCCCTCGGAAAACAGTGCATGGCAGAGAACACTACCCCCGCCGGCCGCCAACCTTAACATAGATGTGCCTGCATACACTGCCCTACGATCTCCCTCGGACTCTGCTTACTGCGGCCCGCTGCCGAGGCCACAGCAAAAGACGCACGGCTGTGCTTGTCAAAATACTGTCCTGCATGTATCACCGCTTCGAAATAGCTTCATTGGCATAGTTTCCGCGGAGTGCGAAGCTGAAGCCAAGCTTCCTAGTCTCTATCAAATGCTGGGTGCCTGGAACCCTAAGAATAGCCTCAAGTCTAGATGTCGGACAGGAATCTTGAATTATAAAATCATGAAAATCTAATGATAAATAACCACTCAATCACTCAACACGCAACACAATTCAGCAAACCAAATACCACCAGTCTCATCTCATCACCACACAATCTCCCCGAGCTTCATATCCCGTCTTGTTCACCAATAAATCATCGACTTTACCTCATCAAAATGGTCTCTTTCAAGAACATCGCCACCCTCCTTACTCTGGCTGCCGCCTCTATGGGAGTCAATGGCGCTTCAGTACCCCGCCAATACGCCGAGAACGGGGTCGTCGTTCACGAGGGTGGTTCTTGGATTCCCAACCCGGCCGCATCCTCTATTGACCGCCGTGATAAGGATCAAGAGTGGAAAGATTATCACCGCCAGACCGAGATCATGGCTGAAGAAGGCATGTGCCGCGCCTATTCCAAGCCGACCGACCGCGACCTGAACTGGCCTTGCCGCGAGTACTGCATTCGAGCCACCGGTGATTACAGCGCCGCTTGCTCTAGTGGCCACGTCTGGGAGAACAAGGCCGAAGGCAAGACGAAGCCCGGATACCCTCTCTTGCCCAACCCCGATGGCGAGCTGTTCACCTATGGAGGTGAATGCACTTGCATCACTATCCCGGATGACCTGGCTCAGAAGATCTCTGAAGGCCTGGAGAACAGTGGTGCGATCATTTGTAGCGTCTGGCTCTTTTCTATCAAGAAGGTTCTTGAGAAGGGTAGCTACCTCATTCCCGGTGGTGGTCCCGTCTCCAAGGTTGTCAAAAGCATTGCGAAGTCTGTTGGCAAGGTGGTCAGCTCCGGCAAGGGCTCTGATGCGTGGGCATCTATGGTCAGAGACACTTGCGGTGCCAAAGGCCACGATGTGACGATGGACATCGAGAAGGCTTTCGACTTCTTTAAGGAGGTTCCCCTTTGAGTTCGATCATAGCCCATGTTTCCCTCTCTTTTGTCCGTTTTCGGGTCTCTAGAATTGTTTTTATGTTATTCAGCACAAGCTTTGCATATGGCCTACACGCAAAACAATTTCCAAGTCTTCATTGAAAAGTTGATCAGCATCCGAAATCTCATCTGAGCCTTCTGAAGAGTTCCGGTGACATGACCTAAGTGCTAGTGCAATAATCTGATTGGTGGATTTTGAGTATGTCGGCGTTGATGCAACGGTATCTCGGTGTTTCTATACGACGAATTGCAGGAAGAAACTTAGAAGAACCCGGATGCCGGACAAATGGGGTCGCACTTTGGCGGGGTAAACACCCGGGGTGTAATTTCACTACGCGACGCGGGGTACATGATTCAAGCCGCGGGGTTGTAGCAACAAGCCGATCTTGCTTCGGCTCGTTATAAGTACCGCTAGACGGAACTTGTCTTTGACAGTCTTGGCTGTCTTATGTGAGTAGTCTCTTCATCCCAAGTCGGCCTGTCAAGTAGTCTCACGAGAAAAAAAAAATGAAGTCTATATTAGCGTGGCCTCTGAGTCTTCTGCTCGGCGGCGTTGTTGCTGTCGCGTCTGAGATGGACAGCACCGGCAATTTGGAACATGCCAATCGAGTGGTGAAGAGGTAAGATTACCTAGGCGTTCTGGTAGTTGAGTTGAGGCTATGATGGTGAGCCGACCTATGGGTCTTTGAACTGATGGCTTATGCAGACTCGACACGGCGCAAATCACCTACTTCCCTGCAGCCAACTCAACAGGCACAGGTGTTCTTGTGTGCCCTGGTGGCGGATACACTCATGTGTCTATATCTAAAGAGGGATACATACCGGCAACGTTTCTCAACAGTCTGGGCATCGACGCATGGGTTCTCGACTACACTACGGCAGCGAACACGACTGCGCCAATCTACCCAAAGCCTCAGGATGAAGCGCTTGAGGCCTTAGCCTATATCCGCGAGCAGAATCGGACAACTAAGCTGGGCATCTGGGGTTTCTCAGCTGGCGGTCATCTCTCGGCAGTGACGCTTACCAACCCCGAAGCCAGCCTCGACTTTGGAATCCTCGCCTACCCCGTTATCACCCTTGAGGGTAACTACACGCACAAAGGTTCTCGGGATAACCTCATCGGCGCAAACGCGACTGCCGAGATGCAGCACAACCTGTCGGCGCAGAACCTCGTTTCCGCGACGACGCCGCCCACGTTTCTGTTCCATACTTTCAACGATGCGACCGTCCCTGTGCAGAATACCTTGCTCTTTGTTGAGGCTATGACAAAATTCAAGAGGCCGACTCAAGTCCTTATTCTCCCGGATGGATCTCATGGACTGGGCTTAGCGCTGGATGATCCTAAGAGGAGCTGGACGCCGGAACTCGCTCGGTTCCTGAAATACTCGATTTGAGTAGGATGAGAAGAGGGCTCCGTGTCTACTTGTTTGGGAATAAAATTTGGACGAAGCACGTTAACGGGAACAATGTCAAAAAAGACAGAGATTGTAGACATCGGGAATGGCATAGAAACTCACGTTCGAAGTTGCAAGTGAATGATCAAACACAACGTCGAGGCTACACTAGGCAGTCCTATAATTGAGGAATTACATCTGTAACAACTCAGTCAACGCGACATAAAAAATCTGGAGCAACTACTCGCAGAGCCAAGAGCCAATAAACCTTAATGGCCAGCGGCGTAGATAATTAACAGAGGGAGGCAAAAAGCAAATTTGAAAGGGACGAGACTCGAACTCGCGCGGGTTGCCCCACCAGGAAACAGATGTTAAGCTGACCTTAACCTGGCGCCATAACCAACTCGGCCACCCTTCCAGATCCGTTGAAAATTTCGAACTCCACAGCTCCCAAGTTGCGAGGGCACCGGAAGCTCGTCGCAGAACGGGGCGAACAGACGTCTTCGTCGTTCAAGTTTCTGAATTTTCTTCTGGAATCTTAGGATGTTGGATATTCTTCTGAAAGACTTGCATACGAACATCGAGTACGAGGGTACTGGAAAGGTGTAACGGCAGGCATTTGAAGTGATAACAGAGTAACTTTATTCAACAATCCTCAAGTCTACTGTCCAGTTCTCAAATAACTGGTGATAATCATTGCAGTGCAGCAATTGCGGCTTGCGTACGTACTTTGCAGCACTCCGTACATCTCCTAGGGTGCAGAAGAATCGGTCAACCTTTGGGGCATCTCCGTCGCAGACTAAGAATTTGTTTTGAGCGTGCTGTGATCTGTCATGGGAACAGCCAAGGAACGTAATACCACAGCAAGTCCGATCGCAGACATTCTAAAGCCAAGAGAGGGGCGGTTCCGAGGTCAACGAACATGGAAACTTCAATTTCAATACTTAGCCATGACTTTGACGCTGAACCCGCGAGACGCTTTCAGGAGAGCGCCGACTGAGCCAAGATCACGGCATGTGGGAGTAGATTACCGACTTGAAGATTTTGGACTTCATGGTAGCTTGGACTGCGTATCCACCGGACCAAAGTCTGGTGACTCAATATGTTGAATGATACTGAAGATCCTGCAGTTCTGTACAGGGCCATTCATCAATTCTTGCGTGTGCATATGGCCAAAGCGTTACGACCGAACAGCGGTCGCGGAGGCGACGATCTAATTACCCCTTCAGACTGGAGCCGCAGGGCAGTGAAGACGGCACATTTTGGGCCGATGGTACCTCTCGACACCGGTCGGGGTGGAGAATAACAACTGAGTGACATTTTTTGATCATGTTCTGAAGACGAATCATAGGGGGCTGCTGAGATATCTTCAGTGGTCGCATTTAGGATCTTATCGCCTGTTAACCGAGAGTCCAAACGCGCAGATGGCTCTACATAGGACCTCTGAGGCCTGAGAGTGAATGTGGTTGAAAGAAGGGTAAGCTTCGTGCTGCACCTGAACACCGGCTATGCAGCAAGTCGCTCCCACTCGTTGCGGGCTCTGCTTGCGTCTGATGTGGTAAAGTGCTTATCCATAATCGTACCTACCTACAGTTGAAGATCCTGAATCAGGTCGTCTTCAGCGGCTCACTGGCGGCGGGTCTGTAGGGCTGTGACAGCTGTCATTCATGACTCGCGAGAGCTTCGTTGCGGAGGCTTCAGGGCAATAAAGTTAGGTCATGTTATGGAAACCCCCCGGAACGCTAACAGTCAATGGACGGGCGGAGCCACAGGGGCAACTGTCCACCGACCAAATCCTGGCACATTTCTCGCGCGATAGGCTTCCTGACAGCTCAATGATAGCCATTTTGCAGAGGGTGCGAGAGCTGGTGAACGTGGCAGTCACCGAGGGTGCCGTGCTGCAGATGTTGATCATGGTCTGAGCGTATGCGAGTACTCAACCATCCGGGGATTTCCTGCCTTTTCACGACGAGGGTTGGCAACACCGGGACGTGGGAGGCTCCGATGCGTATCAAGTCTGACCTTCCTCCAAAGGCAAGATTTTCTCCTGCAGGTTTGGTGCTGCGAGAAATGAACTCTAGAAACACTCGAACAGGGAGATTTTCTATCGACGACTGGGGAGGACAAAGCCACGAGAGCGCTGCGTGAGTCCATGTGGGCGAACGGGGGATTCAGGACTTGCCGCAGATCATGCAACCTCAGGGGTACGCTGCCCGCCCAGAGACAATTTACGTGATCAGATCGTCGATAGAGACCTGAGAGGTGACCAGTGACGGAGCCCATATGTGGCTGGACGGTGACGTTTGCCAGTCACTATCGTCATTCCTCTCTCGCAGCTCTTCATCGAACTGCGGAAAAGGAGCTTTCCCACCGCAGACCAATTCCGCTTAACGCTTTGGCCGCTTGGAGGAATTCGAAGGAGGGTACCAGGGCCTACTGCAGTGACTGCGAGTGAGCATGCAGGAGGGAGAGCTTCAGAGGGAGCCAGGCGAGGAGTGCCTATCCTAGCAACGCTGTGGAACCGAGATGGCCGGGGTTTTTCTGCCCACCATCTTTGATGTCACCAATGGTCGGGCAGGATGAGCTCTAGCGTCACCAACGCCCACTGCTCCCATGTTCTTTTCAGGCTGATTGTGAACTGAGCCGTTCAATACCCGATAGCTACTATGCCTTGTTTTCACTAGCAGCGGGCTGAATCATGGCTCAGCGAAGGGTTTCATTCCGCTGTCTTGCCTATCTTTTTCCGCGCGCTGATGGCGGAAGACGTCTTTCTTGCAGCCTCCCAGAAAGCCAAGCCTAGTCTGGTTTAGACAATTAACGAGACCGAGCATTCATCTGAATTGTTGAGTGTGATGTTTGTCCTTCATTCAGGGGAACCGGCAGTCCGAGGAGGCCGAAAAGCTGGTCCTAGGCCTCTTCGATGTGCCGATGAACTCAAAGATCAATCACATCAGATCATTGTCTCACAAGCCAAGGCTCCCTTAACCTTCGCGCCACGGCACGGCAGCCACACACGGGTGAAAACCATGGATTCGGGATAGGTACTGGAGCGGCGTGCTGGAGAATTCTAAACGTTTTAGGCTGTGTCAAGCCGTCCCGTCACGTCGTGTTGGAAGGATGGCGGTGGCACGGCGCAGTTCTACCACCTCGCTTACGACCCCAAGCCGACCCCAACTTCTCAAGCTTACCCGCCTTCGGCAACATCTGGCCGTTGAGGCGGCGCCATCGCCAGCAGTAGCGTCGAGTACAGCTAGCCTTCATCATTCGGATCTAGTTTACGCTTTACCAGAAGCCGATAAAGTTCAACGCCAACCACCATCTCCAAACAACCCGCGCCTCGGGTCGCGGAGAGGCGAGATGAACTTCATCACACCATCTTACGTCTGCTCATCTTCCATTCCCTCCCGTCCCTGATCCTTCTGCCGTTCTTCCTATCAGGTCCAAGCCCGGCGTCTCGTCTGGAACACGCAATGGAACAAGCGAAGAAGGGGGCTAGAGACGCAACACCTCGGCGACGGACGGACATTCTCAACGCCTTCGCGGCCGAGCATTTGGTCTTTGGCCTGCTACTTGAGCCTCATTGGACGGTTTTCTGTCAGACCATGTCCGCCCTCAGGTAAAGCTCCGTGGACTGCTGCAGGTCCCCCCGGGCACTAGACTCGGTGAAGAACCCCCGATTTTGACAAGGTGCAGAGATCGTCCTCCCCAAGTGTGGGCATGACGCTAGGCCTTGCATGTCTCTCGCAGCATGGAAGGGATCGTGCATATGCGTAGGTCGTCCTGTAGCATGGATGTACATGTGGCTGAATGCACTCTGATGGAGACGCTGCCCAGAGGCCCAAAGGCGGGCGGGCAAGGCTCGCGTAAAGGAGATTGAGCCATCATCACCACATTGAGCTCGTTTCCACATCACCCTGGACGCGGCTTGTTCGTCTGTGCTTATGCATCATGGACCCGTCCATCCCTCCCACGTCGCATGCCGGCCGGGGGTCCTTGGACCCCATGTCCCATCTCATCTACGTCTCCATGTTTGTCGATGGTGTTTGAAAAGAAGGTTCACTCCCTCTCGTTAATCAACTGCTCGGCCTCGTCCCTCCATATTCAGCCCTACTATTGCGTCGAAAGCATGTTGGTGCCCGCCCCAGCGCGCGTCAGAGCAACATCATCCAGGATCCACATATATCAAAGGAGGACGACATATATCGAGACGTCAGCGAAGAGGTCGTTGCCGGACGTACGGATGACGATAACGGGATCGGCTTGAGAAGGTGCATCGTGGTACGCCTAGAAGAAATGGCTTCCGACCAAGAGAGGCAGAATAGCCTCGTTATCACGTCATGTTTCTTCACAGCGCTTTCAAGTAAGTCTTGCCTCACAGTCCATCGCCGTCAGGAAACAGCCTGCTAATCTAAAAAACCAATAGCCGTAGTAGTAATAGCACGCACATTTGTCCGAACCGTTCTAATTCGAAAACCTGGCCTCGATGATTACTTCATAATACTTGCCCTGGTTAGTGCCCTTCCTATTCTCCAAGGACTTCAATGCTGACAGCAAAGCCAGGTCTTCACGCTAGGGTATCTCGCGGAGGTATTCGTGGGAAAGGCCAACCACATAGGCTTTGCTTCAAGCCAACTTTCGTTCGACAACATGACGAACCTCCTGAAGACCACCCTCGCGATCGAGGCCACATATTATGTCTGCATATCAGCCATCAAGATATCGATTTTGTGCATGTATCTCAGGTTTGGTATGTGGATGGAGACTGTCTGTTGTTGGAACGCATCAGCTGACTCGTCCTTCAAGCTGTATCGAGGTCATTCAACATACTGTGCATATGCACCATCGCGTTCCACGCTCTATTCTTCATAATTTGCATCGGCGTCACACTATCGCAATGCCAACCTCTCTCAAAGCAGTGGGATCTTACAGGAACTGTCGACGGGATGTGTATCAATACTACTGCATTCTTCTACTGTACGTCAATTTCAATTACCTAGCTGTTTCCTTGCTAACATGCCAGTCACATCTGGCTTCAACATCCTCACTGATATATGGATTCTCATCCTCCCAATAAAGACCCTTTCCGGTATTCTGCGTCCACGCCGAGAGAAAATCGCCCTCGCCATCATTTTCGGCGTTGGCGCATTCGCCACAATAACATCTATAATCCGACTTCATACCATATACACCTACACCCTTGCCAAAGATCTGTTCCAAGAGAGCATCCTCGTCAATGTCTGGTCCATGCTGGAGATCAACATCGGCATTATCTGCGCCAGCGTCCCCGCCCTCAAGCCCCTCTTCACCCCACGAGCCCTTCGAGACGCTGTTAATCGAAACAAGAGGACAGGATACCAATACCACAGCCAAGATAGATCCGGATATAACTCGAACAAGTCGAATAACTCGAAGTCGGGAGATCGCGAAGACCAACAAGCTTACGATTTGGAGCGAATCGGAGGAGAGCACACGACCAAGACCGTGATTCAAAGCATGCCCCACTCTCCAGGAAGTGAAAGCGAAGAGAGTATTTGGAGAGGATAAACCTTTCTCAATTTCTCGTATGACGCATTTAACGATGTATATACCATGAACCACAGGTCGATGAATCTGATTCAAAGGCCGAAGAAGCAAAAAGACACGAGGTGACGATTATTGAGTAACGCTATATATTTCGCATGCCTCCATGGCCATGGCCCTGACCGCCCAATATGTGTAAATAGGAGCCGCCAGAAGTAGTCATCGAAACCAGCCGGATGATCGCAGTGGTCATTTCCTGTAACAATCTGGCCGAGGGATGCTCTCATGTGGGTTTAGATGAGACCCAGCAAGCTTGCACCAACCAGTCCAACTTTAAAGAGGAAAGTAGCCTGCTGATACGTCCGCTCCATCCTCAAATCTTGAATGTACCACTCGCCGTCAACCAACTTCCAAGTCTCGTAGTAGAAGCCGCCACCCCGGAGTCCTGCCCACGATCCCAGATGTTTCGAAAAGAGTTGATCTTCAAACCCGAACACCGCCTTGACCTGATCGGCAGCTATTTGCTCAAAATCGCCGAGTCCGATGTTGTGCAGAGTCTCGAGGTAGGAAAAGAAGTTGCCAAACCAAGCCGCGCATGCTCCCGGCGATTCGAACACACACTTTTGGGTTCCCAAAACTACGGGCTGGCCGTCTGTGCCACAATAGACGTATTGTGCCGTCGGGAGACCGATCTCCTTGTCGAACTTGTCCCACTGCTTCGTGTCGGCGTATCTAGCGTAGCGGGCTTTCTGGCGGGAGATTGCGAGAGCAACCTCTGGTGATACGTGTGCCATCTCGTAAAATAGAAGCAAAAAGGTCTTTTGAATGGTGTTATTATGAGCAATTGAAAGTTGAGAAAAAGAAATTTGGGAAGAAGGCTAAAAACGAAAAAAAGGTCGAAGCACCGATGTACCGAGGAGATGATATGTGAGGGCTGTCAGCAATAACTGGGACTTTTATGGAGTATGGTTACAAAATCGCATGATGTTCAAGGTATTTTACAATTGGCCAAGATGTCGTTGACGATACGAGACCAGAGGTTGACAGAACTTGGCAGCCTGTCAGTGGTGATTTGTCAAACCCCAGGGGGGATTGACGTGTACCGCTTGCGAACCAACATACATGTCCAGCGCATCTGGAGATTCTGTAGCGCCTTCTCTTGGCGTACATGCCATTACCGAAAACGCAGGCGCTAAAAGAGGAGGCCGTGATTTTCTGTGTCACCATCAGGGCGACGGATAGAGAATATTACCGCAAGGCTTACAGGATTGGCTTTGACCGCATTAATGACGATGAGCCACATGCTGCACAACACCCAAGTCCAGTCCTGTGTCAATAGCAGAGGAAATGGGATTTGGACTTTATTGGGAGCTTTCGAACGGGAATTCGAGAGGTCTGGAGTAATATGATGTGAAGCTCTGTCTACGCCCGCATGGCAACGCAAGCATGACGAAACTAGCCCGCAGCGTTCAACATTGTAAAACTCCTTTTCACGTCCTACAGCAGGCCGAATTCCTGGACGCCAGCCGCTATGTCACTCGCCCGTCCAAGTGAACCGTCTGTAGCTCAAAAGAACGCGCTGCTTTGGGCAGTTGGCGATACCGACACGCCGAGCATGTCGGCCCATCCGCCGAAAGGTAGCTGATTGAGCAGAGATAAGGTTCTTTCTTAGACAACGTGATGCATAACGGGAAGTGTTTGATGAGGTGCAACCCCGCTATCGGATCTCACCACTTTCGGAGCTCTGAACCCCGCGCCCAAGTGCTTGCTCCTTGGTGGCGGGGATATTCCGGGGGTGGCTGAATCCTGGCCAAGATGGCTGCCGCCATTGGTGGCAATTGGAACTTTGGTCGTCTACGTGCCATCGACAACGCAAATCCATCCACTCGCTGGAGGATATCAAATTGCTCATGACGCGTTCTCCGGAGACTGAGATGTGATCAAGCTAACTGTGCATAGCGACCCGTAAGTGTCGCTGATAACTGTTCAATGGTAGCTATTACAGATGACTTCGAAGCCTCATGTGTAGTCCTTGAGTTGGCTGAAGGTATCATCCATGAGAAAAACAGGCTTGGTTCCAAGGCAGAGATTGTGGTATTGTGAATAAAACACGCGAATCCTCCTATCTTGTGTATCTTCATACGGAAGGTAGAATATTCCCACATTCCTGGTCTGAAGTGGCTGCACGATTTGGTTCGTCTTTTTCCACAAATCGGTGTCTTCCGGCGGGTATGTTTCCCACGTGGCTATCGCCGCAACTACGATCACCAGGCATATCCACATAAGCTTTCAAGCTTCTTTATTTGGTGTGACTAGTTCGGATCTGTGGGGTAGAGCTGCAAATAGGCCGATGGCGCCCCCCCTGCGTCAAGCTAGGGATACTGTATGTGATATTGACACCGAATGAGAAAGAGCATGGCCCCGAATTACAAGCTGTTTTCAGACCATCTAATCTAAGCAAGGCCAATTGTTCTGCCACTGGTGGAAATCGAAACGGTGAAATGATTTCCTTCAGTCAGTGATTGTGAGGCTGAAGATACTGAACGACCCTGACTGTCCCAAGGGGACCACTTCGTGAGTGAGGTTGAAATAAGGAGCCGCCTTGAAACTATAAGTACAGTGATATATCCCATAGCCAACTAAGATCGACAAGCTTCTCCCCAGATCCTCACAGCCAAGACTTCCACGACCTTGTCCTTGGACCGTTTGCCAAGATGCAGCAATACTACATCCTTGCCCTCCTCCCGGCAGTCCTGGGCTGCTTGAACGCCGACACAAACTCGTGCGCCAGCTTCATCAAGTCTCAGTCAGCCACCGCCTCTGCCTTCTGCGCCACCTTCACCAAGAGCACCGTCACCGCCACCACCGGCCTCCCCGCCTGGGCTACCAACTGCTCCAACAAGCCGTCCCAGATCTCTGCGGAGTGCACCTGCAACTACAGCGGTGCTGGCGGCAGCTCGCCGACGACCACGCTCAAGACCACCACGACCGCTGGTAGCGGTGGTGCTATCACTACGCCGGCTGGTGTGACGACAACTTTGCCTGCTTCCAAGGGCGCTACGTCCACCAGCAAGGCCATCACTGTCTCGGCTGGACAGACTTACGATGGTGGGATGAAGAAGTTTGATCGAAGCCGTAAGATTCCTCATCTTTAGCTGCCTAAAAGTTGGAGGATATGCTGACCTTTTCTAGCCCGTGTCTGCCAGGAGCAAACTGAGACCGGCGAAGCCGATGCCATGTTTGTCCTAGAGGCCGGAGCTACGCTCGCAAACGTCATCATTGGACCTGACCAAGCTGAAGGTGTCCACTGCAAGGGAACCTGGTAAGTAATCATCAAATATCGTGAGGCTTGTCCTTTTGCTAACCATCGACAGCACTCTGTAAGCCTTCGACACCAACGCTCTCCCCTTTTGACATTTCAACTGACCCAGTCCCAGTTCCAACGTTTGGTGGTCCGATGTTTGTGAAGATGCTCTGTGAGTAATTATGAGAGCCCGGCAGGAAGTCTGCCTTACTAACGTGTCTCAGCACCCTCAAGCAGTCCAGCGGAACCTCCTATGTCATCGGCGGCGGTGCCTTCAAGGCCTCCGACAAGATTGTCCAGTTCAACGGCTTCGGAACCGTCAGCATTTCGAAGTTCTACGCCAACGACTACGGCAAGGTTGTACGAAGCTGCGGTAACTGCAGTGGAAACGGCGGTGCCCGCCACATCATCATTGACAACACGATTGCTGTTAACGGCGGCGTGCTCTGTGGAATCAACACCAACTACGGCGACACTTGCGTTGTGACCAACTCATGCCAGGATGACAACAAGATCTGCGACAGATACACAGGCAACAACTCTGGCGCTGAGCCTCCCAAGATTGGCTCGGGCCCTGACGGCACCTACTGCAAGGCTTCGGGTACTACTACCGCTTGCTGAGGGGATGGCTAGGAAATCCTAGTTTGGGAAGAGGGGAGGATCAAGAGACACCTTAAGCCCAATAAGGGGTGACTTCCGTTCTCACTGATTATGCTTCACTGCAAGTATTTGCGCTTTGTATATAACCTTGAAATACCGATATGATTCACAACTACTCAGTTTCCGACCTGGTGAAACCAAGTATCAATCATGTCTCGGAAGATCCGGAGCTACACGTCTAAGTGACCAGCGCCGGTTGGCCTTACAGACGTGATCGATTTCCCTTCAAGTACCTTTCGGCCTTTATGGAGTCAGTATCGAATATGATTCCATTTCAGACATGGTAAACTCGATCTTACCTCGGCAATCGCATCTGTTCCCTGGGCCCATTTCAAGAATGGGCCTGAGCTGAACTCAGCATTCATGTCGGGTTTAGTGTTTTTGAGAGACTTGACCTGCCACTCTCCGGACCTAGGCTTTAGCTTCTTTGATCGACTTGTGAACAAGTTTGTGTTGTGGCTCGCCCAAGCCTTGATACGTTCACATCTGGCTTTCCGTATCTCTTGCCAGACGGACGTGATCGTCTTGACGTTTGCGCTAGGATCAGACACTTGAGAAATGAGATATTCCAGCACGCCAATGTCTTCTACAATGAGAGAAAAGCCTTGAGCTGCGCTTGGTTGCATAGCATGCTGGAAGAGATTCAGCGTTCATGAGGCCACGGGACATTTGTTGACGGATACTTACTGCAGAGTCACCCAACAACAAGATCCTTCCATCTGTGCTAGTCCATCGAGGCAGGTCGGGGAGCTCAGCGAGCCTCCATCTGTCGCAAGACTTGGCTACATCGAGTGCAGTCCGAATTTCCGGGCATGCTCCCTTGAACATCTCTCGAACGTATCCGATATCCCCCTTCTCGTCCCACAATCCTCGCTGATCAGTGCTGCCCTTGACCCCAAACAATGCAGCATATGAACCAGACGTAGTGTTGTATCTGCTAGTGACGTGGACCAGGCCACCATCACTCATGTAGATGTTGAGGTACGACTGATCCATCAACGGCGCCAGGCCCGGGTGATTTTCCATCTCTTCCTTTGTGAGACTCACGCCGTAGAGTGTCACGTCGGTGATAATAGGATCGATCGGTTGGCCGGTCTCGCGAAGAATCTGGTCGCGGATAACTGATCTGGTTCCGTCTGCAGCCAATACCAAGTCTGCTTCCAGGCGCCTCCCGTTGCCAAGGGTAACGTAAGCTGCCTGAGCATTATCTTCGACTGTCATGACCGGTGCGTTGAATTCAATGACAGCGCCAGCGTCTTTCGCCTTTTGATGGAAAATTTCGATGAGCACGCTTCGACTCGTGCCCCAGTCTGGGGACTCGGAAATGTCCGTCGCAATGGCTCGAGTCGCCACCTCCCCGGTTGCCAGTTTGCGGAACACATTGGCTGGTGTATCGGCTGAAACTCTTCTTAAGTCTGGGCCAAGACCCCAACTATGGAGGATCTTGGAGGCTCCTGGTCGTATGTTAAGAGCACCGCCTGCGGGACCGAGATCAGGCCGCTGTTCGAGGACTCGGACGTGGTGTCCTTTCCGCGCAAGCCCAAAGGCAGCACACAAACCACCCAGGCCGGCTCCGACGATGATGATTTTCATGACGAGCTGGGAAAAGGCCAGTTATCAGAGCAGCAGCACCCTCCACGCAGTTTGGGATATTTTTCGGATCAGATGAGAGGTTCTCAAAAGCGTCAAGTCCGACTTGTGCTGACGACGCAGGGGCCTCTTAAGTGACATGCTCGATGTCAGCGGATGTCGCGGGGAAGGACTAGCGCCAAGAATGGTTCCGACCATGTCAAACAAGGTTACAATTTGCCGGTTTTACCACGGGTACAACGCCTTTCGCGTACCATCGTCCACCCTGCTCGAATCGGAAGTTTCGTGAGAGATGGAAATCGCCAGAGTTGATGCGTTTGCTTCGGTCAGTGTGCTTACTTATTACTCTCGCAGGAATTGCAGGGCAGCTTTAGTACTGCGTTGATGGGCTCTGAATCTCGTGGCGGCAAAATCGAGGGCTTGGAGGCGTCTGTCATTTTATCTCTTGTGGTAGGGGATAGTGAACGAAAGCTTGGGGTCTTTCGTCAAAAAGGATGTATCAAGGGTCATCTGCAAGAATGTCTCACATCCGCCGACTGGACACGGGGCCGGCACGGCGGCCGTGGTGGGTCTGACTTGCCGATCGGCCGGCACTCTCGGTCTCGGGAAATGGTCTTATTCTATACCCCAACAAATCCGCAGTAGGCTTGGAATATCCAGAAAATTCAGGTCGAGTATACTAAGTAAGCCGTGGGATTTACAAGGCATGGTTAGCCAAGTTCACTGCTGAGCTAGACGTCACCTAAGCCGTTCTAGGCTCGATAGATGACTAGGTGTTGCGGGGACTGCTTCTTTCTCAGAATGTAAACCTGTGTGATTAACTTTTGACTGAACCCACAGCTTCCCAACGCCCTGTGCTCCCTGTGCTCCCTACCTTGACAGATTGTTGGATTATCGGAGTAATCGGAGTGAACCGGACACTAACCGTGACGCGACTGATAACCACGACAGCAAGGTCCACCGCTCTTTGATCCACAATGAGAAAGCCGGTGCCGGCGGCTTTGTGTTTCTCCCGCCCCAAAAACGTAAGCCGACGCCTCTCATTGCGGTTTTATCGGTTTTCAGGCCACACCTTTTCTTCCTCCCAAAGCCGACACCGAATTACACTGCAAGAAAAATCACCATTCGGGAAATGCGTTCCAGCCTATCTTGCGAATTTTGCCGGTAAGTCCGCGTCGCCGCTCGGAGAGCCGTTTTCTCTTTCCCCAATTCCATGTCGCTTATCGGAATGTGGTACCATCAATCGGAGGCTAACGTCGCATTCTGCAAAGGCGGTCGAAAATCAAATGCGTCAACGCCGGAAGTCCGCCGTGTCGCAAGTGCGAGAAGTCGGGGCGGACCGACTGCCAATTGACGCGGCCGCAGGTTAATGCCACCGGGCGCGCTTCTAAAAGGGCCCGGAGAGACACGGGCGAAGCTTTTGATGCGTCCCTTCGGAGTTCGGTCGAGCAGGATGGCGAGTCGCAGCAGGTTCATCTGTCGGCGCCGCAATCTAGGGGGCCGGCGACACCCAGTCAGGGGTCGGTTGGCCGGGAGTATCATCATGGACATCGAAGAGACGAAATGGACCGACACTTGCAAAGTATATCGAAAGACCTAGTGTTTACTGCACTCGAAGCGTTCTGGCGTAAATTTCCTGAGCTGAGGGTCATTCACCCGTCGTCGTTCATGCAGGACTATGGGTCAAATTGTTCAAGGGAGAGCAAGGCACTGCTCGCGACAGTACTTGCGATGACCAAGACGCAGAACCCAGACTCTGACCGACTGCGGACGCAGATATTGTATCCTAGTGAACGCTATGCCGTGTACGCCTCTGAAATCCTTGCGGCCTGCATACTGCAATCGCCGGACGTCAAGGTTATCCAGGCCTTGCTCATATTGACACTCTTCGAATGGGGTACCAGGGACTTTCACAAGGCTTGGATGCATTGCGGTAGGTCGCTGGCTAATGATTGAAGTGAGAATTGTCTAATGCGGCACAGGAATCGCGATTCGCATGATGCAATTGCTCCATAGCTCTCGTGTCGCGCCCTTTCCCCTCGAAATTCCGCATCGCACCGAACCCAATGACTTGACAATGGCAATTGAGACCCGGACATTCTGGGCGTGTTTTGTCATGGATTGTATGGTCAGCTCTGGGACCTACAATCCGCGCGTGCTACCCAAGCAGGAAATGGCCAAGCTCAACGTCCCGCGACCCCCAACATCCACTGAGTTCGCGCTTGGTTCCGGCTCGGTGGTTCAGTCCGAGGAGAATGATAGTATTCTCACACCAGGAGGTAGCAAGACGTCCGTGTATCTTGATCTCGATAACAGCTTCGGGGTGATGGCTGATGGGTTCGACATCTACTCTGACTGCATGGCCTTTGTCTTCAACGATGGACGAAGAGCACCAGGCATGTGCCTGCCGGAGAACTGTCCATGGGTGCCTACGTCGCCTGTCGCGAGTTGGAGACGGCGGTTATCAGAGTGGAGGGCGAAACAGCATCACCGACTACATTACCCCGAGAACAGTGTCGTTGCTCATGCCACACTGGGATACGGAGAGTCCTTCGTATACCTGAACCTCCTCTATTACCAAAGGTGAATATCATTCTCGTGTGCTCAAGCAGTTGCTAACGCTTCGACTCTTAGCATAATGATGTTACATAGAGAATACTTCCCCTTTCTTCCAGCACTCGAAGATCCGCCGAAAGGTCCTATTGACCCACCTCTGTTGGAGGATGAGGCGCCTCCCGGCTACTGGGACGAAAGCGCCCGCGAGTTCTTTGGCGCCGCGCAGCATTTGGGTAGCATCCTTCAAGAAGCCTCAGACTGCGGAGTGGCAGTCATGACCCCGTTTGCGGGATTCTGCGCATTCTCCTCGTGCTTTGTCAACCTCTATGGTTTCACTTTCCCTCGCATCACCCTGGGCTACGCACCAAGGGCCGAAGAGCTGATGAACACCGGGATTGAATATTTGAAAAGCTTCAGCGAAGTCTGGGATCTGGGCGATGGCTGGGTGAGTAATGGTCTTCGTGACGCTAAGGGAGATCCGAATGCTAACGCGCCTCAGCTCAAAACAATTCAGAGCGGATCATTGATGTACAAAAGGGTGATATCTAACAATCACAGATACCGTGGTCTGTCGCGATTCAACTTCAACGTCCTCCATCAATCCGTCCACGAGTTCAGAGTCGTGGATAGATCGGCGCAACACCTGGAAGAGATCAACAACGCCGAGAGGAACTCGATGGGCACGGCAGAGGGTGATAACTCGAGCGACAAGGAACAGCAAAACCCTCCTGCGTTCAGCGCTCAGGCGTTAATAGACCCGGATGGCAACATTGATGATCAGGGGTTATGGCCGAATTGGTGGTCCATGCTGGAGGAAGTGAATGCTGCGGAGATATTCACGCTGACTTAAGGTGGAATCTTGTCTAATAATATCAACAAAGAAATAATATTTATATCGCTACAAATCATGATCGTAGGGCGCGGGCCCCTTGCTCCATCTTGTCATCACCAAGTTGTCTCTGCCTCGATCTCCTCAACTGCTTCCCGGAACACGCTGCAGATTTTCCTCAGCTGCTCTTCTGTCGTCGTGAACGGTGGCGCCAGCAAGACATGGTCTCCCCTCTTTCCATCAACAGTTCCTGCGCCAGGATACAGCGCAACGCCCTTCTGGAACGCCCTCTCTTGAATGCGCAGCCCGAAGCGCTGCTTGAGGTCGAAGGTCTCCTTCGTCTCCTGGTCCTTGACGAACTCAACCGCCCAAAATAAGCCGCGGCCGCGAATATTGCCGACAGACTTGCAGTCCTTGAGCTCGGTGCGCAGCAGATTCTCCAGAAGCTTGCCCATCTGAGCACACCTGTCAACAAGATTCTCCCTCTTCAGAATCCGCTGCACCGCCAAAGCAGCGGCGCACGCAATAGGATGAGCCTGGTATGTATGCCCGTGGTTGAAGGCCTGAGAGCCCTGGCGCAGCGCGGTCACGACCTTCTCGTGCATGAGCACGCCGGCGATCGGGCCGTAGCCTCCTCCGAGACCCTTGGCGATGGTGGTGATGTCCGGCACGACGCCCTCCTGCTCGAAGGCGAAGAAGGTGCCTGTCCTGCCGGTGCCGCACATGACTTCGTCGAGAATCAGCAGAGCACCGTGCTTGTCGCAAATATCTCGGACGCCCTTGAGGTATCCCGCTGGAGGTGCCACGCATCCTGCCGTAGCACCGACCATCGTCTCAGCAACGAAGCCGATGACGTTCTCTGGTCCAACCCGTTGGAACTCGGCCTCGATCTCTGCGAGAAGGCGGGCAGTGAAGTCTGCCTCTGTCTCGTCTTCTCTCTGGTACTGGTAGGCGTAGGCGGGTGAGACGTACGACACGTGAGGGTAGCAGAAGCCTTGGTACGGGACCTTTCGCGCTCCGACAGTTGAAATCGACATCGACGCCATGGTGTTGCCGTGGTATGCCTGACGTCTCGCGATGAAGTGCAGTCTCTGGGATTGGCCCTTTTCAAAGTGGTATTGGCGCGCGAGCTTCAGCGCAGACTCGACCGCCTCGCTCCCGCTGCCGACGAAGAAGGCCTTTTCGAGGCCGTGGGGGTTTCCTTCGAGGATCAGGTTCGCCAGCTCTTCGGCCGGTTGTGTGGTGTACGCTTGCGTGTGGACGTAGCTGACTTTCCGCGCTTGGTCGGCGAGGGCTTGGATGACTTCCTCGTTTCGGTGGCCGATCAAGGCAACGGCGGCGCCACCGCAGGCATCGATGACGGACTTGCCGTTGGCGAGGTTCAAGTAGACACCGCTTGCCGACTCGACCATGGAAGGATGTTGAACCAGGGAGCGATGCATAAGTCTGCCCTCAGTGGACTTGGACTTGATGTTGAGTGGCTCTTGGCCGCCATTGGCTGGCGTTGTGAACAACTCGTCGTTACGTGCGGGAGCCATGATTGGATTGGTCAGAAAGAACGCTGAAGCTGCAACCAGGTTTTCTGAGAATCTTCACAATGGGGGCTTGATTTATAGACGCAGTCAACCCGCTTTATAGATCGTGAGATGAGAAGTAATAGTGAGTCAAAGATGTACTCCACGCCTTGCGAAAGCCGACGCAGCGGAACCGACTAGATGGATCTTCCTTCAACCGGGACGCGGCGTGGACCCGGGCGACCACCCGGAGAACCCGTCAGAATCTTCGGCGTAAATGCACAAAAGTCCCATAAATCTACGACTCGTACGAATTGGTATGTTGACGTGGGTTGAGAACCCGGAGCGAAGAAAAAAAATCGCGTGTCGGTTCTGCAATCATTCCCGAGATCCGAAAGCCGACTTACAACATACGATGCCTGCAAACCCCTTATCAGTTGCGGCAGATCCTGTGAAAAAGGCCTATCTCTATGGGAGCAATACATTGTTCTCAATCTTTCAAGTTTCTCTGAAGGCACGTTGTTCAAGATGGATGTCGAGAAGAGGACCGAAGCCTTCGTCTCCCGCGATGGTGCGGCCGTCACCGGACAAGATGGCGACGAGACAGACAACTCCAGCACTCTCCCGCCGCCCATGACAACTCCGTACCCCGAGCCGACGTTCGATGACCGAAAGGCATGGATCACCGTCGTGGCGTCTTCGTTGACGATGTTTGTCTACCTGGGAAACGTCTACTCCTGGGGCATTATGCAAGTCAGACTAGTCGAGACCACATCGTCAAGTCTGACAACCTTGACGTTTGTTGGTTCCCTCGCTACATCGTTCATGATCTGCTTCAGCATCTTGTCCGACAAGATCGTATGTAGGATAGGATACAGATTGTCGGCGTTGATCGGAGGGTTCTTCATGGGTCTCGGAGAGGTTCTTGCGAGCTTCCTGACACACCATGTTATCGCTCTCTTCTTCCTACACGGGCTCGTCTTTGGTCTCGGAGGTGGACTGTGCATCTTTGTAAGCTTAAAATCCTGCGGTAGTGTTTGGTTCAATGATGTGTGCTAACCTCGGGTTTTTGCCGCAGTCTGTTTCCACCGCACCGATGAGCCTATTCAAGAAGCACAAGGCACTAGCAATGGGCTTCGTGTTCGGTGGAGGAAGCCTCGGATCCGCAATCATGAGCGTCGTAACCAATTATCTGGTCAAGGATCTGGATGTCGCATGGACCTTCCGCATCCTCGGCTTCATCCTGTGGGGAGTGTCGATGCCAGCCTCCTATTTCCTCCCATCGAGAAAGAGACTGGGCAACAAGAGTTCGCGCCAGCTACAGTGGTATGTATTGACCTTGTTGGCAGTGAAAATCTTCCGTTCGTGTCTCTGATCATCTCAGGTATCGCTTCAAACAACCCCGTTTTCTCTTGCTTGTCGGCGGCACTGTCCTCGCTTGCTTCCCTCTTTTCATTCCGCCTTACTTCATCCCCATCTTCTCTCGATCGATGGGATACTCCAAGGAGATTGGGGTCATCATTCTTGCTGCCTGGAACTTGGCGTCTACTCTCGGTCGTGTCGTCGCTGGCTGGGTGGCTGACTCAGTGCTGGGCCCTGTAGAGAGCCTCGCAATTTGCATGCTCTTCATGGCCCTCAGCTCGCTGGTTGTTTGGCCCTTGTCGTCATCGATCGGCATCTTTTCCATCTATCTTATCTTCAACGGCATTGGCTGCGGCGCGTTCTTCAGCCTGACCCCCATTGCGGTTAGTTCCACCTTTGGTGGAGAGAACACGCTGAGCATTATCCCAGTCGTATGGACGACTTGGTTCTGTGGATTCTTCTTTGTAAGTTTGTTCGTGTTCCTCCGCATGACGATTTACTTACATCTTTCAGGGAACTCCTATTGCATCCGGTCTCTACTCGTTGTCTGGTCGCTCAGACGGCCTCGAGGCGTTTCGTCCAGCCGCGTACTACGCCGGAGCAATGGCACTGGCTGGGTTTGCCTGCGTTCTGGGGATTCGGTTCACTCGGTCTAAACCGGCCCCGGAAGAGAAAGTTTGAAACCATAAAAGGCTGAAGAATAATATTCGGCGCTTGGGGAAAGAGGAAAGCACCCGTAGCTAAACTATTATCAAACGGGATGACATGAATAACGAAGATACTTAGAATGACACGCAATAGACTTTAGAGGATTTACATTAAGCTTTGGGATAGACGGAGTAGACCCATGCTTGCTAGTCAACCGTACCTAGTAAATACCTAGTACAGATAATTAAATTAAAAGATTCAAAGAACATGATAGATACTTCACCTCAACAGAAAATCACAAACTGTCCTCAACCAATGAAACATCATATCAACTCACCTCTCTCCCCCTTGTATGTTCTCTTTCTGAAAGGTTGCCCAGTCCAGTATGACTTTGCAGGCGGTCGTTTCCCCTACTTTCCAAATTAGTAATACCGGAAATCACTTTCCCCCTTGCAACGCCACAGATTGTGTTGGCGATCAGTATACCTAAAGTAAAAAACCATCATTTCGATAAGAGCTTACTTATTGGCGGGACTTTGCGTGATGTCTGGCCGCCATTACAGTGCGGGGAAGTCCCGGCACCCAACTGGTGGGTTTTGATATGTTTCCTCCTGCTGATGCGACGTCACACAGCGATACATTTAATTCGATACTCCAGAACGTCCTAACTCCTCCTTAAATCTAGGCAAGGCTTGGCATCTTCTTTTGGCACATCCGCAGAAGATCGAAAGCCCGTGTTCAAAACGCTCAAGACTGAACAGACAAACGTTTTGAAAATCTTAGAAGCGGCCTCAGCTTTCGTCTAAAGCTTTCAGGCAAAGATATTAGGCTAAATACAACCACAAGATGATCATTCATATAAATGACAAGCTTCTAATGACGGCATGACGGCGACAAGCTCTTCCGTATAGCGTCCTGTAAGGTCCGAAGTCCGACGTATTCTGAATATTTAGGAATCCGGTAGCTCACATTGATCGCAGCTCAGTGGTCTAATCATCCATTCCACTTGTCAGCAATTCAGATCAACATTGAAGCCATCATGAGACTGTCCACTCCACTCCTAGTCGTCTTTCAAGTTGCTACTGCAGCCTCCAGCGCTGTCTATGAGAGACAGACTGGCTGCACTGCTTCCGCTCCGGGCTTTGCGTCTCTCAACGGCGGCACAACCGGCGGTGCTGGTGGAACAACCGTAACTGTCACCACCCAAGCTGACCTTGAGAAATACGCCAGTGCATCTGGCAAGTACGTGATCAAAGTCAGTGGGCGCATCACAGTTACGCCATACGGGAAGGAGATCAAAGTCTCCAGCGACAAGACCGTAATTGGTGTCGGTACCTCTGGTGAGCTCTACCAGGGCGGCCTGGGTCTGAACAGCGCGAAGAACGTTATCATCAGGAACCTCAAGATCGGCAACACCAACCTCGGCGACGGCGTCGAGAACGACCGCGATGGCGTCCAGGCTGACACTGTGAGCAACATCTGGATCGACCACTGCCTCTTCGAGAACGGCGGCGACGGCTTGATGGACCTCCGCAAAGACACCACCTACTTCACCGTCTCCAACAACATCTTCCGCAACCACGACAAGACTTTCGGAATCGGCTGGACTGACAATGTTACGGCGCGCGGCACTATCAACCACAACTGGTTCGACAGCACCAACCAGCGAAACCCGAGCGCCGACAACCTCGCTCAAGTTCATCTATACAATAATTACCTGTACGGCGTCACTTCTTACGGCCACTACGCTCGCGGCAGCAGCAATGCGAAAGTGGAGAACGTCTTTTTCGAAAACACCAAGAACCCCTTGACCAAGGACTCCAGGGCTGTGCTCAACGCTTCTGGGAACACTTACAAGAGCTGCACTGGTACTATTGCCTCTAACTCTGGAAGTGGATTCACTCCTGGCTACTCTTACACGCTCACTGCTACTGCTGATGTTCCTGCCTATGTGAAGGCCAATGCGGGTCCGAAGGCTTCCGTTTGCACTTGAGGAAGACGCATGCAAAGGCTACTAGTTTGTTCCTAGGTATGATGTATGATGGCAGGGACTCGTGCGCCGGCTTGGATGTGAAGCAAGGATGGGACTAGGATCATTTGAAATCAACGTTCATTTCGTTTCATCAAGCTCAATAATTGACCTGCTTGCTTAAATACTCGACGTTTAAATCCGCTGCTTCGCGAAACTATCGTCATATTTCTCCGCGGAGCTAGCCTTTTTACGACTTTCGTCTCGAGCCGTAGCCTACATTGATTCTGGGTGCTTAATCTCCTGCCACCTCACCACAATACGTACGACAGTCTCACTAGCACTCCACTGGGACGCTGAGACATTTCTGCTTCAGGCCAAAAGAATTCCTCGGTTCGCTTCTCGAGTGCGCTCCCTTGCTTTGATTGCAAGCGCAGGGGCGGGGATCGTTCAAGGGAAATTCAGTCAAATGGAGTCTTTGTATGACCCCAGAGCTCAAAATGGCAATTGAGTCGCAGGTTAGATTGGCTTTTGTCACGCAGCCCCTCTGAATACCTCACATGGGCACTCACGAAGCTGTGCCCCGCAATTGCGACGTCGATTTTAAGTTAAGCAAGACACGGGTAGCTCCTGGACGTATTTTGTGGACGGGATAACTGCCTCGAGGTCCAATCCGGGGTGCCTCACAGTGGCGGAGACCTGGAATATCCGGGCATGGGGGATAGCGGCATATGACGGAGAATTTCAGTCCACCTGTTTGCTTCCCTCCGAACCCCGCATCATATTGATTGGGGTGTCATACCTTTTGAAAAAGAAAAGCTTCGTTCCAACCGTACCTTTTCATTATTACCGGGAAGTCTAGTGTTTGAAGAGGTGCAGCCAAGATTCCAGCAATCTAGATGTACTCCTGCAATCAAGCCTCTGTCATCCATTGGCGGTGTGGCAAGGCGCTGGTTGCGACTTAAAAGAGGGCATCGCGACGGGTCTTCAAAGCGTTCCAAGAAGCTCTTACCGCGATTCCATATCATATCTATCATTCAAGTAACATAATGAAGTTCCTTGGCATTCTTTCTTCTTTGGTGGTGCTGGCTGACAACGTGCTCGCCGCCTCCCGCACATCACCACCTTCGGGTTCAATCGTTGTGGCCAAGTCTGGTGGCCAGTACACCTCTGTGAGTATCAAAAATTCACATTGTTTTGGACATATTTGGCATCTCTCAAGACCTAGGTTCTGACTTGATTTTACTCCAGCTCCAAGCTGCCATCAACTCCATCTCAACCAGCTCGACTGCCACAAGCACCATCTTCATCCAGCCCGGCACTTACTCTGGTCAAGTTTCCATCCCCAGCTTGAAGGGGAAACTCGTGGTCTACGCCTATACCACCAATGATCAGGATTACACCAAGAACCAGGTCATTTTGACCAACACCTTGTCTGCTGCGGACGCTGGAAGCAACGATCTCTCAGCCACGCTTCGCGTCGCGACCAACTACTTCAGCCTCTACAACGTCAACGTCATCAACGGCTACGGGAAGGGCTCTCAAGCCCTGGCCATCTCCGCCAACGGCCAGTACCAGGGCTACTACGGCTGCAGCTTCGTCGGCTACCAGGACACCGTCTACACCAACAAGCCTCACCAAGTCTACAAGAACAGCTACATCGAGGGTGCAACTGATTTCATCTTCGGCAACGACGGTAATGCATGGTTCGAGAAGTGCACTATTGCGATCAACGGAGCCGGCTACATCACCGCCAGCGGTCGCGACAGCGCTGATTCTTACTGGTACGTCATCAACAAGGCCACGATTGCTGCCAAGTCGGGCGCTGGTGTTTCCAAGGAGTCGACCGTCCTCGGCCGTCCGTGGAGGGAGTATGCTCGCGTCGTCGTCCAGAACTCGCAACTCAGCGACGTCGTGAAGCCGGTTGGATGGTCTGCTTGGGGCACGAACCCGACCGCAAATGTCTACTACGCCGAATATGGTAACACTGGAACTGGGGCTAGCGGAACTCGGGTCAGTTGGGCAAAGAAGCTTTCCAGCGCCGTCACCATCGATTCGGTTCTTCCGGGATACACATCATGGGTTGACATGACATACTGGAACTCGTCTTAATTTGCACATGCGTGCGAATGCTTCACACTTTCAGTGGGGTGTCCTGTAACTCGGCCGGCAGGACAGTACGGGTTTTTGGCTAGCCAAATGTAACAGAACTAAGGTACTCAGAAGCTGCACTAATTATGCAGTAAGAACCCCGGTGCGTCATAGTTGACATCCAATCGGTAGACGCTGGACAGAAACGACCATCAAGCTCCACTAGCGTGCATAAATGTGCCCTCATTCTGCAGATCTCAGTCTAGCTCATGTGTTTCTTAAGCGGCCGACCCCTCTTGTTGCCTCACGAAAATTGCAGGTTTCTCATTCCCAAGCGCCCTTACAGAATACGGAAACCATGCCGACATCACAAGTCCTTTACCCACCGCTCGACCGAGAGACCCGGTCAACGCGCCTCCTTAAGTTCCTTCCGAAAAGGGAGGAGGGGACAATCAGCTGCACTTTGACAAACCACACGTTAAACGATCCTCCCCCTTTCATCGGGTTGTCCTATGTATGGGGTGCTCCGGAACCAACATATGCGATCGCTGTCAACAGTGAAACATTGCTTGTGCGTGAGGGCCTCTGGCACGCCATTCAGCAACTTTATACAATTGCGTTGAATAAGGAAAACTGCATATCCAGCCAAAGAAACACCAAAAGCAGATTTCCAGAATACTTTTGGATCGACGCCATCTGCATCAACCAAGATGATGTGTTCGAACGTGGTTATCAGGTCGATCTTATGAAAGACATATTTTCCACTGCTACCTTCGTCGTCTCTTGGGTTGGAGACACGGAAGAGAATGTCGCAGAGTTATTCGAATATCTTCGAAATCTGAAGCATACTTCTCGACACGATAGGCCCGAGTTCTTGCGTAAGGCAAAGAAGCAGTTCTCTTTCAGAGATGCTAGATGGTTGGTTTCGCGACCCTATTGGTCAAGGATTTGGATCGTACAAGAGTTTACACTACCTCAAGAGCTTTACATTCTTTGCGGCAATGATGCAATTTCTTGGCCAACGTTGCAGCAATTTCGGCCCTTTGGTATCTCGAACAAAACCAACCTAGGATTCAAACATTTATCCAAACAAGAAAATCATCACAGTATCGACAGATATGTGAACAGCTGCCGAGAGCTTTCGAAGCTGCGGCGATCATGGCAAACTGATCCAAAACAGCCATCATACACCAATCGCGATCCAGATTTCGGTGCAAGACCTACCCTTACACGACTTCTGGCCTTTTGTAAGGACTATCGATGTTCAGACCCGCGGGATAGGGTGTATGGACTATTAGGTCTTACCGACGTCGAAGGCGAAGACCGTCTGCTTGCTGATTATGGAATCACCTCTTTCCAGCTATTCCACCGCGTAATGTCGCACCTGCATCAGCAAGGGAGGGTTCTTTCTCAGATCTTTCGTACGAGGCTAGCCGAAGGTCTTCAAATTCTTAACCACGATGATCTACCGACATCTGCGTTCATATATGAGGTTGTCGGTGGTCGCAACGTAAAGAGACTGCTGGTATCTGACGCAAATGTTTGCAAAGATCAATTTCTGAAAGATGTGGTGGAATATCTTGGTGAAGATCTACGGGGTGATGTTGAGTCCGAATCTTCCCAATTTGAGAAATTTCTTTCACATTTTCAGAGCTTTCCTGTGGGAGAGGACTCGGCGACTTGGGACCTATTTGGGAGGGCAATGAGGAAAGCTTTCGAGCACGATGAAGACGAGCAAAAGATATGAAATAATTGGACACAGTTACTGACATGGTTCACATTGGCTTCCAAACTCGACGTGAACTTGCTACCTGGTGAAAATCTCTTCGAGAACACAACACAGTTGACACTGGATTTTTTCAAATCATTTGATGGCCAACCCATGCAAAACTTGGAAATGGAGCATTGCGCTACTTATCCGGCTATGCGGATGCCGTTCTTGAATTGTCTCCCAGCTACCCGGAACTTTATGCCAAGACCCGAGCACCGAATAGCGGAGTCAAAGTCCGCCAATCATACGACTAGATTCGTCAATGTCAAAGCGTGGGCATCGTCAAAACCAGCAGCGCATGTACCGAGCCCCGAACTGTCTCCGCTGAATCTCAACCACATCCCCCATGGAGTTTTTTGCGCACACTCGCCGAACCGCAGTTCATTCGAACTCGGCCTACAACATTGTATCCGCCCTTGTCTTACATGCATGGAGTCAACCAACACCATGCCCTCTGAAAGCCGAGGGCAAGCAGCCGGTGCCATGTACACTAGACTGAATAAGTCATGCGACCAGTGCCGAAATCGAAAGGTTCGATGCATCGGTAAGCAACACACCAGCTAAACCGCGTATATTCATGAGACATGGTCGACTCAGATAACGATCCGCAGTGCAGTCGCCACCAACAGGAGGTCCGGTTCTGTGTAATAATTGCATCGTAAGCCCATCTACGCCACCGTGATGCATTCAAAGACCATACCTCCTAAGGTACAGCCAGAAACGAAACGAAACATGCCACTTCAGCACGTTACAAAGAAAGCTGCGTTCAAAGATAGTTCAGTAACATCTCAATAGCAGTCTACAGTAGCCCCTCGGCCAACTTTGCTGCGCAGTGCCTTTGACTCCAAACACGTCGACCCCTGGATCTTCCCATCAACATGTTGAATCGCTCTCGGAATGCTTCATAGATAGGCTGTTGCAAGACCACTCAGCTGAAGCAATCCTTTACGATGAGTTTTCTGTGCTCAAGGTAGGTGACCCAGCTGACATTTGGGTCATTCAAGCTTAATGACCGTTCACAGATGCAGGACAGACGAGGTAACTACTCACGCCCGAGACCCTAGCTGCTAAAATCTAACAACCACTCAGCTCCAAGCTCGGGGCTAGCTTACTTCTCTGATCAAAAAGTGGATCAGCTCGTGCAAAGAATTGGCGATTCTCGGATCCGAGATCTAGTCAATGGCATAGATGCTGCCTTGCAATCCAGCATACTTACTCGCACCGACGAGGTCCTGTCACGGCTCGGCTCTGAACGCAGGTGTCCTCCGGTCCGCATTCCGGCGGATGAATCAAGACTTTACATTCGTCGTAAGTCACCAGATATAACAAGAGCCACCGGAACTCTGAAAATGTAAGTGTGATTCTGACAACGCATTTAAGAATACTTCGACACCCTGCATCCAGTCTACCCATTTTTGAATCGAGACGACTTTGAAGAAAAGGCATTCAGCCCCGAGCTGGAAAAAGTCTTGGAGGATGATCTACAGTATTCGTCCTTGTATCACGCTGTTTTAGCTCTTGGATGTCAGCATTTTGGTCAAGGATCGTTCGATCCGGGAAAGGGTCGAGCTTGGGAACTCTTCCGAATATGCCTCAGCCATACTGCCGATATCCTCAACTTTGGAGACTCCCTGCTTGGCCTTCAAGCACTCACTGCCATGTCAGTATTCTCTATGAGTGCATGCTACCTTCAGGTTGAACACTCGATCCTCGCCGAGGCAACACGCATGGCCCTAGCCCTTCGATACCACAAATCAGCTTTAGAAGGAGGCCAAGCGGTATGCCGGAGGACCTTTTGGGTGCTATATCACCTCGAAAAGCAGTACAGCTTTCAAGCCAGACGAAGCTCCGGAATTGCCGATTACGATGTTGGTTGCCCAGTTCCCAACGTTCCGGAGTCGACATTCGGGGAATACAACTGGTTTCTGTCGTCGATACGATTTGGCAGGGTTCTCTCCGTGGCGTACGAGCAACTGTTTTCCGTCACGGCGTCGACCCGTGACACGCAAATCCTCTTATCCGCCATTTCTCGAGTCCGTGGTATGCTCGAAGATTGGAGGCAATCTGTTCCGGTTGACTTTCGGCCAAAGGAGCAGCTGAACAAGCAGCGTCTCACCGATCCACGCACTAGGCAAATTGCACTTTCGACGCAACTCTACTATTTTCATTTGGTGATTGCCCTGGAACGGATGTCTCTTCAACTGGACGAGGACGGTGGCCAGAGACAACAAGAAAGCCGAAAGGATCTATTGCAAGCAGCTAGGACTATTATTGAACTCACTCGCTACATCGATGTCGAGCCCTACACGCCAGTATTGTGAGTCGAAGCTCAACCATACCAGGAAATGAGTCTGCAACGACTAACCCTACGATACAGCACGCTAGCCATCATGCCATTGTCGGCTTTGTTCATCTTATTCGACTTCATCATATACAACCCTCTGCACCCCGATGTCCGCTCAAATCTCACTCTCTTGGATATTGCTGTTGGTCATTTCAGTCTTCTTGATCACGCTTCCGGAGGATCACTACCAGGAAGTCATCTGAGCGAGTTTTCGCACATTGCACGGCGTTATGTGCACGAGCTTCCAGATCGTACCGTTGATGGGATCCATGAACCTGGATCATCTTCTGGGGGAAGGCAAGACAGTTCAAATGAAACACCCGATACTACCGAACAGGTCTGTTTCATACATGTCCTACGGCGAAAAGAGCAGGACAAAGCTAACATGATTAGGGAACGACGGAGACAGCTAGATACCTGGAACCAGGAAGTTTTAATGAGGCCAGTACGGACAATGATACGAATATGTATGAGAGCTCAGAGGTATTGAACTACCCAACGCCAGATGTGTGTTTTTGGACGACAAATATGCAGTCGATGAGCGAAGTGGACTTCAGGTTACTCTTTGCCACGCGGCCATTAAACCCTAGCCAGTTTCAGGAATAAGTATAACACTTTTGATTAGATACTAGTCATATAACCAGAACTCTGCTAGCAGCGCATGATGACATGAATGTCCTCAAAATTACGTGTTCTTCAATACGGGAAGTACGAGACAGGAGTCGCTGTCTCCGCCAACGTGAATAGCATGACGAGCTGGCCGGACCACAGTGCCAGTTGCGAAGCCCTCCTCAGAGCCTAAATTCATGCTGTACTTGGGGAAGCAGGCACCCGCCACAACAAGCCGAATTCTCGACCCTGCTGGAACCCTGTACGCAGTGTCGGAGAGGTCCAGGTCGATCAACTTCCCTTCACTGCTGGCTTCGATCCGCCGATACCTTTCCGTGATGTTGTGAGAACGGCCTTGGCCATCCACAATGCTGAGTCGAACGAATAAGTCGCAGAAAGGATTGTTGCTGGAGTGTACAAGATCCACAGACGGCCGTCCGAAAATATCGAGGGACTCGGCCAGCGGCTCAGAAGTGAAGGTAACGACGTCATCTCTGGCGCACAATTCCGTATCGTCCACGCTACCTCCTCCAAACAGGAGGGCTCCCCCAACGGTCGGTGTCGGGTTAGAGGGGTCGAAGGTGAAGCTGGAGGTGTCACCATTTGCCGAGTGCAAACCGTCAAGCTTTCCCTCAGGAGCCAGAAATAGCTCCTTATGGCTCGTGGCTGGAGGCCATTTTGAAAACTCAAGCCATTCAGGAGCCTCTCCTCCCCTGTAGATCTTCACTGCCGGGACACTTTGGGCAGTCTTTTTCCGAGCGAGATGGGCCTCCAACCACCGATGGGTATCTCTCGTGGTTTCCGAGCCCTGTGCTTCCATGTGACCGCCGGGACCAATTCTCAAAGAAACCGGACACCCTCGTTGAGTCAGAGCTTGATACTGCTCCAAAGTCTGCTCGAAGAAGATATCATACCACCCACTGGCTAGGTAGATGGGTATGTTGGCCTTCTCCAAGCCTCTGCCATGCCTCTGGCCTGCCCAGACCTGGTGATCCAAGTCTGGCTGCTTGATCTGCTCAAACAGCCAAGGTGCCTTTTCGCCAAAGTGACGCTTCAGCGCTGGCTCCAAAGGAATGTTCTTCAACAGCGGGTCAAGACGGTTGGGGTTTCTGAAAGCCTGCATTGTACCCCAGATCCCGCGAGTCTCCTGATTCGCAACGCTGTCGCTCCATTGCACATGCTGTTGCAGCGTGAAAGCGCCCGTTCCCCACATGCGTTCGGCGAAGTCGTGAGGCGCAACCGTCATGATTGCGGCGACCATATCTGGCGGCGGGTCCGTCAGGAGAGCCCATTGAGTGAAGCCGAGATACGATCCGCCAAGCGTGGCGAACGTCCCGGTGTACCACGGCTGCTCCCTCATCCATGCTACAACATCCTGCCCATCTTGAGCTTCAGAGGATCCGCCGTCAAATGCCCCGGTGGAGCCGTAAGTCCCGCGGGAGCTCACGAAGAGAACTTGATATCCGCGGGAGGCCCAGATGCGGGCCATGAGCATGCCGAAGAAGATGCCGCGGCCGTAGGGGCCTCTTACCAAGACGGTGCCGGCGGGGTCCTGGCCATCGGGGCGGTAGAGGTCTGCAGCGAGGACTATGCCATTTGAGATGGGGATCTTGACACTTTCGAAGGTGTAGCCGCACGTTTCGGAGGGAAGGCCGAGTGACCACCCAACGGCACGGTCGAATACAGTGGCCCACAACGGACGCGGAGCCGGAGCTTGGGTGGCCATTGCTGCTTGGCGTGGTTTTGAATGTTATTTAATGAGAATGCGCTCATACAATGAGAGCGTTATCACGTCCTTGATTGACCGGCGGATGAATAGAGGGTGGAATACGAGCAGCTCGCGGGATCTCGGAAGACGGCAAGTTCCCGCGCCCCCGCTTCCGGTCGCTTACGCCACCACGACCTAGTCCGGAACAATCTCAGGCCGGCTCCATCTCGCTACCCGGACGCCTGTCTCAGTCTATCGAAGAATGTTTCTTTTTCAGCTCAGTCCATGAGATCAACCCAAGTCCCTGGCGCGTTGGGGTGAAACGGACAGCCATTGAGCTTCGCAAGACGGAGGGGGAACTCTTGGGCGACTATGTTCGTATGGTGCGCCTCGCTTTCGGTTCTCACAAACTCTGACCCGAACTCAATTTAAAGTCGCATGAAAGGTTTCAATAGGCTAATTCGATGCGTCCTCGCCGCTAGACAACTCCTATGATCCTTCCGGAGGTTCTCACCGTCCTCCGTGACAATGTCCGGGGCTGTGGGGCCGTTGTCATCCGTCTTGCCGGCGGGAGCTCCGGCATACTCCCGCTTACGTAAAATGACAGACGTCACAGGCTGGTACTGCATGCGGGGTTGAGAGGTTCGTGTGTTGACCAGCACACTCCTTGCAATAGACATCTCCCAGTGCATCGATTCAGTCAGTACCTTGTACGACTTCACTAAAACGCCGTGAGGATGTCTAAGCCGGGCCAATTCCGCGCAGAGTAAGTGCTGCAGCCCAAACTCATGTTTTGCTCATGAGTCCATTCTAACATCATGCAGTCTTCCTGAGCTTGCGCGCCTTCTCCTCAAAGATGGACCACAAAGAACAAGACCGACTGCCCGCCGTGTTCGGGTCATACTGAACCAAACGTTCATCGTCGATACGACGAAGGCTATGCATGTCTGGGAGCACATCGCCTACCCGCAGTACTACGTGCCTACCACGGCCCTGAAGAACTGTAAAATCAAAGACAAGGAGACGATCAATGCTGCTGACGACGCTTCGTCGCCTGCTGCTGCTGTGGTAGAACTCATCATCCCTGCTCACGATGGCGTTGGCGAGTTCACTACAGATCGCGCGTTGCGGTTCTCAGACGACGAAAAGTTGAGCGGAGCATTGAAGGGTATGATCCGACTTGAATTTGGAAGCATGGGTAAGACGTCTCACATTGCGTACATGCCTTAGTTCGTAGCTGATGTGTGTCTAGACCAATGGCTCGAGGAAGAGGTCCCCATCTACGTCCACCCAAAAGACCCCTTCAAGCGCATTGATATCCTTCCGTCTAAGAGATCAGTTGAAGTGCAAGTTGCTGGTAAGACGGTGGCCAAGTCAGATTACGCGGTCCACTTGTTCGAGACGTACTTGCCGACGAGGTACTACTTGCCGCTTGCTTCAGTCGACCAGCTCGTTCTCCGGAAGAGCGACCTTATAACCAGTTGTCCCTACAAAGGGGATGCGGAGTATTATCACGTCGTCATTGATGGTGAGGAGCACAAGAACCTGGTCTGGTATTACAGGACAACCACACATGAGAGCGCAGGAATAGCCGGGCTTTTGTCCTTCTACAACGAGAAGGTGGATATCATTCTTGATGGGGAGTTGCTCGAGAGACCCGAGACGTTCTTCTCATAGACACAAATTGCTTTTTGTATTGATTTAGTCACTAGCGGTTTAAAGTTACGCGATTGCTCAAAGTACAGTTAAAGCTCATAACGTGGACATATTTTAGATTCACACGTTGGCGCATTCATCAGGCTTCGTTAACTGCTTCCAAACTTTCTTACACTGGCCTGTAGGCAAATTACTCCTCTCCTTACCAAGCAGCACTTTCCAGTTCTGCGATTCCCAACGATCAGTTTTATCTTAATGCCACGAGCCCAGACCCGAACTCTTCCAGGCCGGTGCTATTGCTTCTTGACAGCATCGAATTTTATTTGTCGAGTCCAGGTTGCTTCAGCGTGATCATCCGCTGTGTTGACTCGTTGGTGACTCAGCTACCAAATGAGCCACTGTCCCCCGGCCCATGGGCCATGGTCCATGAGTTATTCCCTGCAACAGTCCAAACCATCGCGGTATAGAGGCGCATCATAGGATGTCCAAGAGCCCGGCTATAAGCCGTCGTTTCAGCAACGCGCCGACGTTCATTGCCGACAGATGCTTGGCAACACATGTAGTCTGCCGCAATGTTCACCTTGAGCCTAGAGCTGGTGGGACGCCTCTGCGAACGTTGCGGAGCAGAACAAGTGACCGAAAGGCCGGCTGCCGGGAGCTTCTTTCGGCATCGGCGCAGACTTGAAGCCGCGCGCGCAGCTAGGGCAAGTATTGGCCGGGTACTCACACACAAGCGCTGTCGTTCTCCCCATTTAACAGCCATTTGGCTTCATATGCCGGAGTTTGGTGGATGCTTTCCAAGGTATTGTTTGTAATCCCCACACAAATCGTGGCCTCAAAAGTATCCTTGCATGTGGCCATACTGGGCGGCCGCCGCGTTGACATCGTACCCTGGCGGCATGAAGTCCTCCATAAAAGCAGGCGCAGCCATGCTGTATATGCTAGGAGGATATACCTGCATGGTCTGGGAACAGTCGATGACTTCCTGCTGGGGGTGGTGCTCCGGGGGCGAAGCGTGGTGCTGGTCGAGGAGCATGCGTTCGTCGCGCTGGTCCCGCTCCTTCAGCTGTACCAACGAAGCTTGCTGTGGCATCGAAGGCGACGTGGCCGCTTGCACCGCCGGCGCCAAGGACTGGGAGATGGAGTGGAACGCCGGTATGTCGGCAATCAGCTCGGGAAATCGAGTGAAGAAGTCCATGCCCATCGTCCACGAGTTGATGTCGGAGATCCGCTCCTCGAATGCCGGCGATATTTGGTACTGGCCCGTGACCAAACTCTTTTTATAGGCGTCGCGGAATTCGTAGGGCCAGAGGAGGTGGAAATTAGGACCAAACAGATCCCAGAAAGAGTTGTTGCAGTAATGGTGTTGTCCAAAGACGAAACGTTCTCGAACACCGGGCCTGAAAGCTTGTCAGCTCAATTGGTTGTAACATGCAACCCCCAGCCGCCGGCTTACCAAACAAAGAAGTCAATCGCATAGGAATGTGGCATGGTCTGTGATGGTCTGCATCATGTTAACACTGGCTCTCAAACTGCCGGCTTCAGTGCCGGGCCGTTGATGCACCAACCTCTTCAGGTACCAAGTCGGCAGCTTGGCGTAACGACTCGGCGTGGGGTCAGAGTGATACTGGAGTAACAGGTGCATGGTGCGGAGGATCGCCAACCGCTCAGTCTTGGGACACGTCTGGAAACACAGCTCGTCGACCCGGCGAAGCTTCTTCCACAGCTTCGACAGCGGGCGGGACCGCGCCACGGCATCCCACCCCTCCAACAGGACCCGCACCGGAATATCCTCGTCATTGGCGTCCTCGGCGACGTGCGCCTCCTTCGATATCCTGCACCGCTTCGCCAACACCTGGTTGACGGCTCTCCACACATTCACCTTGGGCGGAGCGGGGCCTGCGGGGGTGCGGACGGTGATGCAGTCGCAGGGCATCTCCGGCGGGGGCACGATCAGGTTGGGGTCGTCGTGGTCCTCGTGGCACTCGTCGTCGTCGTCGAGCTCCTCCCCGAGATCCTGGCTCTCCGACGTGGAGCTTGGCGCGTGAACACTGGGCGCGTGCACGCTGGGCGCCGAGATCCCATTCGGCACCGTGCCGACGGCCATGACCCCTCCGTGGTTACTGTTGCTGTGGTCGTGGTTATGTTGGTGTTGGTTGAAAGCGTGAACATCGCCATGAGCTGCTGACGGCGTCTCCGGGATCATGCCCATCGGCGCACTATACGCGGTGGGCGCGGGCAGCCCAGGCATCACCGCCGAGGAGGAAGACGCATCCCGGGAGTCGGACAGGGATGTTGACGTCGAGAACGAGGAGTGCTGGTGCTGGTGCTGGCCGCCAGCCGCGGATGGGCGGTGCGGCGACGACGATGACGACGACGACACATCGCGAATCGTCTCCTGGATGGCCTTGAGGGTCTCTGAGAGGCGGTCCCGTTCTGCTGTGACGCTGGCCAGCTGCTCCATGCAGGCCGACAACCTCGTCGAGTCGTCCTTGCGGAGCTCCTTCACCAGCGCCTCGAGCTCGGCGATGCGGTTACGGGTGCGCTCGCGGGCCTGCCTCTGGGCCCTGCGGTCGAGCTCGCGTTTCCGGAGCTTGCGGGCGATCTCCTTCTCGGAGGGGACCTTGGCCGGGGCGGCTGATCCCCCTCCTGCTCCTTCTGCTCCTCCACCAGGTGTTGCTGCTGAAGTGGGGGCATCGCTTGGCCCGTTGGACGCCATGGTTGGGAGAGAAGAGCGCGCAGACGCGCGGTGCTGATAAAGAGCAAATTTGGATGTTGGTTGGGGAGTTATTCTGACAGAGAGGGGAGACGGGGAGCAGAGTCAGATTGGATGGGGACAGAGGATGTGCGGTGTGTGTGTTTGGCTCTGTCTGAGGCGCTTAGGGTCCGGCTTAATTCGTATGTTCGGATGCGGATGATGGAGCGATATGTCAGCTTATGACACAAAAAGAGAGAGAATAGATTGTATGAAAACCGGGCACCCGATAGTGTGGAAGAGAGTTGACGGCAGATGTGCAGAAGTGGATCGAGCGGGCATCAATAACAATCAGGGGAAAAGGGGATCGGGAGTTGAAAAAGACAGACGGAGGAAGCTTCTTTCTCTTCTGACGGGCGGGCAAATTAGCATCACGGAACAGCTGAAGAGAGGGACCCCTGGCTTAGGTTGGTGTCTTGCCTGGCTTGAGCTTGACAAGGGGATGGGTGGATGGAGGGCGGAAGAGCATTACCCAGGTGGTGGGAGGGGCGGAACAGAGGTTGAAGAGAGACAGAGAGATCAAAGAATGTGGGGTAAAATGCTGGTACCCTTGCCTTGGACACTTTGACACTGCTGCTCTGTGTTTCTGTCTAGGTGCTATGCAGTAGAGGACTAGCTAAAACGGGATTCCTACGTGACATTGGGCGCAATCCTGGGAGGCGGTGGCTTCTGCGTGGCTCTGATAGAGTTTCGACGCCGTCGAGCCGGCGCGGATTTGGCCCCGGTACGCTGGCGAATCAGCACTGCAGATGGCGAGTCCGGCACGCTCTTGAGGTGCATCTGTCTTGGAAATGTCTTAGTTGCCGCACATCGTTTGTTTCCATCCCAATTTCTATGGGGGTAATTAGCCCTCCATGCATTCCGCGGAGGCCGGGTCCGGACGTTGACAATGCTTGACTGGAAGCTTACTGCCAGTACTAAAAGCGTCGTCTCCCCTGCATGTCACTCAGCTGGCGTGGCCACACCAGCCCTAGCGATCGTTCCTGAGTAGCGCTTCAGCTCTTTGAGATGCGCTCTTGTCATCATCTTACACAAACAGATTCAACACACTCAGACATCTGCAACTCCACCATTGGTCTCAATGCAGGGCGGGTTTGCTCTTTACTATACAACAAACATTTGTACCTTGCGTCGGTTCAAATTGTGACATGTCACTGAACATCTCGCCCACTTAATAAACACGGCACAGGGCTACTCATAAGAGACATTCCAACACTAATAGCAGCTTTCCCAGTCAACCCCGTCAATCCTCCAACAACCGCCGATCTGCACGCAGCTTATGCGGTTTGTTTACCGGCCTCCCTCCGATTGAAAATCACTTCCAACTCCGGCAGCGACAACGTGAACCCGTCCTTCTTGCCCTCAATAAAGGCCTCTGCCGTCTGGCCCGGCGCGAATGCCACGTCATATCGGTGAATGATCTGGCTCGCGCAGTATCGAACCTCCATCAGCCCGAGCTGTTTGCCGACGCACGAATACTTGCCTGGAACCCGCATATCAGCTCTCATGGTTTCTTGTAGTTCCGATTGCAGCGACCACAAAAAATGAAGTGAGATTAGAGTGCTTACCGGTGCCAAAGGGGACGAAGGCTGCAGGATCCTTGGCCAGTTCTGGTTGTGTAATCCATCGCTCTGGGATGAACTCGCTGGCGTGCGGAAAGATACGTTCATCTGTCACATTTAGGTTCCGTCAGCACTACGGAACTTCCGAAATACGTACCCGGACGTTACACGACCGCTCGAGGGGGAAAAAGAAGAAAAAAAGAAAAAAAGGTTTCACTCACCTCGAAACATTGTGTACGTCGGCACTTGAATGATGGTATTGCCCGGGATAAACGTCCCGTCAATATCGAGGCCCTCGGGTGGCGTCATCCTTTGCACGCCGGACGGCACGGGCGGGTGCAGCCTCAGCGCCTCGTCGATGCATGCCTGCAGGTACGGCAACTTCGAGAGTGCGGAGTGCTCGGGTTCGGAATGTTCAGCAAAGTACTTGTCAATCTCATCCCTTAGGCGCTCGTAGACGTCTGGCTTCTGGGCTAATTCGAAAAAGAGGCAAGTAAGGGATGCGGCTGTTGTATCGCTGTGACGGGGGAAAGGGGAAAAAGAAATGTTAGCGGGGTCCATTGCGGGGGCTGCTATCCCCCATTCGAAAGGGGGGACTTTACCTTCCAGCAACGATGATCAGATATGCGTCTCCATATAGATTTAAAGTGTCTTGCCAAGTGGGTTTCTTAATGGCCTGGTAGTCTTCCAGGACCCACGAGAAAACATCCGGGCGGTCGGGAGGATTCTGTGAGACATCGTTAGCTTTTGAGTTGCTGGTCCCCTGTCCAGCTGAGACGAAAACTGCATTCATACCGCGATTCTCTCATCCACCTGAGAAGTGACAAACTTCCAGAACCTCTTGTTGTTTGCATTCAAGATCGGAGTGTTCTTGAAGATAGGGAACAACCACAGCATATGGCTGAATGACCCAATAGCCTGCATGTCCGTATGCAGGGAAGTCATGAAGTAGTGCTTAATGCCCTCCTTCAACATCCCAAAAGTCTTGCCAAATGCCAAGTCGCCCATTACGTCGAAGCTGTAAAAGTTGAACCAGTCGGCAATGTTGAACGGCTTGCCCTTGTGGGCCTCAATCTGATCAAGAAGCTGATTGGTGTAGTTGGCAACTCGGAACTCATAGTCTCGTAGGGCTAGCTCCCACGTCAACAGACGGGACTGGATAGGATCGGCAAGGGATAGATACCTTTCGAGCTGAACCCACGATCCCAGGCCTTGCGCCGAACAGAATGCTCTTGCTTATCGCGAACAAGCTGCAGGGAGTACATGGGATGCAGAACTCCGTACCACGGACCCTTGGTGCATGGTGATCTGTTGGAATGAATTGGCATGATAGCCTTGGGGTTGTTGATAGACAACTCAGTCGGGCCTACAACCGAGTCATGTTAGTTGCACAACTCATCGTACGATTTCAGCCCTTTCCGGTCTTTCTTGCTTACCAATTCGTACGATATCACCGTACGTGTTGTGAAGATCTTGCACTTCCGAGTACAAGTGCAGCTTCTTGAGCGCGCGTCTCGTGATGTACAGGTTCGACATGCGGGCCATCCACGGCCCGTTGAAGGAATTGAGCCGGTGAAAGCCCGCGCGGTACACGAACAAACTGGAGTAAATACCTGCGATCAGGGCGGCTGTGAGGGAGCATGCTGTTCTGAATGCGGCCGCATTCGTAGGGAAAGTCTCAGAGGCCAGCTGGACAAGGGCCGCGGTGAGCAGTCCGATGCCCAGAGAGAAATTCCGGATCAGTGTCGTGGTCGAGATATCCCATTCTCCGATGCGGAAGACGAAAACATGAAGTTGAATTCCCACGACAAAGGAAAGGCAGTGGGCCTGGAAGAGTTGAAGGTCCGTCATCGCCATGGTGTCTGTGAGGCAGCGCGATTCAGGTCTGAACTTTTTTGGGTCACGAAAGAGAGCCCAGAAGAGAAGTCTGAGCCTTTTTGGACAACTTCATGTCTTCCCCGCTCCGCCGAGGCTCGTAGATATGTTGTTTGCGCATATGTTTACTGTTGGACCTCCCCTATTAGGCGGGTCGCATAATCGCAGCCTGCGTCAGAAACCGTATCGTGATCGCCCAGCAGACCAACCAACGCAGCGTCAGATAGGAACAATAGAGACGTGTCAGAACAATAGCTCCTTCAATCGAGCAGACCGCATGCTGTTACTTCGAGTCAGAAAATCTGCCACTCTTATGGGACAGCCGCAGCCGCGTAGTCCAAACAGGTCGCGGAGCAGTACTCACCTATCCCCTGTAGGCGCGTTATTGCTCTCAGCCACCAACTGGGGTTGTATTTGAGAACCGTTGAAACTCGTGTGATCCCATTGGATATCGAAGGAGAGGCTCCCGTAGGCATACGTCACGAAATCATCGACTCAGAAGCTCCAACGGTTCTGACTCGACCACATCTGGGGTAAGTCGTGGGGTCTCCCCTCACACTCGCGGGGTGCAGAGCTCAGTGCGGACTGTGGAGAAGAACAGAGTCAGAACGCCTCCATCGTCTGCCTCAAGGCCACACTTTTCCACAATCCCCCATGTTTTCCACGATCTAAGAATCCGGGGAAGATCTCGCACCCCCAGCAGCTTACCCCGTACTTTGCCCCGGTGTCTCTACCCCGCATGGGACTAATCAACGGTTGTTGGAGATCCCGGGGGCGGCCGCGTGACATTCGTGTGGGATGCCGAGACCTCGAGCCGGGTGCCAACAAACACAGCAGCCAACGGGTGAGTCGGGCTCGGAAGACTAGCTTTCTCGCCGGCGGAGCCACAATACCACGCGAGCTCGAGACATCCTTGTGCGGAATAGTCGGATCTTCAACAAGGGCCGGTGATACCGTCGCCGTTGTTGAGCATTAGCGGGTTTGTCCCCATGCTTTGATCCGAAATCTTGGGACGAAAAGACAAGAATAGACGGCAACTAAGGATGCAATACAATGGATTGTCACAGTCGTCGATCATTGTTCTCGGTCATAATATGTTCTGATTCATCAAGTAGATACCAGTTCCAACGACAACTATGTACATGCAGTTACTTCAGGTCTATGACTACGCGACCTTGTATTTCCCCGGACTCCATCTCAGTAAATATCTAGACGTCGTGATTGTCAGTATATCTCCCATGATTGGATACTCGGTGTTGCCGAGCTCGGATTCGGGTGCCGTACCTTTGTCAAGCTCCTCATGCGCCGAAGTTGAAAGTGAGTTTTGACCTTGCCCCGTGCAGCGATTTCGAGACATTCCTTGGCTTCGAGACGGTTACCCGTTTTGACGCCTATGATAACCGCTTGTCAGCACGTTGCCCAACACACAGGTGCATATGCAGGACACTTTAGCACACTTACCAAAGATGGTCAGCTCATCGCAGAGCATGGGCTCGACCTCTCCGATGGCCGGACTGCTGTGTTCGGGAACGCCCAAGCAGACAAGTTTGCCGCGGAAGCCCAACCATCTCGGCGACTGGATGTACGCTTTCTTGTTTGACGAACACATCAACACAATCCTCGCGCCGCCGCCGGTGATCCTCTTGATCTCGTTCGCCAGGTCTTCTTCGGTGGGGAAGGATGTGAAGTCGACAAACTCCTGGGCTCCGAGGTCGCGGCAGAACTTTTCCTTGATGCCGAGGTCCATCGCCAAGACGCGGCAGCCGAGAACATTGGCGTACTGGATCGCGAGGTGGCCGAGGCCGCCGCCGGCACCGGCAATCACGATCCAGTCTCCGTGGCGGGCGTCAGCGCGCTTCAGTGCGGTGTAGACGCTGACGCCCGCACACATCAACGGAGCCGCTTCGGCTGAGTCCAACCCATCTGGTACGGGTGTTACGTATCTTGCCGATGATAGACAGTATTGTTGAAGTGTTCCTGGTGTGAAGTAGCCCGATAGTTTAACCTCTGCGCATGATGACTCGCCACCTTGAAGGCATCGGTCTGAGATGATAACATGATTAGCATGGTGTAGACATGCCACTGGCTGGTGAAAGACTTACCGCAGTTAAGACACGCATCTGCGGCATACTTGATACCTACTCGTTGCCCAATGGCAGGTGTTGTTACACCAACACCAACAGCAACGACCTCGCCGACTCCTACGAGATGCAAGTTAATACCACGTCAATATAGAGCTGACTCTCGTATGCTTCCTTTGCGGAGTCAGAATACGAGCCGAGATGACGACTGACCTTCATGACCTCCCACCTGACCTGTGGTAATTGTTAGATCCCTGATATGCCGAGGGCAATCTCGAATCGGATGCGACTTACCTTTTGGTGTAGGGAACGGCACTGATGAGAAAGCGTTCATGCAAAAGCCATAGTCTGTATGGCATACTCCTGAATATTGCCTGTGATAGCAACACGATCAGCAATCAATCATCACAGATTGAAATTTGTAGAGCCATACAGTCGAACGAGGACTTCGCCGGGCCCAGGTGTCGGTATCGGGAGTTCGACAACCTCCGTCTTGGTCGTTCCGGGTTCGGTGTACACAACAGCACGGTTGAAATTGCTTTCGCCGCCCATGGTAGTCGCCATCAAAAAGCTATATCGATAAATCTGCACGTGTTCAAGTTCACAGTAAAGATCGCGAGGGATGCATGTCGTTATATTTCTCTTTTCGAGAGGAAGGGGAAAAGACCGGGCTCAGCATCCAACTTATCGGACTGCTGTCTGGAACCTCCACACAAGCTCACACATGTACATGAAGTCTACTTTTGGCCGAAAAAACAACGCTCTTCAATTCCCGTCCCCCTCACCCTTTCGCCCCATCGGCGACTTGTGCCTAGTTTCCAATCACGGATGGCGCAGCCAATGCGACGGCGCCAGACGAAGTGCCGATGCACTGGCACGAGGCGATTTCTGGGCTGCCGGCGCCGAGACGGCGGGTCGAACTTGACTCGAACTGAGTCTGTATGCATGACCAACCTTGCAGGATATCATCTAAAACGAGCCGGCTGATGCTGCACGGCTCAGAGGGTGGTCGAGTCAGACGGGAAGGAGAATCGGGAAACAATGTTCGATGATGGGATTTGAGTGTGGGTGAGAGCAAACTGACGAGTGAGAGTGAGCGGGAATGAAGAGTGAGTGTGAGAGAGTGTGTGTGCGTCTGTGAGGGGTGCGGCACGTTGCCGAGCTGTCTCCAACTTTTCCCCCACGGCATCCCGCAGCCCGCAGCAAGTGTCTGTGTTGTGTCAAGTTTATCTTCATACAGTTGATACAGCAGCAGCACACACTCTAAGTACCTTTTTGCCATGGAGCGCGGTGTTTCGGTAGTTGTTTTTCTCTTGTCCTGTTCGCTACCGACCTGGTAGGTAACCTGTTAGGTGACTAAGAATTCGTCATGTACTGCTAGTGCCGCTTGTCATCAGCCCGCATGTATCTCTGCTCCCCTCTTCTCTGGACAATGCAAGTACCTGTTTTTCTTCAGCAAAATGGCATTATGGGGCCCAACACGTTTCAACGGCCTCTCCCCGTCTCACCTTGGCAGTGTTGGTGCGGATGGCCGACATGCGAAAGCAACCAAGCAGCATCCAAACAGCCATGTAACCCGGGGTCCTCTCATCGGTGAGCTACCCCAAATGGACAATTCAGTCGCTGCAGGCCCCGCTTGCCGCGGGCCAGACTCCATTTCCACGCAATAGTCTATGTCAATCGCTGGCAGACATCGTGACATTGACGGTGGAGTGTCGGGCGAGGGGCCCTCGGTCGAAGACATGGCATCCCGGCCTTGTGCCCTAGCTTCTCTCCACGTCCCCTCCACTGGTTCGTTGTCCCTCACAATCACCAGCACAAACCACCCATCCCACCACCACAGGCGAGGCGGAGGGGCGAGAAAGGAGTCGGAGAGCTCAACACAACGCAGGGTCGCTCTCGCATACACTACCCGTCCCATCCCTCTTCTTGTTTCTCGCTCCTCTCTCTTCTCGTGTACTTTTCTTCCTCCTCGCGCGCCCGATCACAGACCCTGATTCACGCCGTTTAAACTCTTCTCCCACATTACGTACCTGCACGTAACTTGCCGCCATCCTTACCTACCAACCAACGGTTTTACACTAGATAATCGCCCATCATGGCTGCTAACGGCACCTCGAAGCTGGACTTCACCAAGTTCTACAATGTCATCAACGGCAAGCTGGAGACGACACCCAAGACCAGACACGGCTTGAACCCCTCCACACTCGAGCCCCTCGCCGAGGTGCCCCTCTCGACCGCTGAGGATGTCGACAGAGCTGTGCAGGCCGCGAGGGCCGCCCAGGAGGCATGGGCCGAGACGCCCTACGAGGAGCGCAAGAAGGCTGTCGCCAAGCTCGGTGACCTGATGGAGGAGAACCTCAACGAGTTCGCCGTCATGCTGAGCAAGGAGCAGGGCAAGCCTGTAAGTACGATTGCTGGGAGAACTAGCACATGGACCCTGCGCAAGCTCGCGAGCGAGTAATGCTGACGTACCGTGCGCTGCGCAGATTGGCTTCGCCCAATTCGAGATCTCTGAGGCCATCAAGCACTTCAGAGGTGTTCCTACGCTTCCCTTCCCCGAGGAGGTCGTCAGCGATGACCCCGACCGTCGCGTCATCACCAGATACGTGCCTCTCGGTGTTGCCGTCGGCATTGTTCCATGGAACTGTGAGTCTTCCTATGACTTCCAAGATAGCTTTCGCAGACAGAACTAACATCGTTTCGCAGTCCCCATCCTCCTCGGTACGCCCCCGACGATCGCATTAATGACCCCCAGAACCTCACTGACGCAATCTCACAGCTGTCGGCAAGATCTGCCCTGCCCTGATCACCGGAAACGCCTTCATCCTCAAGCCCTCGTAAGTCCCCATCCCTCCCCGCGCGCCGGCCCGTCATCCCATGTTTCAAGAGCGCTGACGCGAGTCAAGTCCCTTCACCCCCTACTGCGACCTCAAGATCGTCGAGCTCGCCCAGCAGGTCTTCCCGCCCGGCGTCTTCCAGGCGCTCAGCGGCGACGACAACCTCGGCCCCTGGCTCACCTCCCACCCCGGCGTCGACAAGGTCAGCTTCACGGGCTCGACCGCCACGGGCAAGCGCGTCATGGAGAGCTGCGCAAAGACGCTCAAGCGCGTCACTCTGGAGCTGTGAGTGGAGCAATTCCCGCAACGGCAGCTAAATTGCAGCCCGCAACCTTGTTGCCGGGCAGGCCAAAAAAAATCCCGAATACTGACTCGTGAGCGCACAGCGGCGGCAACGACGCGGCTATCGTCCTCCCTGACGTCGACATCAAGGCCGTCGCGCCTAAGATCGTCACCCTGGCTCTGTACAACTCTGGACAGGTATGTTGGAAGACTTGGCGTCTGACAGGATCCGATCGGCTCCTGCAGAAGGTCTGTTTGGGTAGCCGCTAACGTGATCACTGCCAGGTCTGCATCGCTATCAAGCGCATCTACATCCACGAGTCCATCTACGATGAGCTCCTCACCGAGATGGCCAACGTCGTGAACAGCTTCCCCGTCGGCGACGGTCAGAAGGAGGGCACCATGCTCGGCCCCGTCCAGAACCAGATGCAGTTCGAGCGCGTCAAGGACCTCCTCAAGGACATTGAGGAGCAGAAGCACAAGCTTGCCGCTGGCTCCACGGCCCCTGCCTCCAACGGCAAGGGCTACTTCATCACCCCCACCATGGTCGACAACCCTCCCGACAACTCTCGCATTGTCGTTGAGGAGCCCTTCGGTAAGTTTGCCAGCTTGCACTCATCTCGTAAATGAAAGTGTTGTCCAGCGACTAATACACAACCAACGTAGGCCCCGTCTTCCCCGTCCTCAAGTGGAGCGACGAGAAGGAGGTCATCCAGCGCGCCAACAACACCGACATGGGTCTCGGCGCCTCGGTCTGGTCCAAGGACCTCGAGAAGGCGCAGGCCATCGCCAAGAAGCTCAAGGCCGGCAACGTCTGGATCAACACGCACTTGGAGCTCCAGTACGATGCGCCCTTCGGCGGCCACAAGCAGAGCGGTATCGGATACGAGTACGGCGCCGGCGGCCTGAAGGCGTACTGCAACGCCCAGTCCATGTTCATCACTAAGGCATGATTATGATACCAGAGCCCCTGCAAAGTCTTACGAGCTCATAATATAACGAATTAAAAAAAGATCAAAACATCCAAGCTGTAGAGGAAAAGGTCGGTGTGGGCTATCTGTCGGTCAGCAGAGCGTGGCAATCTTGCTGGGCTTTTTGGCCCGGTACCTGTTTCGCACTAGTAGATCAGTACAAGAGTAGTGCAGATAAACCAAGAAACCCTTGATTCTTCAGACCCGACTGGCCCGTTCGCATTGAATGGATGGCTGCATTGAAGCTCTTCGGCGTTACTGTCTCAAAGGATTGCATTGCCCCGATATTTCGCATGATGGGGTACGGCCTTTTGGGGGCGAGGCCTGACAATCCGGAGAGCAGTATCGGGGAGTTTATGGAGCAATTATGGAGCCCCTGCCGAATAAGCGCTGGTTGCTGCCTGGCTAGTGAGCCCATTCTGCAAGACCCTGGAGCAGGCAATTCGCGGTGTATTAACTGTATCCGTAATCAGCAATAAGTGCGCATCGATGGAGGGGGAGAAGGGTCCATCCGGAATACGCAAGCCTGCTGCCCGGGGTGCGGGAAATAGTTCCGCTTTCACATGGGTGCGGCGGGGTAGTGCGGTGACAGGTGAGAGCGGCCCCCTCTCACATGGGGATACGAGGGGAATTGTTTCGTACGGGGATGTTTGGGGCGAACTAGGACGGAGAATTGGTCGCATTGAAACGGGGTCCGTTGGGAATTTGATTCTCTCCGCAGGGGGGCGGGAGAAAAGGAGTTGAATCCCCGCTGGGGTTAATGGCAATTCAAATATCATACATCCCCAATTAGGTTCCCCATTCTTTTATCACCTGATGGGTGTCGAGTTGCTCAACATGCGTCTTCGCTCAAGCTTCGGCCTCCGTGTTTATTCTTCTTCATCTACTTCACTCAGTTGGCGCAGATTTTTGAAGAGAGACGCAGCTTCGTAGCACGCCAAATGAAGGCATTGATGTTCTCATAGCTGACAAAATGGCACTTGCCTAGCTGAGGACCGAACGAAGACAACGCTAGAAGACCAACACAGCTGGTAAAGTCGAGTTGATTCATGTCGGTGTCAGCTGTTAGGCACCAGCGGCACTTCACGCGAGCACACTTGCAGACAAGCAAAATAGTGGGAAAGTCAAATATTGGTATGCTTGAAGAGACTTGACAGCCCAAGATACATTCTACGCGTCTGCTTTATTGCCTAGGCTCTACCACGCCACCGCATACGAAAGCCGAAAAGGGTGCGACTACATTCTATGGCTACCAAACGCCATCAAAGGCTATGAAGGTTAAGAGAGGCATTGTGATTTGGTCCATCAGATTCAAGCATGACAGCGGTAGATTCTGAGGGAGGCTTGTTATATGCGTATTGTAGCTTAACTATATGCTGACCTAAGATCAAGTGGTTGACTCAGAACTAATGCAAGGTGATATCACATGTTAATTACTAGATTTATTGTGAGCATCGATCTATTCTCGAACACCGCGCGTAGCTAGTGGGAACATCTAGGTATCAATGGTTTCACGTGTTTAAAGTCATATGAAGAGCAGAACTTGAGATGTAACGTCATGGCGAGTCAATGTTGCGTATGCGTACTTCCATTTGGGGGCGGGCCTGAGTTTCTATACGGGTTTGTAATCATGTCATTCGTCGGCTTGTGTTGTGATATCAGTCTGGCTGAGCTCGCGTCGGCGTTCCCTCACTCTGTCGGCCAATACTTTTGGGTGAGTCAATTAGTGCCCAAGAGGATCAAGTCAGTCCTCTAATGTACGACTGCCATTCTCTCCCCGGCAGGAGCAATCTGTAATTGTGCTTCCGGTACATTAATTGCGGCCACCAGGGTGATTGGAGTGGCTAAGCTGCTCAACACGATATTCAACCTGAGCCGATGGGTCACGGTCCTGTTTAATCAGACCATCACGTTAACATCGTTCTTATTCGATATATTCGAATATCTGATTGGATTGGTTACAAGAGGCACATTGCTCCTGTCTTGCGTCTCTGATCGTAGTGTTCATGGCCCTCCTATTCTTCTCTCCGACAAAACAAACGGCCAAGGCTGTGTTCATCGACTCCGATAATACATTGGGTTGGCCCAGCAGTGCGGCATTCTTTGTCAGCGTGAATGCACCACATCGGTGTTTCTCTTGCTTGGATGCTGCCGTTCGTCTGGTAAACAAGACACCGGAAACTCGCAAGAACGTGCCTTAAGGCCTTGCTGTGGACCATCGCAGTCGGCACGGCCACCACGCTTTCCATAATGCTGACTATACTATTCTCAGTGCATGACATGAACGAAATAGTCAACAACAGTCTTGGTTGTGTCTTTTTCACCCTTTTTTTTCCAGGTCTAAGGGAGGTAAGACAGAGAGATTGGTCTCCAAATCTTGGTTTTTATCATTATGGTGGCTGCTATCATTGAGATTCACGAATGGCAATCCTGAATGGCTTGGGCTTTCGCGCGGAATGGGCTTTCAATTCCATCGATATCGCGCCGCCATTGCTCCAGCTCCCTTTCAAACCCCAATCTGGACTCCTTTGTGATCGTGTATTTGGACCAGTCTAATTGGAGCAGTGTATCTCGGGTCGCACACAACATTCAATTCTTTTGTTTCCGCTGGCATGCTGTTTTAAGATATCACATGCGCTATCTCTATTTTTCTGATGCTCTCATATTGAAGAAATGCTTTAGCAAAGGGGTTTTTCTGGCTCGACAGAATTGGCCTTGCCGCGAATATCGTCACCTTGGCATAGTAGTTTATCGCACTGTTTTTCTACTCTTTCCCTTGTCATCTTCTAGTTGTGGTCAGTGAAATAAATTACGTCACATGCATTCTTGTTGGATTCATCCTATATTGTGGTATTTACTGGGTGGTATACGGAGGTTCAACCATTTGCTGCCACAAGCTGGTGATATGGTTGCAGGCTAGGTGTTACGGTAGATTGTTTCATTATGTGACTTTTACCTATAGAAAGGACTTTTCGTAACGTATCTGCTATTTTCTTAATTTCAGTGTTTTGGTCGTTCTCGTACACGGAGTTGGCAAGCGTCGGGCTATTTTAAGGTGGGGTTAACCTTGGCGAAGCTAGCTTCACGGAGACATCCAGACGGATACACCCAGATACCACTTAACAACAAGACCGCCTATAAATCATCTCAGTACTGATCTCAACCCAAACGGAGTTTACTTATTCCGCTTCAGGAAAAACTTTGAATCATCGAGTCCGAATCCACGGGGTTACGGCCCATATCACGATGTTTGCTGATAAACTCGGTCGTTCGTAGAGTCTCTACACGGTTCATTTCTCAACTTTCAATACTCAAGATCCTAGCCATTGACTCCTGCAAGCAAGCTGAAGTTAGCATCCCTAGATACAATTAATCATCAACAACTAGAGATCTTCTGTGAATTGTCGGGTTTAGCGAGAACGGCATTTGACCTGTCACAGGGTCTCCTGTCGATCCAAAGCTGCCCCCGTGTACGAGATTAGAGTATAAATAACCAATATTCGCAAGTTTCTTACCGATGATCATCGCTGTGATTATCGCCCTTTATCTTTGATCTTACATCGTACTGATTATCACTCGAAACTGCACCTGAAAGGAATCTCTTCTACATTTTGATCATAGTCATGTCTCTCCCGTCTTCTTACAAGATCGCTGCTGCCGAGAATCCCGGCTCACCATTGGCTCTCAAGGACACCCCAATGCCGACGGTTGGGGACGAACAAGTACTCGTCAAGGTCCTCGCTTGCAGCGTCTGCCACACTGATGCTGTGGTTGCGGCCGGCTATTTCGGCATCTCTTTCCCCCGGGTACCTGGCCACGAGATCATCGGAGATGTCGTCAAAGTCGGCAGTGCTGTTGTGGGAGTGAAGCCTGGAGATCGCGTCGGCGGCTCTTGGCATGGGGTTGAGTCAACCGAATGTTCACCGTACTCATTTACTAACTCGAATTTCTCAGGTCACGACGGCACCTGTCGTGAGTGCTCCCGTGGTCTTGTGCAGATGTGCCAGAACGAAGAGGCCCACGGTGTCACCCTCGACGGCGGTTTTGGCGAATACGTCCTGATGCGCTCTCAGGCTGTCGTTGGAGTGCCTGCCGATATGGACCCCGCCGAAGCTGCTCCTTTGATGTGCGCCGGACTCACAAGCTTCAATGGTATTCGGAAGATGGGCATCGAGGCCGGCGGTCTCGTCGCTGTTCAAGGGCTCGGTGGTCTCGGACATCTCGCTATTCAGTACGCGAATCGCATGGGATACAAAGTCGTGGCCTTGAGTTCGGGGAGCTCGAAGAAGGAATTCGCAGCACACCACTACGTCGACACCAGCGCCGAAGACCCAGTGAAGGCCCTGATTGCCCTTGGTGGTGCCGATCTCATCGTCGCAACCGCTCCGCACGCCAAGGCCGTCTCACCTTTGATCAACGGTCTCCGATCACTGGGCAATCTTCTCGTACTTGCCCCAGTTGGAAACGTCGAATTCGACACCACGGTCCTATTGCGCAAGGGTGCCTCTGTACTCAGCTGGCCCAGTGGTAATATCACCGACGCCGAGGAAATCCTCGAATTCTCAAAGGTCCATGGTGTAAAGTGTCTGGTTGAGAAGTTCCCACTGGGGAAGGTCAATGAAGCTATGGGCCACATGTTGACGGGATCTGTTAGGTTCCGTAGTGTCCTGGTCGTATACTAAGATTGAATGAAGTAGAAGGCCGCTCTTGTAATTAACTCGATAGTCAAATGGAAGATGGTTGTTGTAGAGTCACCATGCGTTACAGAGTGCCGCTTTTCCTTGACTGAAACAATTTTCTTTCAGATTACCTAGTGAGTACCTAGAACTTTGCAAGGTATTGCAATTGTCATTTTTGTTGTCTTCATCGTTCTCGTCGTCACCGCCGCGGTCAATGTTTCTGCCGTTGTCTTAGTTATCAACTCTTTTATTGCCAACTTGCCATCGCCTCTCCTCTCTGCCGCTCTGATATTTTCTATAGTCAACCACCGTCGTCCTCTACCCGGGCGGATACGAGTGTGTAATCTGTAAAGATCGGCGTGTGCAAAACATTTGGGGTTTTCTCTTATTCGGGCGCATTTGGTCCTTTCCGTCGCTTTCGGTATTTAATGCCCTTAAATGGAGCCAAGACGCGGAAGCCCGCTACGAGTCAGAAGAAACTCAAGTCTCCAGGCGTGGATGCCCGTTGTGTTACAGCTTTATTTTGAGACTTGATTGAAAGTGCCTGCTAAGAACTCCCCGTGTGGGGGTTTAATCAGGGTAGATCCGGAGGTATTCCTGGAAAGTCGCCGTAAATGACCTGGCTCAGAGACCTATAAAAAGACTGAAATTCTTCATCCGAACCACGCGGTTCATCTCAAACATCAGACCAACTTCCTATCTCAACTTCACACAACTCATCAAATACTTAGGTCATCTACCCAACCCTGAGCGACACTTCTTCCATAACATCTACCGTGCAACATCATTTACTAGAAGAAAATGAAGACCACCTTTTTCACAATCATTCTCAGCGCCTTCACCAGCATCGCTGTTGCAGGTGTCGCCGGCGACAGCAGCAACGTCCTCATGTCTCGCCAGGCCAATTTCTGTGGCTCTGGCAATTGCGGTGCCTGCGATACAGTTCAGAAGATTAAGCAATGCTGCGTTGCAGATGATGGAAAGCCTACGGCAGGTCGATGTTCTTTCTGCCCGTGTTGAGATGTTCGTTGCAAATAGGCATGTCCACGGCAACTAGGTATGTAAGACCTGCGTGCTGCATTTCAAAACTACTGACCAAAGCTTACTTGATTCCTTTCAGACTCCTTTGCACTTGGCGAGATAGAATTAGACACATGCAATCATCGACAGAGCACATTCTATCCAGAACGGCAGAAATGATTCAAGGGTTCTGTTTTATTTTTCAAGTGATGGAATAGTCTTCTCTTTGAGGCCAAACCGTGACAAACATGCACCACCCCAAAATCTTCGGTCGTGATGTAGTGAAGTTGCTTAGACGACTAGGAAGCCGTTTCTCGATTGGCAAATAGACTTGGAAAGCGCTGCTTTTTGTCTTCTCCGCCAGAAACTTTGAGAAGAACATAGACGGATGCAAAGGTAATTATCGTAATTTTTAATTTTGCTGGCTACAGCCTCCATCACATCCAGCCGTGTTACAGCTAGCTAGCTGGTGATAAGTCAATTGATTCAGACAACCTAAATGTGACTTGGGACGTTTCCTTAGGTAATTACATCTTCCCAAGTCTGCCGTACCTTCTCCGGTTCGTTGCACGCACGTGAGCCTTCCAGAAAGAGATTCCACGGCGCGGTCGAGGCTCATTGCCAATGATTGGCTACTCCGCATCTGAACGCCGCCCCGCCACGCCGACACTCGGGGGGAGTTGAGCATCGTGGGGTCCCACAATATCACAGACAGGTACCTACCTACCTACTGCGCTGCGGTAAGAAGGATTCCTGCATCTGCATCTGCATCTGCGTTCCGCCCTTGATATCTCGTCCAGACTTCATCATGTTCCATTAAACTTCACATACTCACCTTTGGATACCAACACTTTTGTACTATTGTCATCCTAAATCAAAGACCTTTTGGAATCCATCAATATGGCGAAGTTGTCAACCGAAGCAATCCTGGCGGTAATTGCCATCTTCATTGCCGTACCTCCCACAGTACTTACCTACCTTCAATGGCGGGCTTCCAGACAACATCACAGAGCAATGCGACTCCCACGTGAGCCTTTTCCCCTCCGCAAAGTGTGGATAAAGCCACTCTGCTAAATATTCTATTCGCCTGTCCAGTTTCGTCCGCCGAAATCTTTCCCTACCCTCCCGACGAGTATCACGTCGACTTCCTAATGGTACGGGCCCAAGGACGTGGTCGCTTGAGCAATACATTCGTCGAGGGAATGTCGCGGCTCCTGTCGTCTGGATCTTGACAAGGAACAAACTGCTCAGTGTTGTTCGGCCGACAGCGAGTCTTCACAGGCGCACGATCGATTCGAGTGTTTTATTGAACATGTACTGGGGTTGGGACGGCAAGCAGGCATAAAGGCAAGGTGTTGGTGCATATTTTTGGGGTTGTTTTGCGACGACGGCATTGTTACTTATTAGACCATCATCACACAAACTCAGAGGTTGCATTCAGTGGTATCCAAAGGCAAGCGCCAAGGATCAGCTTCCCGTCCACGTTTCCCACCTGCACGCCCCATGCGTCCGTCCCACTACTTGTTGATCTCGAGCCTCAAGTCAACTACACCATAAATCGTCGCGATGTTTCAGTGAGGTTTTCGGGTACGTCTATCGCGCGATCCCCACCAGCACACACCCCACGCCTTCTTCTTAGTACATCTCCATGATCATTCCCTGCACTTAAACCTCCACTCCACCCAGCATCTCGTCAAAAACCTCAAAATTCCCCTCATTCTTTCGATCGTAAACCGCAAACCACATTTCCCTCCACCAACCCCCCGCAAATTCCGCTTCACCCAGCACCTCCAGCCAACACCGCGCAATCTCCTCTGGTGGATTTCTAAATGCTCCACAGCCCAGCGCGCCCAACACCAATAAGCTGTGATCCCTCGCCGCCGCCATTCTCAAGCACAGCCTCATTTTATCCATCGTCAAAACCCGATCATTCGCCTTTGCAAATTCGAACTCCTCATTCGACCCGACCCTTACTTTTCGCACCTCCGGTGTCCGAATCGCCGCGATGCTGAGAACACTGACCACCGGGAGATCAGTGTGCGCTGTCCCTGGAACGAGAAGCTTGTGTCCGCCCGCCATATCGCCCCGGATCACCACCACATCAGGCGTATATAACCCCATCCGCCTTCGAAAGGGATAATACCGCTTGTGCAAGCTCAAATACAGCGACGAGCGATAACACATAGCCTCTTCCTGCGCAACGGCACCCTTCAACCACCCGCCTCCAGCGTGAATATCCGATGCCATGTTCAACACCGCCACGCGCCCTCCATCAGGCCTTTCCGCCGCAAGGTCGATCGCCGCATTGAACGTATCCTCATTCACGATCTTGATTTTCGCGCGCGGGTGCCCGGGACATGTGTGCGACTTCAGAGGCGGTAGTTCTGAGAGGTGCAGCGACTCGGACGCAGTCGCATCCAGATGTGGCAGGTTGAGCAGAATGCCAGGCAGGACGTTGCGGGTTTCCTCTGAAACCAGGGCAAGTGCGTCGTTGGAGCGGTCGCCTCCCTGGCCGCCGCGGGAGCCTCGTGATGATGAAGATCCGCGAGAACCCCTTGGTGAACGGGATCCGCGCGAACCTCTGTAAGAGTGAGAGCCGCGGCTGCTGGATTGTGACGATGACCCGCTGTCGCCGTTGCTGGAGAAGTATGATGAGGATTGAGACGGTCCTGAGGATTGCTGAGGACGTTGGTTCTGTTTGCGAGGCCGAGCGCCGCCGCCTCCGGACAAATAATCGAATAGGCTGGTCTGGCGCGACATCGTGATTGAGGATGGTGACGTGCAGAAGTCGAGATTGAAGAGTGTGACGGATTTTGGAGTTAGTCTTAGCGTACGGCTGCCTAAAGCAGATCCGTCAGGCAAGCGCGGCGCGTTGTGGGGCGCTCCAAAGCTCCGGCGGCGAAGAATTCAAAGCCAGACGGATCCAAGACTGCCTCGGGTGCCCACGAGAAACTGCGCGATGGTTCTATGAGGAAAGTTGCGCGAGACAAAAGTTGTCCCTGGAAGACGTTGAAGGAAGGTAGAATTAAAGTTGCGGGACGAGATGAGATGGGAAACCTGGACCGTTTATCTGGGGTCGCGACCCACACCAAGTATCTGAGGAGGCAGGTAGCGTGCCACGCTACCATTAAGCTAACTCCGTGTGACAAGTCTGACGGGCTCGGTCAGGACTACAGGAAGATGCACAAGTCAAGTAATCAACGATATTGTAATGCATGGGTATCATCTCATATTTTGGTCTATGATTTTGTACATGTACAAGTTGTTACAGCATGGCGCCAGTGCACCTCAAGCCTTCGTCTTGATAGCGCCCTCAGGAATGGCGTCCCCCGCCTCAAACTTGCGCGGGATAAGCCCCTCAGCCATGTCAATGGCGCCCTGCATATCATTCTTGTTGAACAAGAACAGTCCCTGGATGGCCGCCGTGCTGGTGAACCTCCCAGCCGTCTCGCCCTCGCCGTTGCCGAACAAGTGCAGCTCATCAAGCCTGTTGAGGAAGCGCTCGCGGCCAGACCCGTCTGCGTCCACGTCGCCGTAGAAGCGGTCCCACATCTGCCCGGCCTGGTAGCGCGTCGCCTCGCCGATGCGCATCATCATGTCCACGCGACCGGGGCGGATCAGCGCCGGGTCGAGGCGTTCGATGTGGTTCGTCGTGAGGAAGGCAATGCGCTCCTCGCCGGCAGCGACTCCGTCCAGTGCATTCAGCAGTCCTGAGAAAGTGACGCTCGCGCCGCTGTACCCATCCGCATCGCGCTGGCGTCGGTTCACAAACGCAGCGTCCGCGTCCTCCAGCAGCAACAAACTTCGCCGCGGCAGCTTCGTCAGGAGGTACGCCAGCTTATCGTCCGTCATACCCATCTCGCTCAGATTAATCATCGCCACAGAAAAGTCCAACTCTCCAGCCAACGACTGGATGAACGAACTCTTTCCGCTACCGGGCGGTCCAAAAAGCAAGTACCCACGACGGTACGGAATGCCGCGATCGACATACCACTGCTGCCGCGTCAAAAAGTCCCTCACGTCGTCCACGATGCCCTCCTTCACGCCCTCGTCCAGTATCACCGAGCCCAGCGGGCGCTTCTTCCGCGGATCGCCGAGCGGCGCCCACTCCATGCCGCGCGCCGCATACACCACCGTCTTGCCCTCGTTCGCCTTCGCCGCGAGCGCGTGCGCCTCGCCAAACACCTCCTCGAAGACGTGCCGGTGCGCCCACAGCGCCGTCAGCTGCACGATCTCGTGCGGCTCGCCCGTGTTCATGTTCGCCGTGTTGTGCTTCTCGCGGTTCACCGCGATATACGCGTTGCCGTGCTTGACGATGTGCCTTCCATACCCGGGTTGCAGGAAGAAGTGCGCATTCGCCGGCCCGCCGGCCGCGCCGCCGCGGGCGGTGGAGGTCGTCGTGGACACGGAGAGGTTGTGGATGCGGGTGATGCGCGAGGCGACGAAGCCGGCGGCCTCGCGGGGCTGGGAGAGCCAGGCGAGGATCCAGGGGTAGGCCGGGTCCTGCTTGCTGATCTCGACGTTGACGAGGAGGCGGCGGCGAGCGGCTCCGGCGGCGACGAGGGCGCCTTTGCGGGCGAAGGCGGCGGCCGCGCCTAGACTGGCGAGGCCGATGCCGCCGGCGAAGAGGGGGTTGTTGAAGAGGGCATCGAGGTTGAGGATCGACGGGGCGGCGGAGGCGGTTGCTGTTGATGTTGTCGATGGGTCGGGGGAGGCCATTACGGGCTGCGATGGTGGTGGTTGGTGTGCCATCGAGCTGGCATCGTGGGGGTGTTTCTTGGTGGTGCGGGTTGAATGGTTGAAGAATTGATTGAATTTTTGGGGTGAAGCTTGGGGCAGGGATGACGCACGGAACTGGGGCCGGGGGAGCTGGCTCCGATTTAGGAGACCCACACGGCCCCGGACAGCTTGTCATCGGAAGGTTCCATTGGAAGACCCGATTCGCATCAAAATAGAGCTGTGTTGATGTGTATCGATATATCTGGGTATGTTGTTTTAGGTCACGAATTGATCAATTTTGTGGATGCACTTGTGAAGTATGAGAGATCTATGGCAGGCTCAAAGTCGTAGCGTCTACAAGTCGGCTCGACCACTGCGCATGAAGCCGCCCAATCCATTCTTCCCAGGGCAGTCTGACGAGAATAGACACTAAGGTACAGTGAGAGCCATTTCTTCACATGTTATAGTGCGACCATACCAAACCATTCGGCGTTCAACACAAGCGCAGGCCGGCCTCCGGCTGTTTGAGTCGGCGCTCACCCTGTGCAAGCGGTTAGTCGCATTAGTGAGACAAGCCGTCAAGTCTTAATGCCAAAAGACAACGTCGCGCATGCAAGACATGTTCGAATTATCCTGACTGACGTAGTTGGCGGTGCGTTATCGTTAGCCGTGTGACCGATTGTCTAGATGTCGGCGCATTGGTCCATGGGAGATCTGCCTCGATGGCGGGAAGGATCTCCCATTCCCGGCACAAGCTCAAGATTGCACCCGCCGCCAGTGCTGCCGTAGTGTTGAAGGTGTTGGAGATATGAATCATTGCATCCAAACGGCGCTAATGGGGCATCTTTGTTGTCACTGGCATATAATGGCCGACGGCTCACTTCTACGATGTGTCGAGCTGGTCTGCTTCTCTGCAAGTATATGCTACGACTTGGACATTGTGACGAGACCAGATGGCAGCTTCGACAGAATCTAGGTCACTTCGAGAAGAGACCACACCGACCGCAAGCCAGGACGATATCGCACATGACCCCGAGAAAGCTGAGAGACCGGCAGAAGGCCGCGCGAAGACTTCCGATAACCCAGACAGCCATGCCGACGCAAAGGAGTGGAAATGGGACGACGACCCCAGTAACCCCTATAACTGGCCATTGCGGCTGAAGATACGGCAGATCGTGATGCTGGCAGCGGCGGCATTCACAGCGTAAGCATCAACCGGCCAACTTCAGTGATCCATGTCACTGACGATACCCTGCCCAGCTCTGTTGGAACATCGATCATAAGCCCAGCCGACACCCAGCTCGTCGAGGAATTCGGGGTCACCTCAACACAAGCAGTCCTGCCGCTATCGCTGTACGTCTTCGCCCTCGGCCTGGGTCCGGTCGTCGGCGGCCCTCTTTCGGAAACGGTGGGACGATACCTAGTCTACCTCGTCAGCCTCCCTCTCGGTGGGCTCTTCACCTTGGGCGTGGGCTTCTGCCACACCTTCCCCGGCATCTGCATCCTGCGCTTTCTTGCAGGTTTCTGCCTCTCCCCCAGTCTGGCCATCGGATCCGGCACCATCAACGAGACGTTCCGACCGTCGCAACGCGCGCTGCCGTCGACCATCTACATCCTGATGCCGTTCCTAGGCCCAGGTCTCGGGTAAGGCACCTTCACTTCGAAAGCTGCTTTGCTAACCCTCCACAGCCCCGTCATAGGCTCCTTCGTAGTAACCCGCAAAGGCTGGCGCTGGACGCAATGGACGCTCCTCTTCTTCATCCTCACCTCCATGCTCACCACCCTCCTCGCGCGCGAAACCTACCACTCCGTCCTCAAACCCCGACGTCAGAAACACCTTGGCCTCCCAACCGAACCCTGCAAACCCGCACGCGAGCGCATCCAAGCTTTCGCAACCACGGCCCTCACCCGCCCCGTCCGCATGATGCTCACCGAGCCCATCGTCTCCTTCGTGTGCCTCTACGTCGCCTGCGAGTTCGCGACGCTCTTCTCCTTCTTCGCCGCGCTGCCGTACGTCTTCGAGACCGTGTACGGCTTCAGCGTAGAGCAGGCGGGGCTCGTCTTCATTTCGATCGCCGTGGGCTGTGTCCTCGGCGCCGCGACCGTGCTACTGTGCAACGCCCTGCTGTACCTCCCGCAGACGAAGAAGCACCCGCCGCACCGCACGCCGCCCGAGTACCGGCTCTACCCGGCCATGATAGGCAGTCTCGGCATGCCGCTGGGGCTGTTCTGGTTCGGGTGGACGGCGCGGGCGGACGTGTCGTGGGCGAGCCCCGTGGTGGCCATCATGCCGTTTGCGTGGGGGAACATTTGCCTATTTGTGAGCACGATACAGTACCTCGTGGACGTGTATCGCAGGACCACGATTGCGAGCGCGACGAGTGCGAACAGCCTGGCGCGGTATATGCTTGCTGGCGCGTTCCCGCTGTTTGTCGTCCAGAGTATGTGAACCCCTCGACCTCCGTTCTTGACCGAGTCATTGGTAGCTGACGGCGGCAGTGTACCGTAATTTGGGCATCGGCTGGGCGAGCAGCTTGCTTGGCTTTATCGCGCTGGCATTGATGCCGGTGCCGTGGGCGTTTTTCAAGTGGGGACGGCTGATTAGGCAAAAGAGCAAGTTCGACACGGTCAAGACGTGACGAGGTGGTTTTGATGGTGTTGGGGCAGCCGGGAAGGGGGATCCTTGACGATGGGTGTTGTTGACGGCGGGTTCTCTTCAAAAGTGGCAGCGGGCGCTAGCAGGCCACCCATGAGCGCGGTGACACGGACTCGGAACGTCCTCTGGCCTGGACCCTGAGTGAATGCGACCGAATACAGAGCGAAACAGAAGAAAAGAAGCGATTCTCGGACTTTGAGATGGTGCTTGACATGATACTGATACGGTATGATATGTCACCCTGCCAAAAGACTGACAGCCGGCCCCGATGTCACGGATCGGTGGCGCAGAGCGGCAGTTCTCCAACATCGTTCCCCCGGGGAAGCAATCGCTAGGAGCCGATGTAACTGGATCGCTCCCGAACGTGGGGTGCGGAGACCATTGCCCCCAAATTGGACATGGGCCAGGAACATCGAGCAGCAGAACTCTGATGGCAAGGGTTCGCCAGGCCGGCGTGAGGGGTTGTTTTAAGTGCCGTTTTCCCTTTGAAAACTTAGAGGGGTTCGTACTGAGAATCCTCGTTTTGGCTTTTTCTCGCAAGAACGAGCGCAATATGAGACGTGAGACGCGCATATTGGCTCGGCGGAGGCTGTGTCGCTGTCGAAGGTTGGCGGTTTCTGGGCATCCAGCAGCTGTAATTGCAGCCAAGAACGAAGCTTGAGGGCAGACGAGAGCTTAGTGGCACGGCAGAGGCGCGGCACAGGTGGTGACGAGTCTTGGTGTTTTTATTGAATTTCCCCTTAGGTTCTCTCTTTTCTTGTGTGCTAGTCCGAATGAGGGATGCCGCTGCAGGAACAGCTATCGGAGACAGCGCGTGGGAGCCCGACAGTGGACAATTACGAAACGCCATGCACATTGCCGCAAGAGCCATCTTGTTGCCGCTTCACTCTCACCTGAAGGTGCTGCGTATGTGGCGTGGCCCTTGGGAAGAGGGGCCTTGGCGCCGCGGCGTTCTCCAATCGCCCTTATCGTTTGTTTCTTTTTGCGTTTTTTGCGGGAGCGGTTTTCGTCCGAAGCGGCTTGGTTGTGCCGTTGGTGAGACGTGTCTGTGGCCCGCGCAATTTCTTGCCCATCTTGGCTCTCATCTTTCCTTACTGCACAACCGACATTGGTGATGATGTTTCTCGTCGGCGTCGTGATGGCTTCGTAGCTTCATCTGTCAACCTGTCCAAGAGATAAACAGCGCTGTTGCCGCACGAGACAACATATCTCATCCGTTCTCCGCGGAGACACTTGCGCTTGGGCTTACGTCACGATTCCTCCCTCGCTGCACATATCTCTCGCCAACCCGACTTAGGACCTCATCAACGAAGCGATTATCGCCTGATTGCCGTCTGTCGAGAGCTGCTTTTTGTCTGCATGCAACTCGAAAGCCTGATCATACGCTCGTGCGATCATATTTGCCAACACGACCCGCGGGGTATGAAGGCCACCAGCTCATGACAATATCGCCACACGACCACCTCCTCCTCCCTCGCCGCGGCGCCGCCAACAACGGCCCGCACCAGCAATGATTCTCCCCTCCCCGCGCCTCCGCCGTCTCGTCACCCTCCTCGTCTTCGCCTTCCTCATCGGCAACGCCCTCCTATTCCTGGTCCTGCCCTACGACAACCCGCTTGTCCTCGCGCTGCGCTTCAATGTCTCGGGCCTGAGCAACTGGTGGCGCGGCGATGGCGTGGAAAAGGACGCTTGGCTGTACTCGCCCGCGAAATACCCAATCGACTTCCGGACGGACGTCGGCCTGCTCATCAAGACCGGCTACGGCACGCGGCACCGTCTGGCGGCCCAGCTCGAGGCCTTCGAGCTGAGCGCAGCAGACGCGGACTCTTTTGTCGTCGTCGGCGACTGGACCCCGCGCGGGAACGGGACGCATGCCGGGGTGGAGGTGCACGATGCCGTCGGCGGGGTTATGGCGATGCCCGAGATGCGGAAGCACCACGATGCGCCGAAGTTCCAGGAGTACATCGCCTTCCGGGACGCCATCGAAAAGGGTGACGACCAGCGGGCGACGGAGATTGGCCAGAGTTTCGGGTGGGATCTGGATGCGTTGAAGGTAGGTACTTACAACCGTCGTTATCTTCTTGCCCCGCGTGTTCACGCAGTCATCCTCCCCCCACCCCTCTTCCCTCTGAATGGCTGCACTAATAAAACGCTGCACACCCAAACTGACACTTGTCAAACAGTTCATCTGGGGTCTGGAGTTCGTCTACGACAACCTCCCGCGCAAGAAGTGGTACGTCATCCTCGACGACGACACGTACCTCGTCCAGTCCTCGCTGCGGCTGCTGCTCGCGCACTGGGACCCCGACGCGGCGCAGTACATCGGCAACGCGGTGGGCGACTTCCGCGGGCGCTTCGCGCACGGCGGGTCGTCGGTGGTCATCTCGCACGAGGCGGCCGCCAAGCTGCTCTCGCGGCGGGACGTGGTCGCCGCCGCGCAGGAGAGCTCGCTGACAGAGACGTGGGGCGACAAGCTGATCGCGACGGCGTTTCAGAAGGTGGGCGTGTACCTCGACGAGCGGTACAGCCACTTCTTCAACGGGGAGCGGCCGGGCATCTCCAAGATCATGGGGGACCGGTTCTGCTCGCCGCTGGTGTCGTTCCACGGCGTGGCGGACCCGGCGGAGATGCGGCGCATCGGGGGCGCGTTTCGGGGGTTTGAGAGCCCGGTGTTTTGGGGCCAGCTGTGGGAGATTTACGGCGCGCCGTCGGTGGAGGAGTTTCGGAGCGGTCCAGTGCGGCCGGGAAGGGATTATGTGGGCAGGACGGACGAGAGGTCGAATGAGGTTGGCGGGGTGGATAATGCGGAGGCGTGTTTGGAGGTTTGCGAGGGGCTGAAGAAGAAGTGTCTTGCGTGGACGTGGGTTGAGAGTAGCAGGGAGTGTCGGACGAGCCCGTGGATGATCATCGGGGAGAAGAGTATGGGGCATTATTCGGGGATCAACCGTGAGGAGGTTGGCAGGTTACAAGAGACATGCTGAGGATGGGATTCGGAAAAATGGATGGATGGTGATGATACCCGGGATACACAGGCGTAGATGCTCTTTGCAGTTTTCGAGAATACGATGCGATGTCGTCTAGTTGAATGGATCACGTCGCACTCACACAATGTCTTGAAGTGGTTCAATTCCGAGCACTCCGCCCAGCGTCATCAAAATCTGACCCAATCAACAGCACCTTCCTCTTGGAGGTATGATGCTGACAGCTGCACAGGACCAAAAAGACACATTTCACGCTCAACCCGGGCGAAGTACCATCAACCAGAAACTGCAGAAAACCAAAGGTCCGCCGTTGCCGGTGCGCATGTATACGTCGTATATCTGACGCTTGCAAGTCCGCATCTCCCCCATGGGGCATCGCAGACCCGAGACCGAGCTTCCTTCCCCGTCGCATCGCATCCTGCCGACGCCGGAGCGGGGTGCAGCTCGGGCCCGTTCGAGGACTATGCTCCCCACACGTCTCTGCGCAGTAAGGTCTTTCGTCCCGCTGAGCCGTCCGTCCGTCGTCTGAAGCTTGAAACGGAAGCTGCTCATGCGATGGATGGATGCCCACCAGCCACACTGGACGTGGCTCAGCTCCGATAATCCGATAATCCGCCAAAAGAATGGCTGACAAAGCGGCCCGTGCGATGGCGCCGTCAATGACGATGACGTCTCTCCATCAGTGGTCGTAGTCGCACACACGCCGCACAGCCACCGCCGCCTGTCCCCTGTCCACCCAACCCTTTCGCGCTGCCTTTTCCGCCCCTTTGGGATTGAGACACGCATTGGTGCGCATTGCTTGACGTCAACGTCGACGAGTCCAGCCCGCCCCCCCCTCCGTCGCCTGTCTCCAACGGCCTCTAATTAATTTTCTTCAGGTGCCCTTTGGCTTCCTAATTTCCTCAATTGCTTGGCTTCATTGTTGCGGTAGAATTTCCCAAAGACCAGACATCCTCTTCGAAAAAGCATCCCACGAAACGCACCACCTTCATCACTCATCGCCCCGTCAACAAGCGGATCAGGTACCCCCAATTTCTCACGATTCTCGGCAGTACGTAAGGTACCACCACCCACTGCAAGACCTTCCCTACCGCCCCAAGGTCCCACCATCCGGCCGCCCCCCAGCAGCGCTGAAAAAGCAGCTCCGACCCCTGCCCCGTTGAGGCAAAGGCCCCGCCAAAAGTTTCCCAGCAGCAGCACAAGCAGCAGCTACCTAAACCAACGCCGGGCCCTGCAACATCCCACTTTGGCTGCTGGTTCCCCACAAAGGCACAAGACAAAGACCACAGCGACACCCCGCCAACCCTCGTGCGTATTCGTACCTCCGACTTCCCATTGTACCTGCCTACCTACCTCCCCGAACAACCCAAGAGACACACCCCTTTTGCGACTCGACGACATCCTCCACGGCCGAAACATCGCGAAAGCCACACATAGACAACCCGACAGACACAACTCCGATCCACACAATGGCCACCTCAACACAGGCTCAAGCCCAGGCCAACCAGGGCAGCTGGGGAGCTTTCCTCAAGGTACGGATTTCTTTCCCCGGTCTCTGTACCTACCTCCGATGACGCCCTCAAACCTAAATTTCGCAACAAGAAGCTGACATTCTGCCTCTCTCCCAGTCCATCGCCTCCTTCAACGGCGACCTCTCCTCCCTGACCGCGCCGCCCTTCATCCTCTCCTCCACCTCCCTGACAGAGTTCTCCTCCTACTGGTGCGAGCACCCCTCCATCTTTGTCGCCCCCGCGAAGGAGGCCGACGCCGCCAAGCGCGCCCTCCTCGTCACCAAGTGGTTCATCACCACCCTCAAGCAGCAGTACGCCTCCCGCTCCGAGCAGTACGGCAACGAGAAGAAGCCCCTCAACCCCTTCCTCGGCGAGCTCTTCCTCGGAAAATGGGAGGACGAGGCCGGCACCACGGAGCTCATCAGCGAGCAGGTTAGGTAAGATACACACTCACGTACCCATCCCGCACATAAGACAGGCATTGTTAACCAAGAACACTCCTACAGCCACCACCCGCCAGCAACAGCCTACTCCATCACAAACCTCCCAACCGGCGTCCACCTCGAGGGCTACAACGCCCAAAAGGCCACCTTCTCCCGCACAATCAACATCAAGCAGATCGGCCACGCCGTCCTGACCGTCCCCTCCCCTGAGGAAGGCAAAAAGGAAACCTACCTCATCACCCTTCCCGCCCTGCACATCGAGGGCCTCATCTTCGGCGCCCCCTTCATCGAGCTCGAGGGCACCTCCTTCATCACCTCCTGCACCGGCTTCACCTCCAAGATCGACTACTCGGGCAAGGGCTGGCTCTCGGGCAAGAAGAACTCCGTCATCGCCTCCGTCTACCCCACCGGCAAGGAGAAGGACGTCGCCTACAACATCACCGGCGTCTGGACAAAGTCCTTCGAGGTCCACCAGGGCTCCGCCAAGCACAACTCCTCAAAGACCCTCCTCGAGACCTACGACGCCGCCGAGCACCCCACCTCCAAGCTCGTCGTCGCCCCGCTCGACAAGCAGCACCCCCTCGAGTCCCGCCGCGCCTGGAAGGGCGTCGCCGAGGGCATCGCAAAGGGCGACATGGACGCCGTCTCGCGCGAGAAGTCCGCCATCGAAAAGGCCCAGCGCGAGCTCCGCGCAAAGGAGAAGGCCGAGGGCCGCGCCTGGGAGAGGCGGTACTTTACCGACCGCCAGGCCACCACCGACTCTGTCCTCGAGACTCTCGGCCCCAACGTCGGTCTGCCGCTTAGCGGGGACGCCGACAAGACGGGCGGGCTGTGGCGCTTCGACGCCGAGAAGGCGGACAAAGTGCGCAGCCAGGCGCCGTTGAGCCCGGAGGACCAGGCCAAGATGGCCGGTGAGATCCTCGGACAGTAGGCATCAGGAGAACTGGGGTTTTAATCTAATGAGAGGATGAAGACATTATAAAATGACGGGAAACCAAGAGAGACAGGAGGGACGTGAGCGCGCGCCGGGTGGAGGGAATGAACTACTGTAGAGCTAGCATGTTGGCGCTTTGGAGTTGACCGTGTACGAACGGTAGTACTAATCGAACATGTACCCTTTTTTTTTCGCTGATCTTTTGCGTCTCAAAGTTCCTCCTTAATGACTTGTTTTCATTATCCTGGATAGGATGTTATCTGTGTAGATGCAGATCATTGACGTAGCGTGGGCCTGAGGGATGTTTCCACCTTCATCCTTGAGGATCGTCGTCTCTTAATCTGATATCTGATACCATCTCAACTTCGGACCACCCCGGCGGTCTTGTTAAGCGATAAACGAATGCCTATGCAGAGTGTCTCTGTGTTCACGTTGGGTCATTATTGTGCATTGTGGCTCTCGGTATAAACATAGTGCTGATGGAGATGTTCTCGATATACTTCATGTATTCAACATTGATGTTTCTTGCCATGTATGTCTGTCTGCATTGCGCAGTTAATCTCTACCATCTCTCATACTCCCCGCTACCACTTCTACTGGCCCCAAATCCCTCATCTCTTCCGTAAAAGAAAAAAGCCAACACGTCTACTTCCCCAATGCATGGATTCCAACGGATACCCAAACCATGAATGCTAGAAATGACGATGCGCCAGCCAATGCACTTTTCTTTTGTTTGCCCCTCTCTTGCTTTGCAGCCTATGTCCAATTGCGGTACGTATGTTCGGGTGAAGGCGTCGTGTTGTGTGCGCGGTTTCACCGCCAGAAGGTGACTCGTCTCGATGTAATGGTCGTGTAGTGCCGAAGCGGATCGTACTCGGGCGGCAACATCCCACGTCGGGGCAGCGGCACTGGGACGTCACCAGCCTCGCTCTACGGGCTGTCCCTCTCGAGCTCGTAGAAGAGCAGGTAGACCTCGCGACGGAGGTCGAGGACCTCGCTCGTCTTGGCCTCGCGGACCTTCTCGTCGCTGATGCGCCACCAGCGGTCGGTGGGTTGCTTCTTTCGCCTATGTACGGGCGGGCGGGGCGCAACGGCCATGGGCGTGGAGCGCGGCGGACTGGTGCTCGGCGTGCTGTTGCCGCTGACACGCTGGGAGATCTTGGAGACGGTGCTCTTAGCGGAAGCTGTGATGGACTTTACGGATCTGATGCTGCCCGAGTCGGGTTCCCTCTGCTTGTCGCGCGGCGCGGATGTGGGGCTGATGCGCTTCTTGATGCGCTCCCTTGGCGATCCGTCGGAGGAAGATAGTGACGGCGGCGTTGAGTTCGTTTCGGAGCTCGGGGTGAGGAGGTCGGGCGTCGACACGGCAGGGCTTGCACCGAGTTGCGGTGTAGATGGCTGCGGTGTGGCCGCGGGACTGGCTGTCTTGCTGTAAATGCCCGAGGGCTGGAACGTGTTCTGGTTCGAGTAGGGCGCGTAGGTGTTTTGGCGCCGGAAAGACTCGTAGTGTCCGCTGTGGTGGCTGCCCTTATGCGTCACTAGGCCAAGCAGCTTGTAATTTCTGCGGTCGCGGAGGCCGCCCAACGGCAGACGTTCGGGAAATGCGACTTTGGCCGAGTTCTTGGTCGAGGTTTGCTCGTAGATTGAACGTGAGAGATGCACGGCCAGAATGCGGGGGAAAGATGTAAGGCGAGTCGAGCGTGCGATTTTGCGCTTTGGTGCCGTGCTAATGTCGGGCAAGAGAATGTCCTCGGGTACATGTTCGGGATCGACGTCGATTGCGAAGCGCAATTTCCGAATTGCTTCTTCCAACGCTTGCTTTTCGCTGTCGGTCTGTGCCTTTGCCAGGTCTTTCTTCAGCGACTCTTCACCATGAATTAACCTGCACCTCTCGCACTTGAAATCGTCAATCATCTCCGTCTTAAAAATCTCGTCGAAACATGAGCTCAGCGTGGTAGAGCTGGTCTGAGGGACGTTCAAGGTCAGCATGTAGAACGTCTCTTCCCTCGGCTTCGTCTTGTAGCCGCAGGTCTGACACTCGGATTGCGACTCGTATCTTCCTTCCATGGGGAAACCCTCGTCTTCGTCGGCGGAAATGTGGACTCCATTCGT